AGTAACTATTGTATTTTTTACTACTAGTTTTTAAACTGGTATCTCTACATGAAGGCTAAATAAATTAGAGGAAATAAATTAAAATATATGAGGCTTTATGTACATAACTAAATGTCAGCTCTACATTAAAACTTAACTGTTGTTAAATAAATCAAACATTTATAGTGTGTTTAGTGTAAGTTAAAGTGTAGAATTATTCAATGGACTTGTAACACTTCCTCTTTCTAATGTGGTTATGTATTATTATCTAAGAATTGGTTTCTAAATCAATCTTTTTATGTGCACTGTGTAGCAAGATATTATTTAAGGAAAACCAGAAAGAATTGTATTCAAACGTTTCAGATAAAGATATTTAAAATCACCAGAGCTATTAGTCAGCTATGATCAGTCTAGAGTCAACATCTTACAGTAATAAGTGAGTCAACAGTTTTTCTGTAAGATGAAAATCACTACAATTACAGTCTTTGGAATAAAATAAATCTATATGCTACTCGATCACAAAAGTATAAAAATAAAGATTTGTTTTGATTTCTTCACACATAAAAATAACATAAAAATCATAAAAAAAAATGTGATATGGTAATTTATCATTTCAAATTTAACTTTATCATAATTTGATTACCCAGTAGGTATTTGACTGAACACTGTATGTTTGTTTATATAATACATGTAAATGAACTTTCATGACTGTTTTAATCTCACTGGGAAATTTTAATACATAATTAAAACCTAATGATAGGTACATGTTTATATATGATTAATGAATGATAACCTTGGATGAAAAATTTGACCCTTTAGATAAATATATTGTTATGGTTGTATCATTCATTTTATCTACAAATCAAAGGTTAACACATGGACTGACATTGTATCAATAAACTCTCCTGGCCAGAATACAGAAAAAGTCTAGGGCTGAACCAGGGTTCTTAATCCATTTTGAAACCAACCGGCCAAAATAGGGTAATTAAGCTCCCATTCCCTTTAACATAGCCAGACTTCCACAAAAATAATTCTTGGTAATTTGTTATATAGAATGTCCTATTCTGAAAGACTCTCTTAAAAATGAAATGGGGTTTAACGTCCTACTGTTCTGCTCCTAAACTGGGCTAATGAAGACAGGCATATGCCATACAGTGTGCTATGAGGGAAATTTTGCCTGGGCAGCGGCGCTACGGCCTATTCTTGTATCGAATTCCAACTACAAAGGGATCTGTTACGTGCACTCCAATGTGTACACGGGACCTCATTTTTTTTCCCATCCGAACGACTAGACAGCTGTCCTTGTAAGGCCCTCCGTCGTGCATCACTGACAAGCGGAAACCACGCCGGAAAATCTGGATGAACTTTCTCTGCCAATGCAGGGATCGAACACCCGACCTCCAGGCTAGCGAGCCAGCGTCTTACCAACGTGATCCCTGACTCTCTTAAAATAAAATACTCACAACTGAGTTGGCAAATTCAAACTAAGTCATTGATATTGAGATATGAACTACAAAGATGAGTGAATAAACTATATTTATGATCTTCAGACAAGTCTTTTTCTTATCAAAACTACAAGTAAATTTCTAAGGATGACACCAATAGACAAGACAAGGACAAGTTGACCTAACTAACTGCCCAGTGTCCATCACTTACTTGACCAGTCTATTGATTGCAGAAATATAGCTGTGTGTCAAATATTCTAGCTATGTTTAATTTGCAATGAAGTGATCAGAGTTTGCCTGTCAAAGATTATAATTAAACACACATCACTCAAATCAATGTGAAGATGTTCTAATCTGCCAATTATTTATATATGTCCTAATCATTATAGTATGTTTGATGTGTAAACAGTTCAATTTGTGTTGTTATTTAATTTAAACAGACCCCATATAACATTCTTTTATTCCACAATATAAACAGAGTAATATATGTCATAGATTTCAATAGTGAAGATTTTCTAACCTGTCAATTATGTCCCAAACATTACCCAGTATGCTTGATGTGTAAACAGATTAATTTTTGTTTTTATTTAATTTAAACAGTGCCCATATCATATTCTTTATTCCACAATCTAAACTTAGTAATATATATGCCTTAGAGAACAATTATGATTTAAATTTAAAGGATAATGTAACAGGTTCCCACGGTATAATCAAAAGAATATAATCTTCGTGCCACTGTGTTAAAATATTGACAACTGCATCCTGTTTTATTTTAGGTAATTTAACTGTGGTGATGTTAATTTTGAAAGTTGTAATCGAAGCCATTAATTATGTTTTTTTCCATTCGGTTACATCCAGAAAATTATTAAAGGGATAACTTTGAATATAAGAAAGAAGACTTCTTGGAAGTCATTTTGGAGGTATTAGATATTCCATTGGAAATTATGACAAACGCTGTATAGCCTAGGCAGAAAATGCTTATCAAACTCAGTCATTATATTCAACTAAAGAACATCTAGACCAAATTTTGAACATTTTCCGTCAATTAAAAGCAGGTTTATTGTGCACAAAGTCTCGAACAATCAAATTGCTTCTCTATGTTTAGCCTAAACAGAAAATGCTCACAATCAAACCAGATGAACATCTACACCAAGTTTGAACATTCTATCGCAATTAGAAGCAGAGTTATTGTGTCCCAAAAAGTGTGAAAGACAAGCAGACATACAGAAGGATGAACCCATTTTAATATTCCAAGGCTATATTCAATGGCCAGGGAAAATAACGATAAAGCATGACTGAGACAGTCCCTATAAATATTGGTAGTTTTCTTTATTCACTTTGTACAAAATAAAACATTCATTGATTTCCCTGATATATATGATAAGGGATTAAGATAATTGTCCTTCACATAAAAATAATAATAAACTTATAAATTATGTAGTTAATGTGACTAGTAAAAGTACAATCAGAATCCTTTTGTTTATCTACAGTTATTGATAGATAGAAAAAAATATTCTAATAAATATCATCACCATTAACAAAAACAATTTGTGTATTCCATCTACACATCTTACCGACATGAAACAAAACAGTCAAATATAGGTCTCAAAAATGTAATTTATTATTTATACCTAAAGTAACCATATAGATGATGATTCATTAACTGATTAATTGGTGATCTCAAATGACTGACCACACAGTGGTGATTTTTTTTTCTCTTTGTAATTCTTAGTAAGATGTCTAGAATATAACTAAACTATAATTTCCTGTTCAAACAAGCTCAAGAACCATATAAGTTAACAATCTGATTAAAGGCTCAATACCACTCTTGTTGTAACTGAATTATATGTCCCGATCTCTATTCTGGTCAACAAATTGCGCTATTTTACAATATTCCAATTAATTGATGATACAAATTTCATCTTAACACACCTAATTTAAAAAATTGGAAAAATTCAACGTAAAGTTTTTCAAATGTGACTTGGATTTAAAAATATTTTTGAACCTCTGGACAAGTAAAATAGGATTTAATGGATAATTTACACAACAGATAGAACACTAACACATCTAGAATAAGGCTATTTTTTTATTTTTTGGAGCTGTCAAGCCAGCAAGAGTGTTATTGTCCCTTTAAAATCAGATGTCAATTTACTCAATTACCTTTCATTTAATTTTTTATGTGATATATATACATTTTCTTTGAAGATGGTGTTCAGATCACATGAAGTTACTGATCAATCAAATATATTAGTACAAATGTATACTGGATTAGGTTAGGTGGTGATTTATAGAAATTTTAATACCTAAGCTTGATGCGTCTTCAGATTTTGTGTGATATAGAAATGACACTGACAGAATAAAACTTAAGTTGGATGTTGTAAAAACCACCCAAAAATATACAAAAAAAAATTGTACTCGATTAAGAAAGCTTAATGTTTATATATCTAATTGTTCATAAAAAATAATATTCTAAAATTCAATCAAAAACATTTGACATCTTTTAATTTTCAGGTATTTTATTTGTGAAGCAGTGTAATAAAAGTGTGAGTAAAGAGAAATAATATTGACCATCAAATGTCCTTGGTTTAAGGAAGAGGTGAACAAACAGACTGATATAAAATCAAACAGACTTGAGTAATCAAACCACCAATTCTGTTACATCACACCACATAGCATCATAATCTATCTCTCAAATCTCAATCATTCTTAAGTTAATTATTATGGATGACCAAGGTTCACTTATACAGAAAAGTATATAAACTGTATGTAAGAGTTAAATCTGTCCATTTGGGGGTTTTTTTGGTCTCAAACATGATATAAATTATTAATCAGACATTTTTTCACATGACAAGCCTATAATCAACTCTCTAGATCATCGGACGGTTGTGATTTTTGATGGACTGAAACACAATCGCATACTTTTGATTCACTAACTAAACAGTATAAAGACACAGTAGTTTATTTGAATGTACGTAATAAACCAAACGTAGGTAAGAATATTCTCCACAGTAGAATAGATATTATCCACATTATTATAAACTGTTTATTGATGTCTGATCAGGTAACTTTAAGCATAATCAGGTCATCTATTTAACCCCCATTACTTATCTTTATCTATATGTATGACATTTCCAGGCCTGGAAATCACCATTTTTTTTTAATATCATCTGATGTCCGGCACTATTGTACGTGATACTATTTTAACATTGAGTCAGGCATGTATCAATAAAATCAATAAAAACCAAGGCTGGAAATAACGCACCAGTCACAAATTCAAGCTTTGTCAGGTACAACCACTGTTGCCTGTCATTTTGTGTGGCACAGATTTGGTTTTTTTTGTCTTAATTAATTAGTGTCGGATATTTTGCAGATACAACTAAAATCATTATTTCATGTCTGATAAAAACACAGAAAATTGATAACCTGTTATAATATTGATATCAATAAACCTATCTTGTAAGTGTAACACGTTTATATTCCAATAATTAACAGATTATCTATTTTGAGTTAACAATTCAATAACTAAGTCACAATTTATTATGATTATCTATATATTAGCTTATTCATTATACTTACCAAATACTGATTCATCTCCTAAATCTTTTCCATGTTTTATCATATGTTCTCCTAAAATACCTTCAGGTTGTGGATAGGGTGCTATTTTGCCCTGTCCACGAATCTTTGATATTGTGTGCATGGTTGATAATTTAGCTCTTGATGCTATAAAATTGAAAGGAAATATTTTTTAAAAACTTTTGTGTCTTAAGTTAGCTTAAGAATTGATATACTGAATTTAAAATATCAAATTTGAAAACAAAAAATATTTATCTAATAATTACCTGGGTTTGGTTGGAGATATTCTTGTGTTTTAATAATAAGATCCTCCACCAATTTGCCCATAACATCAATTTTCTGTTTGAAAAAATAAGAGATTCATTACAAGAAATATGATCACGAAATGTAAGCATCGACATTCCCTTGAAAATTTGTACTGGTATAATATATACAGGACCACATTTTCCAATAATATGAGTAGATTGAATTAAACTCGGGGGACCTCAATTCCAAGTGATAATAAGAAGACTCAGTCACCAACATCCCACACCCTTGCACATGTTTGTATAAGTTACAGAGAGAGAGAGAGTTTAACGTCCACTCATCCACTCGACACTAGGTCATTTCAGGACTAAAATATGGTTCAATTTTATTTCAATAATTTGCTTGTGCGTAGGTCTTTAGCAGTGGGAGGAAACCGGAGTACAGGGATAGTACTAGTAGTAGTGTACATGATGTATAGCAAATAGTATCAGGCATCACTTATTTTATCAATTTCAGTTACAAACTACCACAACCATATTTCACAATTATGCTACCTGGTTATATCAGACATAAATTGAGTTCAATTACAAACTAATGCCAATGTTTTATTGTAGAATTGCACTGTCCAAATATCAAAAGATTGAAAACAGTTCTAGATCATCCATGTATGAATGATGCAAGTTTGAAACAAAATTTCGAGAAGTTTCAAAACATTATCTTGAATTGTTCTTGATATGTGCTGTGGAATAATAATTGCAAAATGTACCAAAATAGGTTGATCCGTGTACAAAGTTTTATAAACATATCATGAAAGGTTATGAGATATGATCTGGAATAAAAACTGTATGCCAAATAGTCAAATACTAGGTCAAATTTGTTAACAATGGCTAGTGTGACAACTTTGACCCTTGTCTCGAGAAGAAGGAACGGAAGTACCATAAATTGTATTACATCTGTAAACAAAATGTTCTGTGGACAATCTGAGTGTCACAAATATACATCTCAGTCAATATTGTAACAACCTTCTTTTATTAACAAAGCCTCCCATATATGTACATTGAGAAGAATTGGAGACAAAAAACCTAATGCTTCAATAAATACATTAGGTAAGGTCTAAAGGGGGCATAAGGTCGACTTTGCAACTCAAAGCAACTAGTTGCAGTCAGTTGCAAGTGCGCTTATGTCGATCATATTAGCAACTAAGGGCAACTGAGAGCAACTAACTTCAGAGTGCTCATATCAACTCGGAACTGACAGTGGTTACACTTTACACGTGATCAACAAAATGGTGAATACCTTAGAAAAAGCACCCAAAAGGCATGGTCGGTCTTGCCACAATTCTTTTAATATATCATTGTCAACATCATCAACATTTGAAAAGTGGGTGTCTTCGTTTGCTTCCATTTGCTTATTTATAAACTCACATGACACATGTCTTTTATCATGTGATGTTATTTCCATGGAAATGTGTCGACTGCAACTGTGAGTTACAGAAAGTTGAACATGTTCAACTGACTGCAACTAGTTTCTTTGAGTTGTAAGGGGCGCTCAGGTCAACCTTTTTCAGTTGCATTCAGTTGCTTTCAGTTGCTCCCAGTTGCCAAAGCACCAGTTGCTTTCAGTTGCAAGGTCCACATAAGCCCCCCCTTTAGAATCAATAATTTTTGAATAACCAAAGTATCAAATATCTCATATTGCGACATTGCCATGGTGTGTGTTCAATGCTCAATGGACCTTTAACAAGTTAAAAATCTTGATCATTCAGTATAGAAATTTGGTGCATTTTATTGAAAATTATGAATCACGTAGAGCTATTATAAATACCATACTATATTTCCAATGTGTGTAATTTGTTTATTGTGTTATCTCATTGCCAAAAACTATGGAAAAGGAGATTCTCTATCATGTGTTCATTCAAATAAAAGATAAGCTAATGTATCAGCTATACACATATGTACATGTATATCAACTTTTTGATAAATTCTAGTAGCCAGTGTTCAAATGCTACAAATGATCATGCATATCATGAAATTTGGCAGGTCTCTGTACTTAATTAATAATTATAAAATTTTCTGTATGGGAAGATACCATAAATGAGACTCAAACCTAAGCCTATTAAAAATATGCAAGTCTGATCAAAAATATGCAAGGCTATGGAAACAACAACCAATGCTAAAAGACTTCACAGACTGTGGTCTTTAACAACAATCAACATATCTAATTCAATAACACAATTAGCTATACACAGCTTTACATTAATTACATTTACAGAAAAGAATCATGGCTATCTACATAACTGAACACCAAACACTGAATAAAAATTAATGTCAATTTTAAGATTAGCTAGTAGCCACCTGTGAAATATAGGAATTGAGAAATCAATACTTGAAGGTCTGTTTGGTGAGTTGTGGAGGTTGAGTACAGGCTAGTTATTAATAGGAAAGGTATAGAACCTACACACTATCATATAGACATAAAACGTATCCTCCAGTCTTATACATTAAACTACCAGTAGCAGGAAGAAAATAAGATTGATTCTTACAGCACAAACTAGCCAAACTTATAGGCTAGTTCCTGTGAGAATCTAGATCTCTAGAGGAAACTAGAAACAACATAAGCTCTCAAGATATCCAACAAGAATGAAAAACAATTAACTAAATTGAAGACTTCTCTTCACTGACACTGGAGAGAAAAGCAACAAGTGGTATGGGAATCTCATTAACATCTACAGTCTTAGTTATTTATTCAAATTTCACTCTCTAGCAATTGTGTCATGAATGAATTAAATAGTCAAAATAGATGTCATAAAATAATCTATAATCTATAGGAAAAGACACCAAATAAAATACTAAAATTCAATGCATTTCAAATGGTTTATGAAGACCAACAAAGGGTTATTTTAATTAAATGTTCAATTATCAAAGGTCGATCAAGGACGTTTAATTTTTTTTATAAAGAACAATTAGTAATACTGTGTACTCCTGTTGTAGATTTTACAGACTTTGTTTATATAAGCTTGTGTAATTACACAATAGACAATAAAATCCTTCACACTTAAAGACAAGAGTTAACAACATTGTTATCATCATCATGTTTATTATTCTTAATACCTAACAACACAACATTACTATGAAAAAATAGACACTATTTAAAATATCAGCATAGAGGTTTAAAAGGATCATTAATTCATACAGACAAGAGCAGTAACATTGTAATCGGCAGACTAGTTACATTACTTCAAAATTTTAAAATGAAGTTTAATGTAACAGTACATTGTACTTACATTTTCTTAACCGTGAAAGTAAAAGCCTTAAAAATGTGGTTTCGAACTCTTAAACGGAAAGTAGATTGGACATCAAGTGGTTTGACTGTATAACTATATTTCTACAGGGGAATCATCAATCATTATTGGTGACAATAATTGAAACTATTCTTTTATAGTTCTGACATGTACTGGAACATTAATAAATAAAACAGAATAGATTTTATTATTTATTAACTTACTCGCTCCATTTCCATAAATTCTTCATCTAGCTCTGTTCCTTTAGCACCACCAATCTTTTCACTCATATACTGTCAACATAAATTTAACAGAAAATAACATTTTATTTTAGTTTTTTTTGGTTAAAAACAAGAAGAAATCTCCATGTAAATTATACATTTCAATACAATTACAAAAGTGTATCTTACACAAAACATTGACAAAAAAAAAATATAAATAAATAAGCCAACAGTGAGGCTGATGTCCCCTCGCCAAAATCCAAAAATAAATAGATGACACATATTAATTAATAGCACATTTATTTTTTTCAAAAGTATCAAGCAATCAAACAGATTTTCAACTACAGTTGTATACACGTAGTTTCATCACTCTCTGTAGAATCAAAGTTATCTTGTCCCAAAGCATTGACCAATGAAATTGCTTAGCTCTGCTTAGCTTTAGCTCGAAAAGGTAATCATTGAACTCAGTCAAGACATTCAGCTAATGAACATCTACATCATGTTTAAACATTCTACCTCAATTAAAAGCAGAGTTGTTATGTTCCAAAGTCTTGACTTATCAAAATGCTTATCGCTCCTTAGCCTAAGCCGAAAATTCTCATCATCGAACTTAGTCAAGATATTGATGTGATAAAACTATACACCAAGTGTATTGCTTATCGCTCCTTAGCCTAAGCCGAAAATTCTCATCATCGAACTTAGTCAAGATATTGATGTGATAAAACTATACACCAAGTGTATTGCTTATCGCTCCTTAGCCTAAGCCGAAAATTCTCACCATCGAACTTAATCAAGGTAATGATATAATGAATCTATATTCAGAGTTTCATCACTCTGACTTCATTATAACCAAAGTTATCGTGTCCCAAAGCATCAACCAATCAGATTGCTTATCTCTGCTTACCGTAAGCAGACAATGTTTATCATCGAACTCCATCATAACATTCACCCAATGAACGCCAACACCAAGTTTGAACATTTTACCTCAATAAAAAGGAGAGTTATTGTGTCCGCAAAAGTGTGACGGACAGGCGGAGGGACGGATTGACAGGCAGATGGTCAAACGGACCCATTTTAATAGTACCCTGCTTTCTTTAATAAATAAACATTAATCACTGTCAATTACCTTATTTATTCAAAGCGCTTAGTTTAAAATACATTATGTATTTTTGAACATGATTAAAAATGATTTCGCTGTACGAGTATAGCACATGTAACTGTCGTTGGGATCCTCATCATAAAGAAACACTTTTGTGTGTTTGGAGAGAAAAAGAGAGAGAGGGAGAGAGATAGAGAGAGAGAGAGAGAGAGAGAGAGGTGGGAAAATTTCCACTCAACACAAACTAGGTCATTTTAGGACTAAATTTGTATATTGAAGCTTACTTGATAATATCTGAACTGTCAAATAATAAAGGCCAACAAGCAAGAATAAAACTTCAGGGAGAGAGAATGGGGGGGGGGGGGAACAAATGTACATGTTGAGTGCAGATTTCAGCTCGCCTACAGATTACCCCCTTGCAAATGTGCAAACATTTATTTTCATGTATAACTTTTTTCCATATAAAAAAAAAGTCACATTTTGTTTGAACTTTGATAGAAGGTAGCACACTCTAAAAAGTTTTTTTTATTTTCTTATTTTATTTTTTTTTTTTCATTTTTTTTCTTATCAACTCCAACATGAATTGAGGGTAGCCCCTTAACTTTTCAAAATTTTGCAAAATAAGGACCCTCTATTGTAGGGGTATCTTTGAATATTTAAGGGCGGACAGAAATTATTCTTATGGAAACATATATGTGTATGAATATCATTTATATCATGAGAAAGTAATAAAAGAATAAACCAATGGATTATCTAAATCCAGCCAATTAAGTAATAAGAAAATATAAACTAATTAATTGGATAATGTAAAGTTATATACAATAATCAAGAAGGTGCTGATGTGGAGATTAATCATTAATTGCTTGTCAATTATGATCAATTTAAAAGGATTAGATCATAAATCATTTCAACACTAAAGCTACAGGAATATATGAACTAAGGACATTCATTAATAAGCTGTTAAAATACTATAGTATTTACAAACATTATCTTTGTGTACTGTAGTTGGAGTTGTTGTAGAATTTCACAGTTCTTTATTCTGAAGTGAGGGATGTAATATAGGACTGTCATACAAAAGGGGTACAGGTTATATTTCTCCTCAAATTGACACATTTCATATTCATAGTAGGCCTATATAGATTTATGAATTATTATTATTATTATTATAATATATAATTTAATCTCTCTCAACTTACAAGTAAAACGTAAAAGATTTTGAATGGTAGTGGTTGTTGGTAGTTCAAGTTGGTAAGATCATATTACACATCCGTTTCAAGGAAACTGTTTTCATGTTACACATGATATTGTCTGATATGCAAGAATATCGAAAGGAACCGAGATCTTTGGGATATAAACATACATTTCGAGTTTCGTCAAAATAGGATAAAAAATGTGACTTGTAGAGTAAGAGTGCCCACAAACAAATTGTGAACATTAACTATAAAATTGATCTGTCATTTAAAACTAACAGGCACAGTCAATCAATGGGGATGACTTATATGGATATGGGCTAATGGATGGGGATTCCTCCTTAAAAAGCTGTTAATAACCCATATACATAAAATATTAACTGGTAGAAGGTTTCTGCTATTCCAAATAAATTGCTACTGTTCAATACAACTGTTCCTACTGTCTGTCAGTCAGAGCAGATCATATTTTATTGAAAGTTACGTTTCCTTCAAATTCTAGTAGCAGGCATACAAAATGTTAATCACATAATTTGTGATTTGTCAGTCAAAATATCAGAATTTAAATAATATAAACATTACAAATATGTTTCAAAATAACTTAATTTTGTCATGCGTACCTGGTTAGCCTTATTGAACTGTTTCTTTAAACCTGCTAACGACATTTTGACAATTTATATCAGAATAGTCGACACACGTCTAGTGTAAAATAACTCCCACTGTTGAGCTATCGGGCTTCCCTCATGACGTCACAAAACAGGTGCCCCGCACAAAGTTTATAAATAGGTCATTGAATAAAAATTTATGTTTATCAAAATTATTATTCCGAAAATATGAAAACTTTTTTATATCATAAAATAATATAGAACATTTAAAAAATACTATAACCTGCTAATAATGACCAATAAAATGTCAGTGAAATTAGAGATCCGGAAAAACGCGCGAGATCAAAACATTCGCGCCAAACTTTGAAGAATTTAGACTCAATAGAGTGAAAATGACATTCGGTCTAGTCATATTTTAATTTATATTTTTAATTCTCTACTTTCGGCATTAATTACACGTATTTGAAATAATCTAGAGAAATGGACTGTGCTGTCGAAAAAACAGGTAAATTTGTAAAACACTGGCACCAGGAAAAAACTATTTTTATTATTTTTCAACTCATCCCATCATTCGTAATACATACTGATACTAATAATAACTCTAGACCGATGTCAACAACGACAACAGACAAACTCAACAACGAAAACTTAATCCGTAACGTGACATAAATAACAACATAGTTTTTGAGAATTATGTCAAGTCTGAGGGTCTAAACCTAAAATTACAATTTAATGTTCTCATTCACAAGATAATTTATCTACGGTAGCCGTAGAGTCTATTTACCAGCCACCCACCTGGGCCTGACCTGGCTTGACTTGGCTGAGCGAGACTGTCTAGACAAAACCCCACCAAATTAGTACGGTACAGTAGTTCCATAGACTGAACAGTTCAACACAAGACATGTAAATATATCTTCCAATAAGAACCACATTTTGAGATAAAAAAAATAAGTTTTGATCGTTGGTACAGTACTACAGTAGGCTATACGTGTAAATTAATCCTGGGAAGAAGAGACCTTCTGGATCAGTCTACTGCTTCAGTTTTCAACCTGGGGAACGCTTCCCGCTGGTGGAACATTTTGTGATTCTGCGTGGGACGTGAGCATGGTCTATATTCCAATAAAATCTTCCCAATGACAGACGTTCAGCCAACAGGCAGCGAGACATCCAACACGGACAACTGTGTTGAAAATGTGGGACTAATTATTTTCTTGTAATGTATGTCAATTCTGCGAGAGAGACTGAATCTTCATCCATTGGACGAGGTAGAATATTTGGTACAGATTTGGGATGTCGGCTAACAAAGGTTGTAAGCAGGGGGTTGTCTACTATTATTAATGATACCAGAAGGAATCTTAAATGAATGGAATTGAATTATTTTACAGATACAATGGATGAAATCCTTGAAGTAACTGATGCTCCACCCATGAAAAAATTTAAACAAGGTTAGTGAGATTAAATTAACATTTACTGCTTTTGAAATATGTTATGAAAGAGTAATATAAGATCAGACATTTTGAAGCCATGTGAAAAAAAGCAAGTCTGATACAGAAACATACCAAATCACATTGGTACAAAATTTTACAATCCATTGTTTTTTACTTTTCAGTTTGCCTTCAATTTAAACCAATGGATGTAAAAGTCCAAGTTAAATCAGCATCAAATACAAACAAGAAAAGAAAACTATCTGATCAAGAATCACCGAGTGCCAAAGCTCCTAAAACCATTAAACCAATAGTTCAAGAGAACTTTAAGACTCCTGTTTTAGAAAATGATCCTGAAGTAAGCTCAAGCTCAGAAGCTGACAACCTACAAGTAAATTCAATGCAGAAAAACAAAACAACACGGTCAAATATTTTAGAAAAATTCATTCGGAAGTCATCTCAGGAAGAAATCACATCAACTATTGATGTTATTGATATAGCCAAAACTGAAAGCAAGACTGCCAGTAGTGCTGGTGATCTCACAAGTCGTAAAACAGCAGGAAAAGTTTCACCAAAACAGAAGACTTTAAATTCAATGTTTATTCAAAAAACTAGCACACCAAATTCCAAGGTTATCCGTAATAAAAAGCCATTTGATCCTAAGGTTGAAAAAGAAAATGTAGATTCTGCTGAATCTGAATCAAAAAATGTGAAATGTGACATTGTTGAAGTTTCTGAAGAAGACCAGTCTTCACAGAATGATGAAGATTGTTCATCTGATGAAGATAACACATCATTAGATAAATCAACAAGTTTAGATGAAAGTAAGATTGACTTGTCACTCATGTCAACTCCTGGTAAAAGTTCTACAGGCTTAGATAGTTCAATTAGTGAAGCGCCAATTAGTATAGATTCTAAATCAGGTAGTGTTCCGGCAAGTGATGCTTCCACAACACCTCTCACCAAAAAACCAAGAGCCTCATCAAAGGTTAGTTTTTAGTTCCATTGGTATATTGCACATATCGGAAATAACAGCAGTAAAATTTTCTACATTGAAGTAGCTAAGTCTCTAACTTAATATAATCCAAAGTCTTCAACATTGAACACACAAATTATTTGTCAATTTAAATCAACATTGATGTGATCTTGCCAGGAAAAGATGGACTTCTGATATTTAAACATACATTATGCAAGAGCTAAATCTGCCTATTTCAGGTCTTTCTTTAGGCCTGAAATGTTATCGAAATTATTAATTAGACATTAATTAACCTATCCAGGCCATAATCAACTCTAGATGGCAGCGCTAGCCTGCGATCTTTAGTGGATTGTAAGCCGATTTACTGCATGACTTTCCTTCTCGATTAAACGATTAAATGGATAATCCAGACTATGCTGTTTATCGTACTGACTATAGTAATGATGACCGTGGCTTATGGGAAGTTCAGTCGCTTAGTTCACGGTTCATAGTGGATCAATTTGAATGAAATTTTCACCAAATTGCCTTTTAATACATTATCTAGTTTTTAACTATTATAGTGAGAACTGCTAACTCGTTACCGAATCTCCCATAATGTATCTTTAAGACAAAATAAACATTTTACCATTGGTACACAAAGAATGAGGCTAGACATATTCCACACGTCAAGTCAAATGGTGACGCTATATTCATATCTGGAAAGCATGTGCAATAAATACTATAGGTGTAGTTTTGAATAACCAGATGCTAGAGATTGCCATTCTATATTAAGGCTTCTGGCGTAGTTTGCCGAACATAACTGATTGAAATACAGTAAAAACGGAAACGAATGAATGTAAATCAGTTTATATACATTCATATTACATTATTATATGTATTGTGACCCATTTGTGTCAATTTCTAGATCCCAAATATTTGCGATTTAGCTACTTTAAACCATATTTCATTAATACATATATTGTCTCAAGTTTTTAAAAAGATATTGAACTAACCACATTTGGATATTTTTTGTAGATGTCTGAGAAAAAGAAGCAAGAGAGATCAGAAATGAGAATGCGTATTAAAGAACAGAAAGAAAAAGAACGCATGGAGAAAAAACTCCAAAAAGAAAAGGAAATTCAAGAAAAGAAACAAAAATTAGAGGCCATGAAATTAGAAAAGGAGAGGTTAAAGAAAGAAGAAAAGGTACTTCTTCTATTTGTGCTTAACATCCACTTCCACAGAGGTTGATATCTCAGACAAGTTGTCTTATTTTTATTATCATATTGCACATGCAGGGGCTTTCCTGCAGGAGGAACCCGGAGTAAATCCATGAGGTTGAGAAGGCACCCCTATCTCCAAGCCATATACAGCCACACCAGGAATCGAAATCATGACCGTAAGCAAGAGGTGACCGGCCAACTAGTGCAACACTCTAGACCATCCCAACCCCCCTAGAGAAAAGGTACATTGATAATTAGTTTAAATACTTGAATGCAATGGGATTGCACTATAAGCCAGTAGTTGGTGAACTTTTTATATGTCGCATTACATTGACATCTCAATACAGTTTACTTGTTACTTTATTTTGTCATATTTTTGTAGGAACAAAAAGAGAGAGAGAAACAAGAAAAGATAGAAAAATTAGAGAAAGAAAAGTTAGAGAAACAACAATTAAAAGAAGAGGAAAAGAAAAAAAAACAAGAAATGTTAGAGTGAGTATCTGATAGCTATTGATTTCAAGTTAACGACCCTACATTTGAAGATAAATGTGAATGTTAGTATGGACACGTCAGGAAATGAAGTGATGCAGTTAAATTTCAAATAAAATAAAACATACATTATGCAAGAGCTAAATCTGCCTATTGCAGGTCTTTCTTTAGGCCTGAAATGTTAACTAAATTATTAGACATTAATTAACTTATCCGGACCATAATAAACTCTCGATGTCATCGTTAGCCTACGATATTTAATAGATTACAATTCGATATGCTCAACGCTCATCGATGATTAAATCAAAAAATGGATAATCTAATCTCCCATAATGTATCTTTAATCCAATAAATTTATGTACGCTCAGATAATCACATGGCATTAATAATATAGATTAAGAGTGAATAAAGATATATCAATCAGTGTTAATGAAAGCACATTACATCCCCTGACTGTAAACAACTATTTAATTATTGATATGTCTTATGTTTACCGGGGGGTGGGGTGGGGGGTGGATGGCCAAATGGTTAGCACATGCGCGTTGTATCATAAGGTCTGTCATTAAGTCAACTGGCGTGGTTTCGGTTGTAGTGACAAGGAGTTTGGTCGCCTTTCCAACATGGTGGTGTTTCTTCGTGTCCTCCGGTTTTCTCCCACTGCTAAAGGCCCCTACACGCAAGCGAATTATTGAAATAACCTAGTTGTGTCAAGTAGGCGTTTCACACCATTTTTCTCTCTTATGTTTACTGTTATAATTAACAGTGCCAAATTGGAAGAAAAAAAGAAGAAGGAAGATGAAAAGAAAATGAAAGAAGAAGAGAAAAAATTGAAAGAAGAAGAAAAAAAGAAAGAAGAGGAAGAGAAGGTATTTACAAATTATCACAAATCAAATATTATTTGCAAAATTTAAATGCAATCTAAATGAGTCACAATTAACAGAACTTTTGACTCTATTTCACCTAAGAATTTGACATTTTAGCATACTGTCTCTCAAGGACGTGTGAACAAAGTTTGTGTGCAGCCAGTCAGGACAGACTAGTTATTATCATGTCTTTCTGTGATGTAGCATGGAGTAAGATATAAAAAAAATTCTATTTATTATTTCAGTTGAAGAAACAGAATAAAGTAAAACAAGCATTTGAAGGTTTTTTTGTAAAACAGAATACATGTGTACCTAAGGTTTGTAGATGGAAGTTATAGCATCTAAACATTGAACGTTGACTTACAATATGAAACATTATTATTAATATTAATAATAACATGCATATAGCCCTTCAGATGGCAAAACCTCATCAAAACAGTATATTGAGAAATCAAAAACAATCCTGGTTTTGTATTTAGTTATCTATTGCAGATGTGTTTAAACCTTGCAGTGTGACCTTTTTAAAAAAAAGTATAGATGTGAGGATTTTATTTGGGGATTTATGTCATGCCAAACCTCTAATGTATTGGTTGGGAGGGGGGGGGGGGCAAATGGTCTAAGATATGCACTTTACATCCCTTATTTATTTGAAATAAAAAAGTCAAGAAATATTGCCTAAAATAAACATGTAAGTAACTTGTATTTCTTAAATTATGTACATGTATGTCCTGTTTTATTTGATATCAAGCAAAACTTTATAATAGTACAATATATTGTGTTATTACAGCCAGCTGAAGTAATAAAGACAGATTTGTGTAAATATTATGAAGTAAAGAAAGATACATACAGAGCTCCACGAGTTTGGAGAATATTAAATACAACAGAAAAATCAAACTTAGACAAAGTTGTGCAATCTCAGGTAAGGAGATTCATAGTATTTAATAAAACTCTGCATCCAGTTGTGAAGCAGTTTTCGGGATTGTCCTCCAAACTAATAATGTCGTTTAGCACCTAAGATCTTTTTGGGAAGAGTTGGTTGGATCTTTTTGGGGAGGAGTTGGCTAAAAACATTAAAGATACATTATGGGAGATTAGATAAAGAGCTGGCAGTTCTCACTATAATAGTTAAAAATTAGATAATGTAAAGGGAATTTGCTGAAAATTTCAGTCAAATTGATCCACTCTGAACTGTGAATTTAGTGATTGAATTTTTGGCCTAGCCAGTTATTCATTTCATGATTTAATCATGTATGAAAGTTGAGCAGCAAATCAGATCCTAATCCAGTAATTCAAGAATTAATTGCGACATGATTTACTTAATATACTTCATATACACTGGGGTGAATTTATTTGTAAAGAATGTATATATTACTGTTGCAGGAATCTTCCCCATTATACATTGATAGTATTAAATGTAAAAGTCATCAACCTCTTCATGCTGATCCTGATCAGTATCAGTAAGTTCTTGTCATTAAATTAAATATAAACAGATAAATGTATAGTTGTCATGCATTGAATTAAGTATAGTTGTTATTAACCAACATTCCCTTTAATTAAACATGAAGACAAACATTACTTTGTTGCTTTTATAATCCTAGTCTTACAACAAAACATACTATAATGTTTTATCTCCCTTTCCCCACTCAAGTCATATTTTTGTTACCGAATATGTTACGTGACAGTTTCTTCATAATACAATCCTTGTAGTGTTAGGATATATTTTAAGAAATTGATGATTCTTTTCCAGACCTAAGAAAGATAATGATGAAGAAATAATTATTCATGATTCTGAAACTGTTAAAAAGATGACGCATCATGTGAAATATATATTTTTTCACACTAATTATCGACCACCATATTATGGTACATGGAGAAAAAAGAGTGATAAATTGACGCCTAGAAATCCTTTCAAGATGGATAGTGTAAGTATCATACTATTAATAAGTGAGACATAAACCTATAGAATATAAAGAAAGACAGTTTTCTACTGGTTATTGCAGAACAGAGAGTATGTTGAAGGGGCCGTATTGTATGAAATAGTGATGATGTTTATATATTTACAGGATTTGTTAGATTATGAAGTAGACAGTGATGATGAATGGGAAGAAGAAGAACCTGGTGAAAGTTTATCAGCTTCAGAGGTTGGTTATTTATCTTCAATTAAATGAAAATTAAATACACCAACCGGGCTAATTAATACTGATGTATTTGTGAGACAGCTGCATTTGTATTTATTGTCCCCCGCCTTTCGAAGAAAGCAGGGGACTATTAAAATGGGTTCGTCCGTCTGTCTGTCCGTCTGTCTGTCCGTCTGTCTGTCCGTCTGTCTGTCCGTCTGTCCGTCCGTCTGTCTGTCCGTCACACTTTTTGGGACACAATAACTCTCTTCCTAATTGAGCTAGAATGTTCAAACTTGGTGTATGTGTTTATTAGGTCAATGCCTTGATGGAGTTCGAAGATGAGCATTTTCCGCTTAGGGTAAGCAGAGATAAGCAATTTGATTGGTTGATGCTTTGGGACACGATAACTCTCTTCCTAATTGGGCTAGAATGTTCAAACTTGGTGTATGTGTTGATTAGGTCAATGCCTTGATGGAGTTCGAAGATGAGCATTTTCCGCTTAGGGTAAGCAGAGATAAGCAATTTGATTGGTTGATGCTTTGGGACACGATAACTTTTAATTGAGCTAGAATGTTCAAACTTGGTGTATGTGTTTATTAGGTCAATGCCTTGATGGAGTTCGAAGATGAGCATTTTCCGCTTAGGCTAAGCAGAGATAAGCAATTTGATTGGTTGATACTTTGGGGCACGATAACTCTCTTCCTAATTGAGCTAGAATGTTCAAACTTGGTGTATGTGTTGATTAGGTCAATGCCTTGATGGAGTTCGAAGATGAGCATTTTCCGCTTAGGGTAAGCAGAGATAAGCAATTTGATTGGTTGATGCTTTGGGACACGATAACTTTAGTTCTAATTAAGTGAGATTGATGAAACTTGGTGTATAGTTTCATTACAGTAATACCTTGACTAAGTTTGATAATGAGCATTTTCTGCTCAGGGTAAGCAGCAATTTGATTGGTTTATACTTTGGGGCACGATAACTCTCTTCCTAATTGAGCTAGAATGTTCAAACTTGGTGTATGTGTTGATTAGGTCAATGCCTTGATGGAGTTCGAAGATGAGCATTTTCCGCTTAGGGTAAGCAGAGATAAGCAATTTGATTGGTTGATGCTTTGGGACACGATAACTTTAGTTCTAATTAAGTGAGATTGATGAAACTTGGTGTATAGTTTCATTACAGTAATACCTTGACTAAGTTTGATAATGAGCATTTTCTGCTCAGGGTAAGCAGAGCGATACGCAATTTGATTGGTCGAGACTTTGGAAAACAATAACTCTCCTACTTTGATTGTTAGACTATAAGTAAAGATATACTGTTTGATTGTTCAATACTTTGTAAAAGATAATTTGTGATAAATTTATATGTGTCCTCTAATTATTTTCCTATTTCGGCGGGGGACATCAGCCTCACTGTTGGCTTGTTTTTAATAACATTGTCTGTGATACTTGTTTTTATTTATTTATATAAATATATTTATGTGATATTGGTTTAATTTGTCTCGTCAAAATCACCATATGTTTGGCACCATATAGCCCGGTTGAAGCTGACATGCCATAAAACTCCATTTCATTCCATTCATGTCAATAGTATAATGATTTTTGTTTGCATTTACTTGGAAGATTCTCAGTATCTGATAGTCTTCATGGACTGTTATGACAGCGTAGTTGCTGTGGGTTTATGTCGTGTTGCCTTTTATTAGAAAATTAGATTTTGAATTTCAACATCTTATTTCATGTGAAATAATTTGAGGTACCATAAGGATGAAGCTGTGAAACCTGTATTTATGATGGCTAGATTCAACATTTCTTAATAAACATAAAGAGAATTGACAATGTTTTGTATCTTTAGGGAGAAGATGGAGATGATAAAGAAAAGGAAGATGAAGAGGAAGGTGATGATGGGTGGATGGTACCTCATGGTTATCTATCAGAAGATGAAGGCTGTGATGATGATAAAGAGGTGAATTATTATATCTAATCATACCCTGGAAAATATATTCTAAAAATCTAAAAACAGATAGCAGAAAAAGTTTCTTTCTCAGATTTTCTGGCAGCCTGTTTAGTGTCACAAACCCCAAGCAAACACCCACATTATGTAGCCAGTGGAATGTATTAAACTTATTATGGCCTTTAATGATATAGTGGTTTTATTAATTCTTCAGTTGGAAATAATTGAATATTGTGCTAGACAAGATAGAAAAGCATTACTTGCTTTAGACCAGTGATTCCCAATGTGGGGCCGAGGAAAATGTGAGGGCGCGTAGGTCGCACCAGTGTAGTGTTGGTTGATAGTGAGGTACAGGTCCGTGTATCTGCATTTGTTTAAATGCCTTACATTGTATTTGTGTGAATACGCAAGTGAATTTAATCAGAAATACTGTTATTGAAGGTATATTCTGATCATGAACTTATAAGTTTTTATTTGAATTATGGGTCTGTGTAAATATGGGGGGTTGGATGGCTGAATGGTTAGCATGTGCGCGCTGTATCATAAGGTCTGTCATTGAGTCATCTGGCATGGTTTCGAATCCCCGGTTGTATGTCACAAGGAGTAGGGTCGCCTGTCTAAACTCATGGGTTTTCTCGGGATCCTCCGGTTTCCTCCCACTGCTAAAGACCCTTACGCACAAGCAAATTATTGAAATAAAATTGAACAATGTGTTAGTCCCAAAATGACCTAGTTAGTGTCGAGTAGACGTCAAATCCCATTTCTCTCTGTGTAAATGTTGTGGGGCACCAGATTTTTTCTTATCAAAAGGTGGGGCACGGGGGGAAAAAAGGATTGGGGAAACACTGCTTTAGGCGTTTACAAGCTCAGTACTATAATGGTTATTTTAATACTATAGATTACTCCCGAAGTATTAAAAGCTCGACAGCAAGCTAAAGCTGATCAGTGGGAAGCAGATTTAAAACGTCAATGTCAACCAGTTAAAACTGTTGTGCTTGGATGTTATTGGGAAGAGGAGGAAAGTCAGTTAAGTCAAATAGATTTAGATATTCTGGAATCCTTTTCTGTAAGTATCTTACTACATATTTCTATATTCAATATCTTTCTGTTAAAGGGGCTGGATATATTTTAGTAAATAAAACTGTCTAATTCTGTGAGAAAGTCTTAATTGACCACAATAGTGCTCTAACAACATATATCTAATCTCTGACTTTATTATAGGACCATTCCCTTGGATAGTTGGTGGCACTTTTATTAGGCTCCCCTATCGATATGTTTTTATACATCCCCATTTAACCATTTAATGTAAACATATATGTACATTGGCATGTTACGGCAGCCGCTCTTAAAAAGCACTATATAATAGATTTTACAAGTTTTGGAGGGGACAAGAGTTCATTGATGTGTGTTAACAGGCCTGTCTGATTCTTAAAATCATGTGTAAGGCTTTATCCTCCTTGGTAATTTTTAAATGAGCAGCACCCCTTATGATCTAGTGAATACCATTATATTTATTTTTGAAGGCTGTTTGCTTGTCAATGGTACCTGTAGATACAACATTATCTATAGATAAAACTAAATCTACAACCATGACACAAGGTACAGAAAGATGTGCTACGCCAAGTGGTTCAAAAGGAACAAAACCCAAATCAGTTCCTGAAGAAGGTATAAACATTATTTTGATGAAAACGTGATATAAGATGTGGTTTAAACAATAGACATTCAGTTAAAAACATTGTTTTTGCATTGGAATGACACTTCCATTTGACACAATGGTAAACAAAATGTGTTGATTTTTCAACCCATCTGCCAATACAATTACTTTTAAAAATTGTTTGCCAAATAAAACCTAAAGAACTTAATTGCTCAAGACCCCATATTATATACGGTATAATACCTTTCAACAGAATGTTACATTTCTCACACCCCAACAAGTTTGAAAATGCAATAGTCCTCATATAATCCTTTAGTGGCATTTAGCAATTGGAAACATAACAAAACTATACAGTTATATGGGACAACAATCACTGGTTTATTATACACAAGCACGACGTTTCGATAAGTGCTTGATAACGATAAGAAAATACTTATCGAAACGTCGTGCTTGTGTATAATAAACCAGTGATTGTTGTCCCATATAATAGTCCTCATGTTTGATAGTATTTTGTTTTTGATTATTAATTACTCTTAATTTCAGCAATGCCAGAACTAATTAAGCTCCTTCATGGTAACACATCTGGAATAAAGAAATTAATTCATGAATTCCGTGTTTATTGGAAACAGAAAACGGGTGGATTAAATAATGTGAATGGTGATTCTACTGTAAAAACAGAAACAGCCATGGAGGTAGAGGAGGAAGACTCACCTAAGAGAACAAATTTAAATGAATCCTTAAAGGAAGAAAACACCCCAGCTAAGGAGGATCAATTTAGTATAAGTAAACGTCAACTTGAGTTGAAAATTACATCTGTAGCAGTGCGTGAAAAAAGAAGTGCTTACAAAAAAATCTGTTGGCATGTGCATGACACTATTTTAAAACAATATAATTTAGAAGATCTCAGTTATCCTAATACATGGGAATATGTGACAGTGACTAAAGTTAAACGAGATGATAATAATACAGTAGATGTGGCGACACCTACTACTGGTACAAATAGTACGGAAGCAGATTTAAATATGTCTGTTTGTGATGAAAACCAAACACCTGTTAAAGTATTACCTAAAGATCAGCGATCTATAATGGATTTTACTAAAAAGTTGGCTCACCCACCAGAAATTGTTGCTAAGCCTGTGGAAATTATTAATGGTGCTAAAATTAATCCAGAAACGAAAAAAGTTGTAAAACCAAACGTTCTTAAATTATTAAATGCTGCTGCAAAACAGCAGCCAATTACTGTATCTACTTGTGACAATAAAAAACCTCCAACTACTAGTGAACCTGCTATCAGGGCTCCTGAACTTGTTCCAGTAGTAGAACGTATGGAAATTAATGAAGACAGTAATGGGTGTATTTTATTAGACTAGACCGGGGTAAATTATTTTATACCAAGTATGACTATTCTATTTATACTTTTATCAAAATGTGGTCTAGCCAAATTAATATTTAATTTTAGTTATCAATGATCATTTATTAATAAAATATTATCATGGCATAAATAACAAAGAATTATTCTGAATTATTATTTTGGGTGTATAAATTAACCTCGTGGATAATTTGTTTTTCTTGAATACTTTATAGCATGAATTAATACATGTACCGTAAACTTTGCATAAGTCGGATCTAAGTGGACTGACCAATTTTAACTGAGTTAGCCGAAGACCGAAATTCAATCTTAGCTTGATTAGAAATAAACTGCATGAGCCGGATAATAATTGATTCAAAGGCACATTTCAAGCTTTTATTCGTATGTGCGAGTAGATAACTTCCGTTTTGTTGCCATCTTTGAAAAATGTCCTAAATTTTTTCGGAAAGTGTATTGTACAGCGAGTTTCAATTTTTCTGGGAAAATTCTATTATTGCGTCGCGTCAAATAGGCTGATTTGAGGCAAAATGATAGAGGAAGGTATTTTGGGCTCTGTGCATAGAAAACATGTACCTAACCGCGATTTAGACCATTCCATTGGGATGAAACAGTCAAATACTGCCGATCCGACATGGGCAAAGGAAAAACGTCGGAATTAGATCAAATGGACCAAACATTTTAATCCAAGTTGAGCAAAGATCCGACTTAGGAAATCTGACTTACGCACAGAAATTTAATAAGAAAACCATGCAGTATCAAAGGGTCCAAACGATTTTATCCAAGTTGAGCAAAGATCCGACTTAGACAAATCCGACTTATGCAAGGTTTACTGTATCTTCTTCAGATTTATCAATCATAAAATTAATTCTTTATTCTTTTGCTTCATATCCTTTGCCTGTGAAAAACGTGTTTACAATTTAATCAGGAAACTGTTGTTATGGTAATATTTTATCCTATAAATATACATGTATGTATGTAAATCCTCTATTTTAACAGATATAGTTTTGTAGTAATATTAGTATCTTTAACTAATTTATAAGTCACTTGTGTATCTGTTGGCATCATTTTACAGTCTATGTGGAAGAATATTTTGTAGTAATATTGGCAGTAAATTTTTAAGATTGGCATAAACTATTGAAGTGCCATAAATATTCATTAATACATTGTTATGTATGTGTCGTGCAATATGACCAATCATTTTATTTTCATAATTTCCAGCATCACAAGCCTTTGTTAAACCTGATGTGATATAACCAATCCATTGATTGTGATCTTAATTGTTTATTTGGAGACTGTATCTTATTGTATTAATTAAATAAATACTATCAAATAATTATTGTGAATAAAAACATTTTTCATCTACATGTACTTACGTTCAAGTAATTTTTAATAAACTATAGTTTAATTATATATGTTAGATGTCATGTTAATGATTCATATAAAGGGATTCATAATTGTATTCTCTTAATACAGATATAAAATTTACTTATTTATTATTGTCTTAAACTCTTTTTTATGGTTGCCCTTCAAAGATGTCATTATGTACACAAATGTTAAGGCGCGGATTCCAATTGTGCATTTTTCGGACAAAATCTAATTTTCACATCTTAATCTGCATTAAAATATATTCAGAATTGTTAAAACATTAAGAAAATGCTGAATGTTGTGAAATTTTCAATTGTTCATAAATACTAAACTGACATTTTATTTTTTTTTATTTAGAGATTCAATTTTCACAGTATTTTAGTTTGCAAGATATTCTAATTTCATCAATTGACAATCAGCATCTTTAATCAAAGAATGTGCATTCTTTAGCCAAATCAAATCCAAATTATTTTGTCATGCCCAATAACAGGACCTAACCAATTTAATGCTGTTTTGGGGATATTTACATAACACTGTAAGAAATTGAATGATTTCTCCCAGAATAAAAAGAGTTCAATTAATTTAAGCTGCCAGTAAAAGAAACAAAGCACTGCTTCCCACCAGGCTTAATAATCATGGGTTTAACTGGGAATAAAGCCTAGTAAGAACTCTTCTAATATGTAACATTAGGAAAACCACCTTTGAAAAAAGTTGATGAAAACTTTTGTTCTATATGCAGCATGGGAAAACTGATGCATATGTGGGTAAATCTTTCAAGTCCTCAATTGCAGCTTTATTTTAATATCTATTAAATAACAAACAATAATATGATCAGCACTGAACACTTGACGTATCGGCAAATTTAAAAGCTTTGAAATGTCCAATTTTATTGCCATCTTCATCATAGTGTAAACTGGTTAAACAACCATCACATAAATAACAAGGTTCAACCGGGGTAAACACACTCTCTTCAACTTGCCATCTGAAATGTGATATAAATCATACAATTAAACTACATTCACTTGTAATGCAAAGATGCAGCTTATTACAGTTTTCAATAACATAGCATTGCCAGTCAACAAATAGACGGCCACCAGCAATATTCTAAGACTGGCTTACAACTTTCGATGATACTTAGCCCCACAACAAACTTTAGACCCTTAACAGCCAAACAATCCAAGAACATTTTATAGTTCCAAACTTCAATTCAAGTATGCTTTTATTTGTCTTCACAACCCCTAAAACCCTTTGCAGCATTATAAGAAACATGGACAGAATCACAATATTATAATGCTAGCATATAAAAACCCAGAAGGTGAATGTTCATTGGAGTGGAGTAGTTTCAGGATCTCTCCACTACCAACATCACCTATATTACACAGAACAGCAATGAAGGGAGGTATAGTCATACAGAAAATTTGAAGCACAGACTCTGAAATCGATCCAAAAACTCTTTAAATTACAGTTGTACACTGGTTTAGAATTGTTCATTTTTGATATTCCCTTACACTAATCTTATGTGCGTGTCTATTAAACAATAAGCAGTTTAAATGAAAGCATACCTTGCTGTGTACATCATACAAGATCTACATAGAACGCGCCTTCTAGACACCTGCCTAACAACAAATGGATAATCATCAACACACTGTGGATCATCTGCTATCAGCATTCTAACAAACAGAAATAAAATACATGTATTTATGCTTATACTATCATTTTTCTTATATAAAGCAGATAATGAGCAAATACTTAGTAATGGGAAGTAACTCTTTGCATTTATCCTTAACCCCATATTATCTCCCCTTTGACCACACAACAACTTGGGTACTGCTGAAAATATCGTTATAACTATGGATAGTTATAGCACTATAGTTATACATGTACATACAACAACCGTTTTCTGGATGATTGACAGGTCTCGGTTATCAATATAGGTAAAATATCCTAATTCAGAACATCACAAGCAAAAGGAAAATATGGCCAGGAATCTATTCTTGCCGACAAACTGATCATAAGAGATGTTTAATTCTTTGAAAGCAAAATAATCTACTCGTCACTGGAGAATTAAAACAAGACAACAGTGAGGCTGATGTCCCCCGCCGAAATCCCCAAATAAATAGATGACACATATTAATTAATCGCACATCTATTTTTTTCAAAAGTATCGAGCAATCAAACTGATTATCAACTATACACTAAGTTTTATCACTCTCTATCAGATAGAATCAAAGTTATCTTGTCCCAAAGCATCGACCAAGGAAATTTCTTATCTCTGCTTAGCTTTAGCTTGATATGTTAATTATTGAACTCAGTCAAGACAAACATCTACACCAAGTTTAAACATTCTACCTCAATTAGAAGCAGAGTTGTTATGTTCCAAAGTCTCGACCAATCAAAATGCTTATTGCTTCTTAGCCTAAGCAGACGATTCTCATCATCGAACTTCGTCACGGTATTGATGTAATGAAACTATACACCAAGTTTCACCACTCTCACTTAATTAGAACTAAAGTTATCGTGTCCCAAAGCATCAACCAATCAAATGGCTTATCTCTACTTACCATAAGCAGAAAATGCTCATCAAGGCATTGACCTCATAAACACCTACACTAAGTTTGAACATTCTAGCTCAATTAGAAGGAGAGTTATTGTGTTCCAAAGTCTCGACCAATCAAATTGCTTATCGCTCTGCTTATCCTGAGCAGAAAATGCTCATTATCGAACTTAGTCAAGGTATTGATGTAATGAAACTTTACACCAAGTTTCATCACTCTCACTTAATTAGAACTAAAGTTATCGTGTCCCAAAACATCAACCAATAAAATTGCTTATCTCTGCTTACCCTAAGCAGAAAATGCTCATCTTCAAACTCCATCAAGGCATTCACCGAATAAACACATACACCAAGTTTGAAAAGTCTAGGTCAATTAGAAGGAGAGTTATTGTGTCCCAAAAAATGTGACGGACAGACAGATGGATGGACAGACAGACAGACAGACAGACGGACGAACCCATTTTAATAGTCCCCTGCTTTCTTCGAAAGGCGGGGGACAATAAAGTAACAAATAACTGTATGTAATGCGCTACACATGTAGCCACAACTGAAAATCCAAATACTACTGTTTGAAGGAAAATTCTGGATGTCAGAACAACACTTGTATTTTAGATTTGAACTTACCTTATATCTGTAAATGAAATAATATGTTCACAGTTTCCTTGATGCATATACAAATAAGGTTCACCAAGTTTTACAGTTAAATCATTAAATCGGACAGATTCCATTGCAGTTGTCTTGTGGGGTGTTCCACAATTATTTGAATTTTTCATCCATTCAATGATAGGTCTGAAATAAAATGATATATTTTACAAATATTTTGTTAATAAAATCATCAAATCTTAAATTTTCTGCCAGCTCAAATTCATAATTCTTTCACTATCATGTAAATTTCCATACTGTGTTAATTTTTCTATATAACTTTATTCTTTAGAAATATTTGTACTTGTTAAAACAAATAAACCTATATCAATAGGTTTTCCGAATATGTAAACAACAATTTACTAAGTCAATGCATAACCATCTTGTTTTCCGAACAGTATTGGCATTTATTTGCTTTAGTATGGTCACCTGACCATATTTTATTTGGCTGTTATACTTCGTTCGAGGTAGGAAACAAGTGAATGGACAAGTGTGTAATGTCTTTTATAAATTGAAACATCGTACTTGCTATAATCTCTGTTGTCATCATGTCTGAAATCATTATAAAATGTACCCTCTATATACAGAAAACCAGACTTAAAAGTTTCCTGAAAAAATATAAAATATGCATTATAATCAAATATGCACAATTAGAATCAAAATTATTGTGTTCCACAGCATTGACCAATTAAATTGCTTATCACTGCTTAGCCAAAGCAGAAAATTCTTATAATCATTCAGTCAAGGTATCCACCTAAGAAACAGCTACCTGGTATATTGTGTTCTAAAATTAGAATCAAAGTTATTGTGTTCCACAGCATTGACCAATTAAATTGCTTATCACTGCTTAGCCTAAGCAGAAAATTCTTATAATCATTCAGTCAAGGTATCCACCTAAGAAACAGCTACCTGGTATATTGTGTTCTAAAATAAAAACAGATTGACGGACCCACACACAAACTGACCGATGGACAAAACCATTTCAATAGTCCCCTGTGTTCTTCAGAGGGAAAGGGGCAATAAAAGAATTGTGTAATCAAGATTACTATACTTACTCCACATGTAGGCGCTACCTGAGCTGCGGCTAAATTCTCACTAAAATCACCAGCAACCGCTAAATTATTTACACAGTCTATAGCATCACGGAATTCGGTTAAAAACATATCACCCCTCACTAATATTTTTTGATCTACCATTGGCTGAGAAAAAAATAAAATTATTCATTAATCAACAGGAAATATAAACATATGATGAATATTAATTGACAGTAATAGTGTCAGGGATGTAGATGGGAAATCCAGTCAATACATAGGTAAAAGAACTGAAGAGCAGATAACCATTTTGGAATACAGTAATCCCAGCCCCCGGGGGTAAAATGATCAAACCCGAAATGGACTTTAATGTCATACTTTTCTACACCAACAAGACTCATGAAGGTGGGCGTAAACCATGAAGTATGTCTAGGTTGTTTCTACATGCAAGTCAACGTGTAAAAGGCACTTCAGTTTTTTGTATCATCCAAATGACAAGAGACTGTTCCTTGCCAGGCCACGGACAAAGGCAATCTGATTAAAATACAGATCTATATTTTGTTTCGTTTTTTTTTTTTATACTTTCGATGGCCTACAGTACATGAAGATCTGACCGCCGTGACCGGTTGTAATGGAAGTTCACGTCAGAGGTCATACAAGCGACTTTTTAACCTATGACGTCAAACATTTGATTAACCAATCAGCATTGATGTTTCTAGTGGTTTACCCACAGTTCCTTGCACCTCACAGCAAAAACACGTTGTAACAGACTGTTTCATTGGCTAATCCCTTATATCATCCAGAATGCAGGTTGTATAACAACTCATCCAGATCATAGTGTAGTAAAGACAAGTAAAACAAAATTTTGAGCTATAAAAAATGAAACGAAACGATTGAGGATGAGGGGAAACCATTCTGTAAAATCACGAGAAACTTGCTTGCCACAACTAGAATTGAACCCAGAACGTCCTGGTTAGTGATCCTGTGCCTTACTCCCTGAGCCATTGTGGCTCTGTGATGGAACACAAATATCCATCTTTAGAAAAAGTGTTCCAATAGTGAAATGTTCTGGAAAAATACTATGAATTGGGTACCGAAAAAATTAATAATAGTGTAGAAGACATATATTATAGTAATAAACATTATCTTAGCATATGAACTTACATGGGTTAACTTGAAATTATACGGTCTATGTATATTAATAGATAAAACAACATTAGGTGTTGGCACTTGTTTTTCTGGAGGTAATGTTGCACGATTTTGTAATTTAGGATTCTGAAACACAAATTGAAATACATAGAGGGCATTACACCTGGAAAGTAATTTATACATATTCTCAATTCTTAAATAAAGCACTTCAAATTTCACAAAAGTAAAGCATATTAAACAGAGTGGCAGTAGAAGTATGTAATAATAAATCCATGTACAAAAACATTACAACATTATTTTTATGTGACATTATTGTCAAAATTACTTACATGTACAGTATCATTAACATTATATTTCATATTTTTTAAAACAGAGTTTTTATAGAAAAAGCTTTCCTTTCTTCGTTGCAAGTCTTGACTCTGGTAACTGAAATAAAAAATAAAATGTATTGCAACAGTATTAAATAAAATGTATATTTATCTCAAGACAACATTCCAGATCATAATTATATCCTCAACATTTCAAATCTTTAAAAGCATATCATGAACTATTATTGAAGTATTCATGATTCGCTTTAATTACCCACCAAAAATTAAAATTATGAAAAATAAATGGGATTTGTGTGTGTGAAATAGCTTTATTTAACCTCCACTTCCACCGAAGTGATATCGCCGGCAATAAATGGGATTTAATGAGTTCATTCATTTATACTCCCAGGTTCTGCTCACTTGAAACACGATTGTTTCAAGGTCAAAATGTCATTCCAGTGATTCTTGTCTCACATAAGTGTTACCGGTAGTTTTGTTGCGTTATTAGATGACAGATCGTATTATTATCGTAGTGTACCGTACTTACTATAATGTTTTTAAATCTGTTTCAGGTATAACTTGATAATATAGCTTTTTATCTTCTGGTTCACATCCACACAGAAGTGTCTCCAAACTGAAATATAATAAATTTTACCATTAACCACAAAATAATATTACATCTTGCAAGTAAATTTATAAAGTCTACAATTCAATTAGATATATTTCATAAATCAAAGCAAATTCTAATTATGTTTATGAATCATAGATCATGTCCAAGCAATAGCATTGTGAATCACTCGTCTGTCATCTATACAAGCCATGATTTTGATTCCATGATCGTATGTGAAATGTCAAATTCCTAATCTCAATGGGTCTTCTCTGAATTTTCTGACTTTCTTCCACCCTTAAAGATACATTCCCACAAAAGTGGGTTGATAGCCGATGTGGAAAAAGTGAGAGACTTAAATGTACAACAGTTTCTGAAATTAAAACTGCAGAAAATGGACAGCGATTAAAGACAACATCGTCTTTTATATGCAATGAATTCTCCTCTCAAAGATCACAATGGAATTTATCTTACCTACATACGGCAGATAAATCAGAAACAGTTTGTACGGGTAGATCTATATCTTGAGCAATTTGTTCAAGTGGTGATTCTTTCTTTTCGAGTGCTTTTGTGGTGAAATCTTCAATTTGACTCCATTTTTCTAGAAATTCTTGAATATTTATCAAGTTTGTGGAATCTTGTTCATTGTCACTCTTTGAATCAGTCATTCTAAGCGTAGGTATCTGCATTCAATACTACAAATATGTTAACAGTCAAAATCTGTAAGAAATAATGATGGAACTCATGAACATTAATCAAGAGGGAGATACTACATTCCTGGAATTTTGGAAGGGGTAAATAAAGTTAGCAAGCTTGCCCCTTCCTTTATAAATTTCTGGTTGAAGTAGACTAGCTGTGCAAATAATCATATAATATATAATTAAGAATAAAACTATTAGATTAGACTATTACCAGACCAGCATTATTTTGATTAATTGAGTCAGTTAATGTGTTTTTTTTTATACAAAATCATAAATGTGCTCCCTTAAATTGGTGATCGCCTACCCTATGAAGTAGAGTTTGTAGGCCTATCATGTGTTCACTTCTCAAATTTTATCTATAGGTTGCTTTTTTCTCAGTACAAACACAAGCAGTAATATGTTAAATTATGTATATCATGCATAAGTGTCAATAGTCATTGATATTTGTATGTACCTAATAAATACAAAAACACCAAACTACAGAGAGTTTGAGAGAGAGAAAGAGAGAGAGAGAGGGGTGTGGTTTAAGTCCACTCAACACAAACTAGGTCATTTTGGGACTAACACATGGTTCAATTTTATTTCAACAATTTACTTGCACGTAGGGGTCTTTAGTAGTGGGAGAAAACCCATGAGGTTGGACAGGCGACCCTACTCCTTGTCATGTACAACCAGGGAATCGAATCCATGCCAGTTGACTCAATGACAGGCCTTATGATACAGCGCACACACGCTAACCATTCGGCCATCCAAAAGAGCGTTTAAAGATTATCAATCTATAAATAATCCATTGAATCATCAATTGTCAAAATAATGGATAAAGCTGAATGATTGTAAAAAAAAATAATGCTGAATTCAGAAATGTTCTGTGTTCTATCATCATGGTGCATGATAACATTTACATATGAATAATGAAGTGCATGATCGCCTAATGTCCTATAGCCTATAGCATAATAATATAGAATTTTCAGTGATTAGGCCTATTTAAGCACATTTAAGCCACTCTGGTGCACTATAGTCGTATTTGAATTTTCGGTCATTTTTTTTTTGAACATGCAATTTTGTTTTGGCAACTGTTGATAAACTTGCTCACCTATCTTGATGTTATGTTTCTTTTAACGGTACCGGTATTATTCGTTTCAGTGTGTTGATTCCCAGTTTTTAATCGGAAGTAAACTTAGGCGAGTCTTATTTTTACGTGAGGGTACATTTTGTATTAAAACAGTATGAATTTTGTTTTTAAGAAAAGCGTGCAACAACACATTTCCTCACATGTATTCTCTGTATTATAAATTCATGGATGGAAAAGCTATCTTATCAAAATATTTATGGATTTTGCCGTATACGCCAAAGCTCGAAACACCATTTTACACCAATGGACTCGTCCAAATTGCCACGGGTTGGCGGGAATCTTAACTGTTTATTTTGCGGTAACTGTTGATGCAGCTGTCTGAAATTTGTTTGAATTGTCAGTTCTAACAGGTATAACATTTAGATCATATTTTGGACAATACCGTCGATGGGCCTATAGCATACAGCCGGCCTTAATTTTCACTGTGTAAATACGGTTATTATGACTCTAGTTACAGTTTGTAAACCATGTTGTAATTAGAATCATGTATATATTCACTCTACTTAATATATCAAGGCATACCTTGACATTTGGTGACACCTTTTAATCCCCTGTTTTAACAAGGGGGAGGACGAAAGATAATGATGATAAACCAATATGTTAAGTTAATTAAGCCATTAGTCCACAGTTTAACAGATAATGTAGGGAAAGGGTGGGTTGTAATAGAACCACTAGCTGTGAGTTATTCTATAAATATCACGAGTTGTGAAGTATTGTACATGTATATTAATTATGTCCCATGGGTTATGTTTTATTGGACTGTACATATATTCTATACCAGCTAACACCAGGGAATAGAATGTCTTTGACTACAATCTATGTACCAATATATCAGTACTTCATAATATAACCCAAAACCCCGCATCATCAGATCCATGCAGAAAAGATTGATTTGTAAAATTAATTCATAATTATTTACCATAACACACAATTTTTTTAAGGCTATCAACACAGAAAATTTTAAATAACATGATCTGAACATGGTTTGAAAGAAATATCACTTGACAATGTAGTTCAAAGTAAAAAATATAATGAAACGTAATTGATATTTAATTCAAATTGATTTTTTCCAAATACTATGCTCTGTATATTTTATATTACAGACTAACAATGGTTCTTGGTGCTTTAATTGGTGCAGCTTTATCCTGTGCATTGGGTGCAGTATGGTATGCACCAGTTGTTTTTGGAAACGCATGGATGAGCGTAACATTTCCTGGAAAAAGTGCTCGACAAATCCGAGCTAGTGGATCAGTTGGTGTTTCAATGGGTGTTTCTCTCCTAAGTAGTGGTACTCTTGCACTTTTAATGCAGTGTATCTTAGTGTAAGTAATGTGTATGTGTAACTTGATAGATGGTGCTAATTCTATAGGTCTGACTGACCTAAACCTGATAACCCACCCACATCATGATCAAAAATATGTTACATGGAGGAATCATCATATATAAAATATCAAAACGTTCTAAAAAAAACATGATAACTTAAGAATGGACACTTGGAATGTCATTTTCTCACTTTTAAAGTTAGTTTTATCATCTCATCATTTTTCCTTTCAGGAACTTTTTCAAAGTACAGAGTCTGACTGAAGCAGCATCTGTTGGTTTTGGACTGGCATGCCTTTCAATTCTGTGTGATATTTCACATTGTACTTTCTCCCAGAGATCAATTCTTGGTTTTTTCATTGATCATGCTTATGATGCTGTTTGCTTAGTTATCATGGCTGTTAGCATTGTATATTTTAACAAATTAGGACTCGATATTCCCATACCTATTATAGGAGGATCCGGTAAAAAATCAGGCCTTTAGTTTCATAACTTACTGGTATCTCAAGATCAGTAATACATTTATTATACATTACATTGTATATTGTCATTTATTTTAAATCTTATCCTTAGTATCATTTATCTAGGTTATGTTTAGTCTGCTTAATGATTTCTTTAAGTTTTATTATTTGTTATTCATTGTTTAAGGCTTATGTAAGACCACTTTGCTTCTGAGATTTTATTCATCATACATTTAGCAGTAATCTTAAATTTCTGATGAATAAGACCCCATGTCATTTAGTTATATTTACATATTTTATAGTGTTTTGTAGAGAAATAATATTTTAGAATAACATTAATAATGGAGATTTGATAAAAAATTTATGTTGGTTATGTAAAGACATGTAGATGATCGTATTATAGTACACTCCAGTTTATGTATCATAGTTAATCATCATCATTAGGTCAGGAACTGCAGACATGTTCGCATTCCATAAATTTTATATGCACACGTTTTTTGGTTTTTTTTAGGCCAGTCATTTTATTATTGTTAATATTTAGTCTTCATTAAATCTTCATGTAGCTGTTTTATACATATATTTGTCACTTTTAATAGATATTTAATAAAAATTCAGTAGGAAAATTAATACAAACTTATACTCATTATGTTTATACGGGTTAGCTCAGACCAAAAATTTTTGCTTGAGGAAAATTAAAAAAGTAAAAATAAAAACCTTGCAATTATGCAACATTCCAACAAAAACAAGTCCTTATAAACGCTTGCATTGGGCACTACATAAGCGCATGAATTGTGATATCAGGATTGCAACCATGTTTGGTGCACAACCCATGTCAGTACTTCTATAGCCAAAGAATGCTGCAGTTTGTACAAATACAAATACACTGTACATTATATGTAATAAATCCTAAGCACTAATCAAAGGCAAATGATCTAATAAAGATACATGTCATTTCATTTTTCAGAAATTTTTATCCATTGTTATTTTCTGTTTAACTTTGTAGGTCAGGCTCCAGAATTTTGTATACAATGTACAGTTAATTGTGATAAAATATTTAAATAAAATAGTTTTAACTTTATGCAATAAATTAATTTTTTCAGTTATTTCAGAATATAAAGTAGATAACTGTTTATAGTTTTGCAAAAATTAAATAGTGGTTTCTGCACTGACTGGGCTAATAAAAACGGGGAATACACCATGAGTGGTGCGGCACTTGGGTTAACACTATTTACCTTACTGTCCATATCACTGGACCCTGTTCCTTCCCAAACCCTCCATCTTGGACCACTGACAAGCTATATTCTTGGTTCCTAAAGTTGTCTTTGAAAATTTATATCCTATCTATATTTATAAGACGAAGAAGCCTATGAAATTTCAGCAATGGATGATAATTTCCAGGGTTATTGCTCTTGATCACTTTGTAGACACTATTAAATGGCATCTTTTTGCACTTCTGTTTATTCCACCAAAAGTTTTGAATGTTATTGATCAAATTCAAACAGGAATCTTCCGGACTAATATTCCAATATATAGTACCAAGAATCTCAGTAATATTATTGATCACTGTGATTCAGGTAAATAGGTGCCAGGCTATATTTGGAGTAATCGAAGCATCAAACCTGTGAAACCCCACTTCCCTGGTCAATCAAATAGTATCATCCACCTATGATTGTAGTAGTGAATGGGGAAATAATAATTATACACGACATCTAGAATTTCAATGATTTTAAATATTCACATACATTTTTACCTTGCTTCCTTCTAAATGATTGTTGATGCAAACTAATCCTTGACTGAATCTATTTAGTGTTTAATTATTAAAATATATTAAATTACGGACCATCTATTAAACATACATTTTGCAAGAGCTAAATCTGATTATTGCAAGTCTTTAATAAGGCTTCAGATGTCATAGAAATTATAAATTAGATCTTTATTTACACAACAAGCACAAAATCAACTCTGTAGACCCACGGATGGCTTGGATTTAAACAGGATTTCGTTGACTGATTTAATTTTAAGTAAACGTTTGTCCAGATCACAGGATGTTTGAATGGTTGTGACCCGATTTATGGAAAGTTATAACTTATTAACCTTGTTTAATATTAAATATGAAGAAAAACTAAATTATACTTTTGTCTATACACAATACAACTCACTCAGCAATATGGGTTCAATAATCAAAACCAGATTAAATATTTTTCAATCGTTTTTATAACCGCTTTAACAATCGCCGATCAATTATCGGCAATAATCACAACTCACTATATATATAAGCAGAATGGGTTCAACTTATTTCAATTTATTTAAACAACATATAGAAAAAGGTAAGAATTTGAGGTACGAAGTGAGAAACAATGAACTAAGTACGAAACAGCTCGGTTACGAAACAGCCTGCACCCATTAAAAACAGTCTTTGAAACAAAGCCAATATAAAAATTCGGCGCAACCGAATGGGACCACTTATATGAAACGCACTATAAACTATACTGACATGTACAGTTAAAGCAATGTGAACGTGATAAAAATAGTTTACCGGAAGAGCGAAACTGTGAACATAATTATGACAATGCATTTAAACCTGAAATAAAAAGGGGTAAATATATATGTAACTTATTTAACGGTATCGAGCAATAACTATTAATAAGATGTTTAAAGTAACATAACTTGGAAGCGTATTTGCTGTAAGATACGAATGTGGAATACGGGCCATGATCCGTCATACTATTACTAAATTATAGTAAATATTGGTTCGATCGGTGAACAGTGATGTAACGAGTTGCATGAACTTCGTTATGAATTATCCAGACCGAGACATAAACATTTTGTTGTAGATCTAATGATTACGATACCCTATATAATGATTATGATTCTGAAATTTCAAGATATTTGGCAATTATATATATATACACCTGTTGACTCTTGTGTTCTCTGATGTATATTAATGATAGAAATATATCAACGAAATCTTGGTCAGGCATTATGTTGCTATCAGTAAAATATTAAAGGTAATGACCCCTAGCTTTGATATGGTAGGAGTGTGGGTAATTGATTTGCGATACTGATACTTTGAATTTTACATTTAATTGCATGGAGCCACGGTGGCTAAGTGAGTAAGATGCTGGCTCGCTAGCCTGGAGGTCGCGGGTTCACTTTCGGTGTTGGCCAAAAAAGTCCATCAGGATTTTCCGGCATGGTTTACCCATGTCAGTGATGCAGGATGGAGAACCTGACAAAGACAGCTGTCCAGTCGTTCGGATGGGATGAAAAACCGAGGTCCCTTGTACACATTGGCATGCATGTAAAAGATTCCTTGGCAGTTGGAATTCAATATAAGAGTAGGCCGTAGTGTGCTATCCGGGCAATATTTCCCTCATAGCACACTGCATGGCATATGACCATCTTCATTAGCCCAGTCAGAGGAGAACAGTAGGATGTTAAACCCTATTTCATTTAATTTCTTACATTTGCGACATTCATTCTGGAACACCTGATACAGGTTCTCATTTATTTAGGATGTTCAGGAAGTTGACATTTAAAATTCCTTGTATAAGTCAACAGTACCATCGGACACTCTGGTAATTGGAATATTTTGGGGGATCACGTGGCTAAGTGGGCAAGACGCTGGCACGCTAGCCTGGAGGTCGGGTGTTCAATCCCTGCATTGGCCGAGAAAGTTCATCCAGATTTTCTCCCTTGCCAGTGATGCAGGACGGAGGGCCTGACAAGAACAGCTGTCTAGTCGTTCGGATGGGACGAAAAACTGAGGTCCCGTGTACACATTGGCGTGCACGTAAAAGATCCCTTGGCAGTTAGAATTCGATATAAGAGTAGGCCGTAGTGCCGCTGCCCGGGCAAAATTTCCCTCATTGCACACTGTATGGCGTATGCCCGTCTTCATTAGCCCAGTTAAGGAGCAGAACAGTAGGACATTAAACCCCATTTCATTTCATTTCATTTCGGTAATTGGAATAACATATTATACAGTTATATATACTAAAATCAAACGAGTTGTTGTCTTTCAACTATTGTTAATCCGGCTACTGATAAATCTCAGTTTGAATATTATTATTTATTAACAAGTGACATGTTAATTCTTTTTTTTATTTCAGATGAGCAATAATGAGCATGATGGCTTTTATTACTACATAATGTGAACAAATACAAGCAATAAGCCAAGACAGGCAAAATGTCACAAGGTGAAGAAAAGGGAGTTATAAAGGTGAAAGCCACCACACCAATGTGCAATAAAGATTTCAAAAGTAAACCACCCCATGAAAATTATATGGTGTTTAACATATCAGATTCTTCAGTAACAACGGTGCACAATAGAATCACAACATCTTCTGATACTTCTGCATTGTCTGTTGCTGCCATGTCGTGTGGTAGTACTTCTACATGTGGTCAAAGTTCTTCTTCGTGTGGTTCTGGTGGTGCAACATGTGGTCCTGCATGTGGGCCATGTGGACCAGGATGCTCCCCTTGTGTGCCCAAACAGAAACCAAGGACTGATTTACCACTTAGTGAAAAATTGCGGCTGATACAAGTTAGTGAAGCAACTGGGAAAAGCCAGAGAAATCTAGCTCAGGAATTTAACATATCATTAGGATCTGTCAACAATATATTAAAAAGAAAAAAGGAATATCAAGATGCATACGAAAATAATGAAATTCCTTTGAACTGTAAAAATTTTAGACGGTGCAAGAAAGGTGAATATTTAGAAGATTTAAACAAGTTAGTCCTTCGATGGATTGGTATAGCCCAAAGTAAAAACATATTACTTAATGGAGCTATGATACAAGAAAAAGCTAAAGATTTTGCCACAAAGTTAGGTGTATCGTTTACCCCTTCAAATGTATGGTTAAGTGGTCTCAAGAAAAAGTTCAATATCCAATTGCGCACCGGTGGTTGTGACTGTGCAGATCCAGGGAGCAGAATTTTTAGCACGTGGGCAAAGATGTTACCATATCAAGTTCAAGGTTGTGAACCCGAGAATATATTTACCTGCGGTGAGACAGCTTTGTTTTATAAAGGTCTTCCCGATCGTTGTTACGTTGATGGTACTGTTTGTTTTGGTTCCCATCACAATTTAGATTTTACCGAAAACAAACTTACTATTTTGTTTTGTTGTAGTGCTGCAGGAGAAAAATTGAAACCACTTGTTGTTGCTAAGGAAGGCCGACCACCATCTTTACAAGACTGTAACATGGATGAGTTACCTGTTCGCTGGCTTCAAAACAAAAACTCTTGTATGACGGCTGAAATATTTTCAAACTGGTTAAGAGAATTAGATGAACAATTAGAACAGCAAGACAGACACATAGCACTGTTTATGGAAATGATTCCGGGCCATTTAGCTAGTGTTGTACTTAAAAATATCAGCATCAAATACTATTTAGACAATTCTGGTACATTTCTTCAACCTTTACAACAAGGGATTTTAACCAACTTTAAGGCACATTATCGTAGACGATTTTTACAGGCTGTGTTGGCTAGAAATGAGTATAATGAGGATACAAGGAGTGTGCTTCAGGATGTAACTGAGTTGGATGCTGTTTACTGGATTAAACAGAGCTGGAATAATGTTCGTAAATCAACCGTCGCTAGTTGTTTTGAAGCAGTTGGCTTTGCGGCAGATACAGGAGGAGAGGAATGGGAAGATAACAACCCAACTGATTTAATAGAGCTTGTTGAAGAAACAGGAATGGCCTTCAAATTCATGCCCATGTTTACAGAGGTCTATCTTCAATTTGATTCTCAAATTCCATGCCATGTTTATGAGACAGAAGATTGGGAGAGTCAACTTATTCAGGAGGCTATTGCCAGTAATGTCAAAATGGAACCAGAAGACCCAACTCCTGAAACTAGTGGTCAAAATCAAAGAGCAATAAATCAATCTAATGAATCATCTACTTCCAGTCAAACACGGACTCAAGAGATTGTGCTGCCCGAGGTCACACAAGAAGATGCTCTGTCTTCTCTTAAAAATCTGAAAATATTTGCTAAAGGTGATAATGTACTTCTCGATAAAATCTATCATTTGGAAATATCAGTGTTAAATCATATAACTAAATTAAGGAAAAAATCTAAAACACGCTTAAGAAAACCAATCTTTTACCAAAAAGAAAGTACTTCACTCAACAGTTCAAACTTACCACAAGTACAAGTTCACGTGACTGAAAAGAACTAAGCTGAAAAAAATACATGAAACTGAATGAATGTGACTTGATTTCTGTGTTATATATATATTCAGTAGATACAAAATTTGATCCATGTTTGATGACTCTATTAATTTATAAAGAAAATTTTGCCAATTTAGTAAATGGGCTAAAATAAAATCTGATCTGTGATTTAAAGGCTTTTGATTTGTAAAGAAAAATGAGTTTTAATTTATTGCTGCAGTCTATATTAGGGGTGGTGTAGCCTCTGTGCCATCTTCACAATGTCAAGGTATTATGACTTGCATCCGACCCTAAAGATATTTTAACAAGATTTGAGGTAATTAAAGATGCATTATGTAAGAGCTAAATCTGCCTATTGCAGGTTTTTATTTTCGCTCAAATGTTATATACTGGTAAACTATTATTTAGACATTTAAAAATTGAACAAAAAAATGGATGTAAAGTAGGCCTACAGTTGCTACTGCTAATAAACAACCTACACTACATCTTGTCAAAACTTTGAACATTCATAACTTTGCTTAGAATAAAGTAATTCTAATTATCTATTTTTAAATAATATAGTAAGAATGGACAGCCTTTTCTCCAAATCATACGTAATGCATCTTTAAGAGCACATAAAAAAAGCTGCACTCAAAGACAGTAAATGACCAAACAGCACCACAGTCATCCATACAAGCCATATAAGATTTCATTAAAATTTAGTCCTTCGGCTCATATTCTAGTCTATATTTCCATGAGCAGAAGGACTGAAATTACATCACAGCTTTTTTATTGGTGGAAATGTTACCTGTGGCAGGTAACATTGACATTCAGGATCGTTTTATACTATGGAAAGGATATGTTGACATAATTACTTCCTATTGTTCTGCTTCGACTTGGCTAATGAAGACGGGTACATGTATATGCCATACAATGTGCTATGAGGCGCTACGGCCTCCTCTTATCTTATATCAAATTCTAACTGCCAAGAGATCTTTTATGTGCATGCCAGTGTGTACTCACAGGACCTCAGTTTTTCGTCCCATCTAAATGACAAGACAGCTGTCCTTCTCAGACCCTCCGTCCTATACATCTGACACGGGGGAAACCACGCCGGAAAATCCTAATGAATTTTTTACGGCCAACACCAGGTGCAAACCTGCGACCACCAGGCTAGCAAGCCAGCATCTTACCTGCTTGGCCACCATGGCTCCCAGAAGATGTCATTAAAAACCCTTATCGCTATTCCCTAACTGAGTTAACATAACCTAAAAAAATTCAAAAATTCTAAAGTTGTTACATAAGCAATGGGTATCTGTGAGTGAATCACTGTAGAAAAGTATCAAATAATAAAACTGATATCTATGCTTAGTCTAAGCAAAAAATATTCACTATCAAACTCAGGTTTTGAAGTACCTTGTAGTGAGTGAAACTATACACTAAGTTTCATTACTCTCCATCAGTTAGAATCAAAGTTATCTTGTCCCAAAGCATCGACCAAATAAATTACTTAGCTCAGTCTAGCTTTAATAGGAAATATTATTCATTGAACCCAATGAACATCGATACCTCAATTAAAAGCAGAATTGTTATGTTCCAAAGTCTTGACCAATCAAATTGCTTATTGCTACTTAACCTAAGCTGAAAATTCTCATCATCGAACTAGTCAATGTATTGATATAATGAATCTATACTCAGAATTTCATCGCTCTCACCCAATTAGAACCAAAGTTATCGCGTTCCGAAGTCTCAACCAATCAAATTGCTCATCTCTGCTTAGCCTTTGTGGAAAATGCACATGAACGAACTATCAAGGCTTTCACGTAATGGACACCTACACCAATTTTGAACATTTTACCTTTTAAAAGGAGAGTTATTGTGTTCCAAAGTCTCGACCAATCGGATTGAAGTCTGACTTTGCCTAAGCAGAAAATGCTCAGCATCGAACCTTGTTAAGGTATTGATATAATAAAACTATACACGAAGTTTCAGCAGTCACCACCATCACTCAATCTGAATCAAAGTTGTCGAGCTCTAAAGTCCCAACAATCAAATTGTTTATCTCTTTATTTACCCTGAGCCGAAAATGGTCTCATATAATCAAACTTAGTCAAGGTATTGATGTGATGAAGCTATACACCAAGTTTTACCACTATCGTGTCCCAAAGCATCAACCCGTCAAATTGCTTATCGATTCGAAGGAGAGTCGTTGTGTTCCAAAGTCTCGACCAATCAAATTGCTTATCGCTCTGCTCACCCTGAGCAGAAAATGCTCATTATCGAACTTGGTCAAGGTATTGCACACTGATCAGAAGTGAATATTCGCTAGGCCGCTACAATCACTGATAAGGATGACATCAATGCGACTTAATGAGTCTCAATTAACTTTTTTCCACCGACAAATTAAATTCTAATTTTGATTTTGTACAAAAATAAATAAAGACGTTTGACGTATTTTTAGATAAAAATTATTTCCTATTTAGTGTAAATGGGTATTAAAATGGCTAAAAGGCGGAATTCTGCCCGAAGCAGTAACGTCTTACGTAAACAATGCACACGCCATTCAGCCAATGCGCTGTGACGGCACGTGTTAAAGGCGGTCATCTTTTACAGAGATATTAGAATACTCGTAATTCTCTGTGAAACAGATTGAAGGTATTGATCTAATGAAACTATACACCAAATTTCATCACTCTCACTTAATTAGAAGTAAATTTATTGTTTCCCAAAGCATCAACCAATCAAATTGAATATCTCTGCTTACCCTAAGCAAAAAATGCTCACCTTCTAGCTCAATTAGAAGGAAAGTTATTGTGTCCCAAAAAGTGTGACGGACGGACAGTCAGACGGACCAGGACGAACCCAATAAATTTAATAGTCCCCTGTTTTCTTCGAAAGGCGGGAAACAGAAATTAATGAGAAGAAGATTTTTTTTTAAAAAAAGTTCTTAAATACTCCAGTATTTAGAGCAGGCCCGTAGCAACCGGGGGGCAAGGAGGGGGGCCTGAATAAATGCCCCCCCCCCCCCCCGAAAAAAAAGTTGCCGACCATCACTCTAAATCCACTGTAGACTGTGCACCCACCTAAAAACTGGCCTGATTTACGGTGTGGCTTTTGTAGGACTCTAATTGGCTACTGACTGGTACTGTGAGGTCCTTAGAAATGCAGTTATGTCTTATAAATTTATGAAATTTCTACCCAATTAGACACAGGATATCTTTTTGCTGTATTATGTATACAACCAATATTTTATACAGTATATATCATTGACTTTAAAAAGTACAAAATAAAGTCTCTGGTTATCATTTGAGGGATTTTTAATATTTTAAAAAGTTAACTTCTAACATTCCAAAAATGGTTCAGTTCCGTTTAGTATTGAAAAATAATGATGTGAACAGGGTATATTGTCAAAACAAGAAGCCTATCATATTTTGAAATTTTCTGACATTTACATAGGTTGTTGCCCATAGCTCATTTTTATTGTGCCATTACCCCATTAATACATGTACTTACAAAACAAGTAAAATATGACCGATTTTATGGACTAGCTAGGTGGACAACTTATAATTGGCTGCTTTGAGGGTATATGTGTGGTTCTTACTTATTTGCACTGTATGAGCTATTAACCTTACACATGCCATACTGTGCTAGTTATTTGCTATAAGGGATATTTAGCTCGGGCAGTGCTGTGTATACACGTTTTAATGCACATAAAAGAACTCTGGACATTAGTATTGTCCAGAGTTCTTTTATGTGCACTAAAACGTGTATACGGTACTTTGCTTTTTGACCCATCTCATGAGCAACTCTGTTCCTTGCCAGGCGATCCGTTCAACAAATACAATAGGACTACTGCCATTTATATGTGAATTATTTGTGGGCTAAAATGTGGCAAATTCATTTGAAGATTCAGATATATTTTATATTTATAATTCCTGAAAACAATTCCTAGCAATAATTGAATTAATACTGGTCGACCTAATTGGATACTATTACTAATTAAATTGTAGGTACAAATAAAATGAATTAAAACAAGTACGTTACCGGCGGGGCCCTGTTACCGGTACTTAATTGATTCATAACCATTTTTAAACATTTTAATGGTAGTTAAAATTAATTTATTGTTGAATAAGCTTATAAAAATAACTTATATTAAGTTATATGATAACCGTTACGTTGGGATTATACAATGTACTTTTTTTTATTCAGTAGACAATGTAATCTCGTGGACCTGTAGGCCTACATTTTGAAGTCCAGTGTGATACTCCACATCATGGCACATGGTGATTTTACTATGTTGAACATTGGACCCATTCCGTTAACTCCAGTTTCACGCAGTTAACTCACAGGTTATTTATAGATTTGGAAAAACATTTGACTCATGCGCCAGCAATAAACTATCTTTTGACCAATCACACACTCTCTACCGCTCACCCAAACTGACACTACTCACAGTAAACTAACCGTCACGTAGAAATCACGATTGACCTTTGGACTACGGCTGACGAAAACAGTATTTATAAAAGCAGTGGGGTCTCAAAACGGTACATTTATGTTGGAGTTGTCTTCAATAATAGTTCGGTGAGTGTTAATTGTTTTGGAAGCGTTTGTTATTCTTGATAATGCACATGTAACATTTTTGTATTAAGCCAAAAATAGATGAAGGAACTAAAACGATTACTATTTTGCATATTATTATAATTAATGCTGGACACTGGCCGGAGAATTTTCTTTGTTTACGTGTAGTGGCCATCAGGCAAATCATTGAAACCTTGACCATTGCACCGTCTGATTTCTTTCGGGACGAACAGGGGTGGATTTATTATGTTTGGGTGCACGCAGTAGGTCTTAATCAACTGTAGTAATATAATAATATTAATTAATATAGCTGTTTTCATCTGTTATACAATTGAGAGAGAGAGCGAGGAATGGAGGGTAACACAAACTAGGTCATCTTGCCCTTGGGACTAACATGGCCCAATATTTCACAAAATACATGTCAATGTCAATATAATTAATTTTTTTTGCTACAGATTCGAGATTTCTTAGTCACGACCCATCCCCAACATAAGTGTCACCCATCCCTTTTTAACAAAGTGCATATTTCTGGAAACTGTTTCTCCAAAAATTTGTCCAATTTGTGTGATCTAGGTCTACCAGTATAGGGCCTACAAAATTTAAGCCTGTTCAAAATTAGGTCTACATATTGGGTCTAGTTTTCATTTCCTTGTAATAAATAATCATATCGCATGTTGTTCAATATAAACAATTTTTTCTTTTGTTACAGAAAAAAGTTAATGTATCGACAAAGTATAGCTGCTGAAAACGCAAGAATGGCTGAAGAAAAGTTTATTATTCGACTAGGTAATCTACCAATGGTTCATTCTGCCTGGAACGCAGGATGTGGAATGTACCAGAAAACAAAAGAAAGTAATGCCCTGTTTAGAATGTCTTTGAATATTGCAGAAGGCAGTGTTAAAACTGTAGCAAGCACCGCAATGCCATTGGTTGAAAAAGTTCAACCTCAAAGTAAGATTGATTTTATTATAGATTTAATAATATGGAAGAAGTGTTCAGAAAATCACTTTAAAGCATGATTTTAGGTCTAACAGTATATAATACATGCCTAGCCCAAGGCATGTCATACTATCATGGTTGAATGCACTTTGATGATATTAATTCTTTTATTGATTAATGGACAATATCTTTGTCAGCACACTTCAGATTTTGATTAAAGCCCTATTATAAATAAAACTGTCCAAATCCCATTTAATACATTGAATAATCTCAACCAGAATGTAGCTTTAGCATAAAGTCAGAGCATAAATTCTTGAGGATCCATTCCTTTTGCAGAGATTTTCTGATTGATGGTGCTATATTTTATCAAATGGATTTGTATTTAAAGCTACTTTACCACATACAAACTGTGTGATTTGATGATATATTTGGACTAAAAACATATTCAAACTAATTAATCCATCAAAAATTGACTTCAAATCCCTCTCAAAACTTTGTATTCGTCAGGAAATACCTCAAGCTATAAATAAACTGTTGTTAGATGAGGGAGGTTCCATTTTTCAGAATGTATTTTTTTTCGTTACTGTCTATTTATCATACCAGTACATATTGAGGTCTAAGTAAATTCTCGATCATTTTCTGTCAACTACTTTTTCTGCCATTTAATTGCAGAGTCTTTCGTACGTTGACACCCCTGAATGTTCCCAAAACCGCCTAACCATTTGATCAAGAAATAACAACCGCTCCCTCAGTCAAGGTAGCACACAATATCTGGCAGACAACAGTCGGGGTGCCAGTTAGTGAAACCCTGACATTTTTGCCCAGTGCTTGCCCCATGGGTGTTTTTCGGGTAATCCAGTATTTTTCTAGTAAGATTGGGTGTCTGTACTTTCCATATATACCAAATTTGCCATGCTTTCATTGGATATAATCACCTGATAAATACTTTTGGAACAATGTATCTTTAATTGTGTATCATTTTATTTAAGTTGATTATGTGAATAGTATTGCTGTTCAACAATTGGCGAAACTAGAACAAAGATATCCTGTTATTACGAAGCCAGCTGATCAGGTGAGTTTAATCTTCATCTCTTACATTTAGAATTGACCTTTGTCCACTTGTTTAATTGATCAGTGGAAGTTGAACTTTTCAGGATTCACAGACACCTAATATGACATAATATTGTACATGTATGTATCTTATCAAACTTATCAGTGGAATGCCTATTTAGATATAGTTCACAGCAAAGTTAAATGCACATTTCATGATACATTATCACATGAGAACTTTGTACCTCACATTATTTCCTTATAGGCCTACATTAATATATGGTTAGTAATAGTGAAACCTGAACTTTGAACTTTGTGTTCATATGAAAAAAGAAGTAGATCATGTAGTAGGCGGAAACTTAAAACTTTGCCTTTATGTAAACAAAGATGTAAATCCTGATATTAACTTGACCGTTAATAATTGTAAGCTTATAATGGAATTTTATTCTTTATAGTTCATTTTATTTTTTTTAAAGTTTATCAATAAATGTAACTTATTGTATTTAATAGGTAATATCAGATAGTAAAGAAGTATGTGGTAATTTAGTCAAGCCTGCTGTTGATCGATATAATGCTGTAGTATCTGTTGGAACAGACCAGGTAAGCTTGATTCATAATACATTTAGCTAGTACTTCTTTCCAAAAGCAGTAAACCCATTGTCTATTTAAAGTATATATATAGCTGATACTTAATGCTCATGAAGTGTATAAAATTAAAAATTTTATAGTTAAGAATTATATAATCGAAAATTTTATAATAATTTTTCTAAAACAGAATTTTGTCTTATTTTTTAGGTTAAACGTGTAAAGAAAATTGGAATTGATGGTTTCACCAAAGTACAGAATGTTGGCCAGGGTGTTCTTAATAAAACTTTGGAAACATCTTATGGAAAGTTTGTTGCTAACCAAGTTGACACTGTTCTAACATTTTCGGAAAACTGTGTAGATAAATATCTTCCAGAAGACGAAGGTATGTGTAAATGACCCTGATTTAGTTGCTAATATCTTCAAATTTATGAAAAAAAAAACATCCACTTCAAATCTTTGCATGAGTTAAAGCATAATACATTATGGTTATCAACAAACTCAAATATGACATTTGAATAGTCTAATTCTTAAATTAGTAGGCAACCAAAATATCGTTTGTTTAAAGTAAGTGACGTTAACATGTAAACAATGGCCATTATTAAAGAGTATTGAATAATGTCACTAAACTAATAAACTGTGGTAATTTCTAAATAAATTTGTATATTCAACAATCAGTATGATTAAAAGCTGATAAATGACACCAAATTATTCTGGCTGAGTAGACTCCTTTTTGCATTAATATCTATTAATAATGGATTTTTTTGGTACTTTTCAATATTTAAATAGATAAGTTTGTTAAAATTTTGAGATGAAATGTGCAGTAAATGAAGAATTCAGTGCAGTTTAGTTTTGATAAATATGTATTTATCTTGTGTTTTTTTCAGATGAAACTTCTAAAATGGAGGTGGATATGGTCACTAAGAATCCTATTACTAGAGTTTCTGCCATGAGTAATAAAGTTAGACAAAGAATGTACAAACAAGCCATGATAGATCTGAAGCAAGTTAAAGTTAGAAGTCAAGACGCTATTAACAAATTAAAATTTAATGTTGATTTGGTAAGTTATGCCTGGTTTGGTTTGACTCGAAAAATAAAAAGGACTGAATTCCAACACATTAAGAGAGCTTTAACTAACACTGATGTTAGGAAGTTGTTCGAATTGAAACAGTCTTTTAGGAAATTGGTCGAAATGAAACCATCTTCTAGAATCTAAGTCTCAAAATGGAAGATGATGAAACAAACAATAAGGACCATATGCGATTGGTACATTGACCCTTCTTAAGCATTTTAAATGTCAGATTTAGGTATCAAGTTTAGAAGCAGATTGAAATTAATTTAATAAATCATAATTTTCACACAAATTCTATCCAGTTCAGCTGACGTCATTAACAGTTTGTTTTATTTTATAAATTGTCAACAGATTGAGTATGCAAGATCAAGTATCGATGGTGCCAAGACTCATGCAGGTCAGACATGGACCAAACTAACCATGGAAGAAGATATTGCAGACCCCAAGGTAATGCATTTCAGAACTTATTTCCACATTACCATATACCCATTTTTAACGAGTGTATGTATTCGTCACCTTCTTGCAAACTTTCTAAAGTTCAGAGCTCATTAATTCTTCCATGTTATTTCTTTGAAATTATAATCTAAAAACATTAGTGATTTTGAAAACCATTTAATATAGTAATTGTTTTAACACCAATAAATTTTTTTTTACAGACTTTGGAAGACAAGAGTATCATCATGGCTAGAAGTCTAGCTCGTCAAGTCAAAAACAGTGTAACAACTATCACATCCTTCGCTGGAAACCAATCTGAATTTTTGAACAATCAAATGAAACTAGCCAAACAGTATGCTGATGATATCTACCAATCATTCTCAAAGGTAAAATTAATATATGTACTTACACTCAGTTTGAATGAATATTATAATATTATTAAATTAATCAGTGTTCAGAGAAATATTCATAATTTTAGTGTGAATCGAAATCGAATTAAAACTGCCAATGACAGAAAATGTTGACTTCAGTTGAATATAATGAATTTTCATGCATAATATTATTATACAGACATTTCTAAAAATGTAGTGCAGAACACGACTTGCATAAAATAACTTGGAAGAACACAGCACACCCTGATTTAGATATGGAACTTTTATGTTACAAATTATTTTTATAGGTTAACAGTTACGATGAAATTCCAGCCTGGGCCCTTACGCAAACAAAAGACAAATTGGGATATTTGACAGAAACGCTTTCCTTCGCAGCAGACACCTTAATTATGGCACCAGTGAGATGGATGGTTAGTATTTTGTTATAATTGTTTGTTTTATTTAAAATTTGCATGCACACCACAATCACAGACCTCTTCGATGTAGTATTTAATTAGCTTCTAGTATTGATAACTTTAAGGGAAAGGGAACTCTACAATAACAATATTTTATGTATATTAACTAGAATGAATGTTGATTGTAATGAATGGTAAATCTAACACAAAATGGAATAATGATTTATGTATATAAAACTTACACAGAACACCAAATCAAAAGCTTAATTAAAATCTATGATCGCCATTTCAGGGATTTTGGATCCCTTGTAAACAACATTGTGAAAGTTTAATCTCTAAAAGGAATATCAGTCCAAAAATGGTTCCGTTCCATTCAGTATTTACTAATATATGATAAACTGATTATTTTTCAACATTAGGCATTCTCTGCCGATGATATAAACAGGATATCTTTAAAACAAATTAGCATCACTTTGCTCACATCCTTTAATTGACCTCTTTTTATTCACCTCCAAGCCAAATTTTCTTAATTAAATGTTAAATAATCAAATTAAGTACAATTAAGTGTAGAAGTCCTGTATAATGTGGGTTTAAGAAGTGAAATACATTTGGTTGAAGTTGTTCATGTACATGTACCTGCAGAGAGTTTGGAATAATAAGATGTCAGACAGAAGTAGTTTTATGTTCTGTATAAACAGTTTTTATTCTAACAACCTGGGGTTATGTGTAAAAGGTGATTTTGGTATCTTGTTCTGTCTTTCAATATTTTGTTTATTAACAACACTTCCTAATTTGATCTTTGTTTATTTTGTCTATCAGATCTTTATGTCGAACCTTTCTTTGTTTTTGGCAGGTGGGAAGTCAAAAGAAGTCTGAATCTGAGGAAATTGAAATGGAGAATTTAGAATCAAAATCTAAATAATTATTACTTTAACAATTTTAAATAATTATTGAACAATTAAATGTGTTTATGAAAGTCTGTTGTCTTTATCCTTTAAATATTTTAGCTAAAAGGTCTTTTAAAGTAAGAAATTTTGAAAACTAAACGCATCTTAAATTTGTATTGAACTCTTTCCAAAGTTTCAATCTTGTTATCATTGGTTTTAACTTGGAATATGATTTTAGTCAAGTTAATTTTAAAGGAATTTAAAAGAACATTTTGAAACTGGGTCTATTGTCTTATGAAATTAATCACGAACCATTGTATCACTGTTGTTAGTAGGGCTTTCTTAATGTCTAGGAGTTTGTGATCTATATATTATGTTGTCACTGCATGTACATGTATATCAAAACCTGTATTACAGTTTATCTTAAATATACTCATACACATCGAATAAATATTACATTTTTCGTAACATATATGACTGTGGTTTATCTTAATATTTGGAGATATAAAACTTTCATTCTTCAGATAAATTGAAGTCCCGTTTCAAATATGCTAGTCAGATATGTATTAACAGTCCAAATAGGTTCCCACAAACAAATTCCAGCATGATTCCATCCCAACAGCCATTGTCTAGAAAAATCAGACCTGTTGAATCTGATCAACTTTTATGTGCATTAACTCTGCAATTGTTATATTAATTGGCTTCAAAACTTTGACAATAGAACAATCAGAGCAAATTTTAAAAAGGTTGCAAAAACTCCAAAATAAGTTGCGGAGGGACTGACATAGGACACCCCAGACTTTCCTCTATTAAATAAAGTCGAGTTCAGAGATTGGGACAGTGGTGTAAGTTCTGATATCAATTCAAGTGTTGTGGTTTTTATTTTACGAATGTATGTGACAAAGAAAGATTAGCATTGCCTGCCAAACCATGTGAATTTCCTTAGTTTGCTTTCACTGCTTAAAGCCCTATACTTAAGCAAATTACTGAAAAATATATGCCATAGGTTAGTTCGTAAATCTATCCGAGGTGAAGCATAAATATCCTAATAATAGGTCTGTCGAGGGTGAAACCTTTCATATCAACAACACAATACTTAGGAGGGTATTTTTCATTTAAATGGTTATGCATGCAAGGGAGAGGGGAGAATTTGGCTTGACTGCAGTGTTTTGGCTTACCCTTAATTGGATTCTAACTGGTAAGGTACACTGTCAGCCCCACATACGCAACCTCTGACAAGGAAGTACTGAAAGTGAAAGAATCCAGGATTTAGTCGCGAGGCCAATGCCCTATGGCTTAATCATCACAGCCCTTGAGATCTTCCATACATAAAGGCTTTCAACGATTAACAATGATTATGCAATATAATTTTAAGTATCACTGGAACCAGTCGATCAGGGACTTCATGAATATTCATGAATCTTATCAATGAAGATTCTTCTTCAGACTTAATTTGACTGAAGTCATAAGAAGGATTGAACACCCACCAGAGCCTCATAATGGCTGCATTTACTATGGGAGCTTATTCTTGCCATAATTTACTGCCTGCTGTAGCTCAAATTTTTATCTTACTGTCAATACACAAATGTTATATGAATAGATGTTCCTTGAATTTAATTATAATCACATGATCCTTAATGCTGGACTGCTAGTAAACCATTTATTGTCCCAGTTCTATGATTTTTGAACTACTGATCAAGTGAAAAATAATGAGAAACAAGATATATTGAGATAAAAATCCTGTAAACCAAGACAAATGCAAGCAAAAAATTAACTTTTAAATGCTACTTTAATATTGCATTATTTTAAAAATAATAATTTACGAAAAGCATTATCTTGCTACTCCTGTAGATGAATTTTATGACAGACATTTCTCTTACCCAAAAAAGACACTGATTGCCACAGCATTTTTGGGAGTTGGTAAATTGCACTCTTACTGAATATTTAACATTTAGAAATCAAAATATGAAAGGTAGATAATCTTTTTGCTTGGATTCATTCAGATTAAAAAGAGGAGCATCTTTGTAGGTGGTGGTGTTTTTTTTTTGACCCAAATTCCTTTTATACATTTTTGTATTTGATCACATCTTTTTAAATGCCGAACGAACCATTTTTAGATTGCTATTCCTATTAGAGATTCAGCTTTCACAATATTTTAGTTGGCAAGGGACTAAAAATCCCCCAAATGACATCAGAGACTATACAGGAAATTTAACATCTTAAAAATACGAAAATTACAATTTTTATATTCTAACCACCCGTGGTCTTATTGACCTTTAAAATATTATAAATCATTATGAGAGTTATGTTCTTTGAAATTAGATATACATGTAAATTACTGTTAAAAATGATCATATAAATCCCTTGTTTATTTTAGTCTTTAGATTTTGATGTGAATGATATCCAACTTGAAGATCCTGAGATTGTGAACTGTAATGGTGTTGGTGTGTACCAAATTGATGAAGGAATGGCTAGTGACATTGAAGCATAATCTAACTCAACACTTTATATAATATGCTTCATATTGCACATTCTAATTAAAATCATTATTAGATGTGGTACACATTATTTAAATTATATTTATGTTGTGATTATGTTAATTAATGTTATATTACTGTAATTTATAGTTAATCTAACCTAACTCTTTCTTTAAGATGCTACATATCATCTATTCTATTTAAAATCATCATTAGATGTGGTACACATTATGTAAATTATTTTAATGTTGTGATTATGTTAAGCAATGTGACCAGTATATTAATTTAGTCACAGTAAATAATTATTAAAGTCTAATGCAACTCTTATGTTTAAATATGCTTAATGTTCTAATTATAATCATGAATAGATGTGGTACACATTATTTTAATGACGTGATTATGTTAATTAATGTTATGTTAATTTATAGTTGAATATTTGTAATAAAAATATATATTTTTCTTGCCGAAAAATCCAATTGTATTATGCTCCTTATTTCATTGAAAACATCTTTTTCATTGGGTTAGATATAATTTTCCTTGCTGAAAAATCCAATAAATTGTATTGGGTATCTTATTTTATTTAGGATATAAGTTCTAAATCATTTCTTCGGTTTGTTATATATATTTTCTATTATGATATTGCTTTATTTAACTTAAAATTTGTTATCCAAAGTTTTTTAACATTGATTTCTTTGTTTTATTTAGTGCTTGTTAAAGTTGGAAATCCATGAAATGAATTTGGTATTCCATAAAGATAGATTTTTGGGGGTATTTGTTATGTTTAGCTGTTAAGAATTATTGTAGAAAATACAACCAAACAGAATTGTTTTTAAAGGGTTGCAATCAAGTGTCTCACCCCTGTTCTTGATATCTGAACCGCTGTCCATAATGTACAAATGTACTGGTAATATTTTATTTTGGGGAATATGGATTTCTGAAACAAGAGTTGTGTAATGAGTGTTGGTTGGTTTTTATCCATTATACCATGTGGAAAGCACAATGATACAGAAATTATAATTCATGGTTAATATTGAAAGGAAGCCCTCGTTTAATTTGTCCTTGGCAAGACAATAATTACCATAAAGGAATGAATAGAAGCCTTCAATATTTACAGTAATCAAAAGCAGACAAGTATTTCTACTATAATTTCAACTCTGTTTGCATATTTAAGGATTTAATAAATTGTTTTAATAGATAATATGCCTGCTATTTTACCTGATTTTCTTTATAATTTTAGCTTTGATTTTTAATTAGTTATTATTTGATGTTTTTGTGAGTAGCATAGATTTTGTGCACCAATTTATGTTATTTGTTCAATACTGTTATACGCAATTTTTAAAAATCTTTTGTAGATCTCATTTATGCATCTTTCTTTTACAATAAAGTTTTTAACGCAAGTGCTGGTCTTCATATTTATATTCCATGCTTAATAAAGTCAGGGAGGGATATTGAAATTGGCTCTGTCCTTCCCAATTTTCTTCTAAAGCATATGTCTATCTAGCAGTGGGAGAAATGAAGAAAAAACCTAAAGGACAGACAGGTAACCCCATGCCTACCCTTTGTCACATACAAACATTCTGCAGGTAATATTTGTATACTTTTACTTCAGCACCTGGATAGCTTGAAACTGTTGTTCCCTCTAGTGCCTTAAACCACCCTAGTTATGTGAACTTCTATGAACTTAAGGATCATATAATATTTTGTGACCAGGGCAGTCGAGATAGCAGAATTCTCTAATTTTTTGGCATGTATTTGCAGGTGCTAATTAAATATATGGAAGATTGGAGATGAGATTACGACAGGACACTTCAGGTTGTTACGAAGAGAGAGAAATGGGGTTTAATGTCCACTGACACAAACTAGGTCATTTCAGGACCAACATATGGTTTAATTTTATTTCAATAATTCGCTTGCAGGGGTCTTTAGCAGTAGGCGAACCCGGAGAAAACCCACTAGGTTGGACAGGCACCCGACTCCTTGTCACGTACAACCGGGGTATCGAAACCACGACAGTTGACTCAATGACAGACCTTATGATACAACGCGCACACGCTAACCATTCGGCCATCCAACCCCCCTTGTGATTAAGAAAGAACATAATGAAGAAATAGTTTTATTGATAATGATATACATGTATATATAAATTCGAAAGACATGAGACTAATCCCTACACATATATTCTTTATTTACAATAATGTAGATGAATATATTTATGTACAATTCATTGACCAAATTTCCTAAAAGATTTTAAATTTACTTATTTGAAGTCGTTATAAAGCAGTGCATTCTGTGATTAAAAATATTATTGTTACACGAAGAAAATTTTTCATTAATTTTCCTACATAAAAGGTTGATTTTCCAATTATAAATGCTTTAATTCATTACTGCTATCAACAATACCATCCTACGATGAGTACACCATACACAAACTTTCACCATCCATTGAAATAAGCATGTATTCACTTCATTCATTCAGTAAATTCTATAGTACTCCATGCATGCACACACACACACACATACATTAAAAGACTAGTCTTTTATCTATTAAATGTACTGGTCCTGCTATCCAAGTATTAATTTAAATGCTATCACTGCTATATTTATTGGTATTAATGGAACTGAAAAAAAGAACACACTAGATGTAACTGCTTTGAATAAATATTAATTTTATTTTTCAGGTCATAGCCCCAGACAAATTTCGGTACACTTTACAGAACAGAGAAAGGGGTGGGGTTTAAGTCCACTTGACATAAATAGGTCATTTTGGGACTGACATATTACAATTTTATTTCAATAATTTGCTTTCACTTTAGCAGTGGGAGGAAACCGGAGGACCTGGCGAAAACCTACAAGGTTGGGTAGGCGACCCCACTCCTTATCATGTACAAGATTTGGACTGAAACCACGCCACATGTGACTTAACTCAATGGCAGACCATATGTATGATTTAATGTGCAAACATTAGATCTTTTCAGTACAGACTGTGAACATGTAAAGTCATTAAATATAGGTAAGTGCCAGTGTCTACAACTGTGAAGTCATGAAAAAAGGTGTTGAAAAAAAAAAGGTGTGTGTCCACTGCCCATGTCAGTCAGCCCTCACAAGAACATCACATTTTTTAAAAACCCCATGTCCAACAACTGCATATATACTCTTCCAAAAAAGTAGGGGATGTTGAAATGCAAATACCTATGCAGGTTGTGATATGATAAATAGTCATGGACACTTGATGAAGAACTTATCGCCCCAACAGAACCACTGAGCTGCACATGCGACACGCAATAGCGCCATACACGTGGGAGAGGTTCATTGTCAAATTTGACACTTCAAGGAAGGGTTGATAAAAACTGCCGCGTGCTGGTTTATCTATCCATGTTTGCTTTCCTATCGGTTCTTGCATAAGATTTACTGTTTAACTTATCTTTGCTTTAGTGTGTTATGTTTAATTTGATCGGGAGACGTGTTCGTCAACGTGAACCGACAACACTGCAAGAATTGGCCGTGGCGCTGCAAGAGGAGTAGGTCAGATTGCTCCAAATCGTGATTGGACGGTTGATTAGGAGCATGCCACGACTAATTGTTGAATGTCTGAGGATTGGTGGAGCAATTACTCATTATTAAGATAAAAATCAAAAACATCCATTTTCACTTTTTACGGTGTATCTCTTTGCGAGTGAAATGGGGCCATCAGATAAGCCGCCCATATGAACTGTTTATGTTCATGTGTAGGCAATTGGCCTGTTAATAACATACACTGGTTACCTCTAATAAAAACAGCAGTGCATTTCTACAGTTTTGTATTGTTTCTGAATATCCCCTACTTTTTTTGAAGAGTATATAACGTCAAAATACCAATAATCCTTTAGAGAGGCATTTTGTAACTGGATATAGCAATAAACTATAAGACATACTTATGGAAGAACAATTTCGAAGAGTATTTTTATAGTGATGAATCTCAACAGTTTTCGAGGGTCAAACAATAGCTTCTATTTGAAGTTATTGTTATTATTGTTGTGGCAGAGATGGGGTATAAAACTAAAACTACATGTATATAAGACATAACAAACCTTGTTTTAATTTTTATACTTACATCTTACAACAGTTCTGATAGATCGAATTAAATTTAATATTTGTGTTTTAACTCCTGGGTCTTCACCAAAACCTCTTTGATCCATTCCCCATCCAACTAAAAAAAATAAAAAAATATGGCATTTAAAATATGATTAGAACTTTTAGGAATTTCAATTAGTTCTATGTTTTGAAAGTCTAAAATATCAAACTCCTCTAGTGGCATATTCAGGTGGTTTTTTTTAAAAATGGACCATATAGAATTTCAAAGTACATGTATTAAAGATGCATTATGTAAGATTTAGATACATAGCTGACAGTTCTTGCAATATAAGTTTTACAAAAAATAATGAGCGGGGAATATGTTGAAAATTTCAGTCAAATTAATTCTTTCTGAGTGGTGTTAAAGAACAGGGTAGTCTTGGTTGTCATTGCTACCATTATTACGATAATTAACAAAGTTTCTATCATACATTTTTAATTAAATTATTAAATAGCAATAATGTTTAAATCCATTGAAAATCCAAAGAATCTGATGTTCTAGAGAGTTGACAATCTGGTTAAAACACAGATCCTAATTCGTTTCGTTTTTATAGTTCAAAATTTCGTTTTACTTGTCTTTACTACACTTGGATCTGGAAGAGTTTTTATTTAACTCGTGTTCTGAATGGTGTCAGGGATAAGCTGATGAAACGGTCTGTTACGGCGAGCTTTAGGTGTGTTTTTTTACAGAACTGTGGGTAATCCACTAGTAACATCAATGCTGATTGGTTAATCAAATGCCTGATGTCATAGGGTCATAAGTCGGTCTTTTGACCCCTGACGTGACCTATCGCTATAACTTGTCAGATCTTCATGTTGTGTAGGCCATTGAAAGTATAAAAAAACGAAACGAAATATAGATCTGTATTTTAATCAGATTGAGAGAGTTGATTATGGGCTTGGCATGTGAATTTATATAACATTAGATGGAGGGCAAATGAAAGATCTGCATTAGGCAGATTTAGCACTTTACATAATGCATCTTTAAGTGAGGTTGGAGGGAGTGGGTAGTACATCCATTTGAGGAATCTTTATGGGGCTAAATATGAAAAGAAACCCCCCCCCCCAAGATTCTGTAACTTAAATGAAGGTTAATCAAATCAACAGTCTGTCTATGAATGTTCAGCAATTTTCCCTCACAGCACACTGTATGCTAGTCTTCTTTTGTCTGGTTGGTGAAGAAAAGTAGGATATTACATTAATGAGCATTTCATTTCATTTGTACTACCTATCAGTACTAATATGTACCGGTAGCCTACCCTGGGCTCTGTTGATCTTTCCAAAACTAGATAATAGATACATTGTCCTCTGTATCAGTCCTGCCAAGGCAAGATAAGGCTTGCATGGGGCCTCTGGCTGAAAATGTCACTGGGCAGTGGGGTCCTTGCATCAATCATGAAAAAGGGGGCATATTCTGGTCATTGTTTGTCACACTCATATAGAAATGCAATTGTATGTCAGTATGGTAGCTAGACAGATAGATTTTTATATACAACAAAATAGATGACATACTTATAAATATGGCACAAAATCTTTTTAAGAACTAATTTGGGTGGCCCTTTAACTTTGGGGCCCCTGGTGTAGCCTAATCCCCTCCCTTCCTTAATCCAACCCTGAGCCAGGTTTACAAAATCCTGATGGTTCTTTTAAATCCAAGACATTTTAGTTTTGGGTCCCCCTGGTAAAAACCCATGTAGCATAATAGCAAATGCCAACAACACACCAATAGTGATGCCAATGGCAAAGTACAGCATGGTACAGTACCGGTAGGCCTAGTCCTAATTATCAAATTGCACTATTGAACGTCTGACTCAACCAGTTCCAGAGACTAGAAAATTTCATAAAGTAGGCCTAGGCTACAGTATTGGCCTACTATTAAACTGAAACGACTGTAAGTACTACTAGACTAATACGGTATTATCTATAGTTACAAGTGAAGTAGGCCCTACACTACTAGTACTACTACTACTACACTAGGCCTAGTGCCAGTTGGTCATGGAACTTCAGTCACTCATAACTTTGTTAACTTAGCATGTAACTTTTCGATGTTCTAAGAAACGGGTAAATTTATATAGATATTAGATCTCAATACTTTTTGCTAAAAATCGTTGTTCGTGTAAAACACACACGGCGTTCAAACATAAAATAGCTGCTTCAATCAAAGAATACAGAGAAATCGCCATGTTGGCAGTTGGCTGGTAGAATTGATTATCCAGTCATCAATTATTTAGTTCTAGCCTTGAATGTCCAGACTTGGAGCACACTGAAAACATGTTTCATTTTCATAATATTATCTCATTTATAAACATTAAGTAAGCCGATTGGTTATTGATTCGGTGGTATGAATATTAAAAAAGGAAAGTCTCCAAAGCTAGATGAATAAATGTTGAAAAATCTGGAAAGACAGTTTCGTTTCGTTTCTAGAAATAGTAGTGTCACCTTATTGAAATAAACCGCGACCAAATTACGGCAGATAAATATAAACAGTATAGTTGTCAAGGCTGAAATATTCGATAAAAATTCATGTTTACGGTTAATATTTAACAGTTGTACAATAAATCTTATATAGGTAGTACCATACAGTGTATGTTTATATGTTATTTTTAATTCTTGCCAAAGCCGTAAGGTATACCGACTTTTCGGGCACCTGTAAACTAAGTATAATTGTGACTGGCCCAATATTAGTAAATATAAATAAGATAAGACATAATAAATTTTTATGTTTTCAAATTCCTCACAAAACACAGTTATATAAACCATGACAATGACAATGCTATTTAAATTAGAAACACATTCTCAGAGAAACAAATATTAATGGTGATCATTGAGAAGGATGCGGATAGTTTATATATGTGACCTGGCAATGAGGCATGCATCAGCATAGCCTAAGATAGAGTAGGCCTACCTGTCTTTCAATGCATGGAATTTAAAGTTAACTGTATAAGGAATGTATAATTGTCGTGCTGTTGTGTTTAAACTTAAAAATATTAATTAAACTGCATCTCTTATTTTGATAATCTGAAATGATAATCTTACATATTTGATATGTTTGTTTATAAATGTCCCTAAAAATGGAAAGTCGGATTTTTGCCCAGCCCACTCTGAAAATAGTCTATGAAATAAGATGGTTTCAACTCATCTGACAGAGGGCCTTGATTGATTGAGTAAAGAATCTGACATATAGAGCATTCTTCACACTGTATACTTCTCAGCACTCATGTCCCACTTATTTCTTATTGATAAACAAATCCTTTTAATATTCAAAATATTAATTTTGTTTAATATTTTTATTTTTTTAGGATGAAAAAGTGGTTTTTGAAAATTTGAAAGAGTAGCCTACCATGTATAAACAGACAAAAAAAGTTCCACGACTTAAATCTGGTTCTAGTGACAGTACTGCTCCAACATCTGCAGCTTTAAATAGCAAAACAAAACCAAATAACGCAGTTAAGCAATCAGATCTATTCCCAAGTCAGGGAAGAGGAATAGAGTCGAGCAGTGAAGCACCACCTTTGCCACCATCAATTTTAAAATCAAAAAAAGATACACAAATTCCACCTAACAAACAAGCAGTTGTAGGCTCTACCAACAAATCAAATAATGCCAAAAGAACAGAATCAATATCAGTACCACCGCCTGAACCGCCTCCACCTCCCCAATCTCAACCTGCTCCACCTCCCCAACTTCACCCCCCTCCACCTCCACCTCCCCAATCTCAACCAAATATTCCAACTGTTCCTTCTAAATCAAAAAAAAAGAAGAGTGCCAAGGTTGCTGTTTCTATAAATGATAATGAAGCACCTAACTTTGATGTACATAGGTTGCAAAGTAAAGAGGTACAGAAAGTGCTAGATTTGAATACTATTTTGTCACCAAGTAGTTTACTTTCACAAAAAAGACGCCTCAAAAAAGTTAATAGAAAAGAAAATTTTTCTCCAGGTATGAGCAGTTATTACTTTATCTGAAAACTATGTATAAAAAAGCAAGTTATTACTTAATCTAAAAACAATGTATAAAAAAGACAGTACTGGTAATCAATTTTTAAATTGAATACCGGTACTTAATCAATAAAATCATATTTCAAATGTAATTTTATTCCATACAAGATTTATTTAATGTGGGTATATCTTGTCCGTACCTTGTTGGTCTATCCACTCTGCTTGCAATCTCTTTACTGTTTTATTGTGATGTTCAAAGAAACTATGCTTTGATAGAAACCCTAATATTGAAATTTTAAGACAGGTATCATTTTTTTTTCACCCAGTTATAAGTCTTATCACTGAAACCTTATAAATGCTCCACAGTATTATTTGACAATGACCTCTCTAGGAATGTATAGCAATAGGAATAATAAAAGTACTCTATTTTTTTTCTTGGTTAGTCCCATTTCAAAACTTCCTTTCAAATATGCCACAATACAGTTAAACATACATTATGCAAGAGCTAAATCTGCCTATTTCAGGTCTTTCTTTAGGCCCGAAATGTTATCTAAATTATTAATTAGACATTAATTAACCTATCCAGGCCATAATCAACTCTAGATGGCAGCGCTAGCCTGCGATCTTTAGTGGATTGTAAGCCAATTTACTGCATAACTTTCCTTCTCGATTAAACGATTAAATGGATAATCGAGACTATGCTGTTTATCGAACTGACTTTAGTAATGATGACCGAGGCTTATGGGAATTTCAGTCGCTTAGTTCTCGGTTCATAGTGGATCAATTTACCTTTACATTATCTAGTTTTTAACTATTATCGTGAGAACTGCCAACTCGTTACCGAATCTCCCATAATGTATCTTTAAGCCTTAATGTTAATAAAATTATGTATAAAATGCAAGAAAGTTATTTCCCATTTTGTTTCCTTCTTTCAGTCAAACTATATCGACGTGAGTTCTTTCGAAATCTTGAAGATCAAGATCCTGAATTTCTGCCAATACTGGAAATGAAGGTAATTATTATTTTCCAATTGCTTAGAATAAACTATGGAAGTTATTCACTTTTTATCATATGATTCAGTGGCTTGCCATCATTGTATCTTTTACAGGAAAGAATTATTAACTCTCTAAAAACCGCAGCTGTACTACTGGTAAATTTTAAGGTTCAGAGTTTTTTCACATTTAGGTCCAATTTATCCCATTTCTGATCAAATTTTGGCTCCATTATCCAATTTTATACCAAATTCTAGTAAGTCTTGCCAGTCTATAAATGATAAGATAGGGGCTTATTAAACCAACAGGGGCCTCGATTTTCATAAAATTTTCAACAAAGACCGATTTTCGTCTCACAAAACAAATCAAGAAATGGATTGCAAAGAAATCAACAGTTTATTATTTAACACAAAACAAATCAACATATTTTTGACATAAAAGAAATGAACAGATTTTTGACACAAAACAATTTATTTTTGATACAAATCAAAGAGGACTAGTCATTTAAACTTATCAATTCAATACTGTTTTAAGGATGTTTCCTTAACGTTACAAGTTAAAGTTGAACTATTCTCCCTTAAGTTTTTTAATTGAGTTGCACTCACCTTATGATTAATTATACTGGCTAGGATCATATTACTAATGTCCAAAAGAAAGTATACACTGTGCATTTCGTCCTGCTTCAAACAAAGTCGTTTTTCCATTGTATGCAGTATTTGGGTACGATGTCAATTTGTTTTGCTATTTATTTGCTTAGAAATATTGAGTTTGGACGCACGAGACATGTTCAGTGTAGTTTTATCAAATTTTGTTTCTTCAAACAAAACTTAATCATATTTTTAGTGTGTATACTTTCTTTTGGACATTGGTATATATTATATATATTTCAGTCAGTTATTATTAAAGAATCATTGGGAGCAGATATAACACAACTACATTTCAGTGGTATAGAACAAATGACAGATTTTATGTTTTATATTTTATTGATTTCGAAAGGAAATTTTGAAAATGTAACTAAATTAGTTTGTACAGGTAAGTGAAATTACCGCTTGTTTCTCAACATAATTACTTCCCAAAACAAACTGAGACTGAGGTATTTGAATGACATGGTATCCCTGCATACCCAACCTCATGGTTTTTCTCTGGGTCCTCCGGTTATTTCCGACTGCTTAAGTTATTGAAATAAAATTGCAACCATATATGTTTAGTCTGGAAATGACTTATTTCCTAGTTTTTTTTTTCAAGCATATTTTTTTCCTTTTAAGTAAATAATTCCATCATATATGTATTTATTGATACATTTTCAGGTTGTATACATTTAACAGATCTAGGAATGAAATGGGCATCAGAATTATTTCCTGCTTTGACAGCGGTTTGTTATTTTCTACTATTGATTTTATTGCAGTTAAAAACTTTTGATGTAGGATACGGCAAAAATCACACCTAGCGATAAAACTTTTGGTCTTGTAAAGTTAATAAATGTAATTCTTAACAGTGTAAAATAGACTATTTTTACACTATATGTCTAAATAGTTTACCCCCAGTCCCTTAGAAAACATTTTATATACCGGTAATTGTTTTTTTCAATGAATTCATAAGGTAATAATTCCCAACTCCTGCACTCACACGATCAAACAGAAAACTGAATGCTATAGTGATTGTTTCACTTCTATTTTTGATGCAGTTTGTTGTTGATGGCTGTTCAAAAATAACAGAAAAATCTGTTTATCATATGGTAGCTGAACGGACTAATTTTGCACATGCTGTATTTTCTGCTACAGATGTTGCTTGTATACCACCTGAAATAAGTAAGTTAATTTAAGTAGCCAGGACATTATAAAGTTTAGAATGGTGTTGACCTTATGTGTTTTTATTGTTTTCATATGCCCCCTTTTCGAATAACACTTATGATGCTATTGTCTGTCCAACTATTAAGTTTTGTAAATAAATAAGTCTTACATTTTTACACTGATTTTGTGGCCTCCTGCACTTACTAATTGAGACTGCTTTGTTGCTATTTATGGACTTTTAAAGTTGAGTAAAAATTTGAACTGTTTGTGAACTTCAAGGTAAAGGTTTTACAGTTTTTCGTGGATCAGTTGTTACCTACATATTATAGATACGCATCAACGATTTTCAGATTATTTCCATAATTTGTATGCTGTTTATCCAGTCTATGTTTGTCTGTTGTTTTTTTTTTATTAGCAATGAGCAGAATACGATCTGTTACTAATTCCATTTTCCTTTTAAAGACCATTTACTACTGAAAGGTTTTATGTCATCCAATTTGTCCTTTGACGATTGTGTTTCCACTATTTTCACAATCTTCTTCAGAATCATTGTTTAAAGCAAATGAAAAAAAAAAGAAATAAAATTTTACTAAGACTGATACCCTATTTATTAGCACAATATGAAAAAGGCAATCTGTGGAAACATACATCATATCAATCCATAATCTCAGAAAATTATTTTTTCCAGGAGGGGCAAAATTTAACCAATTTAGTATAAAAGGCTGTCCAGTACTATCTATGTGCCCTTATATTCAACGTCTGGGTCATTGTACTGCTGAAAAAGGTTAGCATAAGAATAAATAAAATTAATTAATGTGATGATTTTATTTTCCAGGAGAAACAAAAATAGTGCAATTCGGTATAATAGCCTGTCCAGTTATATCTATGTGCCCTTATATTGAACGAATTGGTGTTCACGGTGCCAAAAAAGTACATGAAGGTCAGCCAACCAATTAGCACGACTGTTATTTTATTTGTATTAACATTGTGTTTTGAGTTTCTAATTTCACGTTAGGCCACTAGCAACTTCTCAGACTAAAAGCAATTCAGTCCTACATTTGTATTAATCCCCCATTACACCTACAAGTTCAAACAAGTTCTCAAAAATGCCCTACCCCATCCTAGAAAATCGTAGAATATGTAAATAATGTCTATGATACGATCCTAGTTCGTTCATAAACATTCCTCAATACGTTCATCGCGTCTGTACCCCGTCAACAGTCAGTTCACATCAAGTTCAGATTTGGTAAATTTGCCATTTCCAAGCAGTCCAAGCCTGTCCGTAGTCACCACTCTGTTCAGAGTCAGTTCAACTCATCCTCATCTCATTCTTAGTTTGTTGGAACACGCTCCTATTGGGTGTGCAATACCATCCTTGCTCGAGGGCTATAAAAACTCAGCGCATTCTTGCCATTGTTCAAGACATTCACATATAGTACTACAGTTGCCTCCTGTGTTTCATCATGCCCCCAAAGAGAAGTTCCAGAAGGACTTCTCATTGGAAAGCACTGCCACTATTACTGCCTAAAGATCCCTAAGCTCCAGCTCCTCTGAAGGCCAGCCAGATCAGGCCCAAAAGTTGAGCCTGTCCCTGGACCCACTCACACTCTTCTCACCACTGAGCAAGAAGAAGACATGGAGGAATGGCTCAAGGTCAATGTAGTCCTCTATAATTGACCTGGTCGTACTGCTAATTGATGCTAGATCACGTCACATTGTAACACATCCCTAGTAGTATCGAACTCATCGAAGTATGTCAATTCTGTTCATAGAAATAGTATGGCAATTTGGTTTGTAGTATGTCCATCTCGTTTTAAGTATGTTGTCACTCCCTCTAATTGCTGGATGTGAAACATTTTGAACAGGCTCAAAGTTCTAGAGTATCCTCCCCGTCCAAGCCAGTCCGAGCCCGTCCAAGCCAGTCCGAGCCCGTCCATGAAGATTTTAAACAGATTGTAAACAATTGCTACCATGTTCACTTCTCTTGCTCATAGTCCGTTTGGCAACTAGTTTGGTGTGATGGGGGATTTACCTAGACAAAAATGTGTGTGTCAATTGCTGACAATTGCTGTTATCCGTCATTGTCTATCTAAATTATCCACAGAAATTGTTGCTTTTATCATACATTATTAGTTTTTCATCATTTCTCACTAAATTTTCCAAACAATTTAAAGTCCTTAATTTTGTTCAATTTAAATAAGGGAAAACAAAATATTGGCTCTCTAGCACTTATTATTAAATGTGACTCTTGCTCACAGTCCGTTTGGCAACTAGTTTGGTGTGATGGGGGATTTACCTAGACAAAAATGTGTGTGTCAATTGCTGACAATTATAGTTCATACATGCCCCATTGCTGTTATCCGTCATTGTCTATCTAAATTATCCACAGAAATTGTTGCTTTTATCATACATTATTAGTTTTTCATCATTTCTCATTCAATTTTCCAAACAATTTAAAGTCCTTAATTTTGTTCAATTTAAATAAGGGAAAACAAAATATTGGCTCTCTAGCACTTATTATTAAATGTGGCTGATGAAAGTTTTTAATGCATTGTTTATTGTTTACAACAATAATTTCCTGCTTTAAGTTTATGCGTAGTCCTCCAAGAAGCGCAATGTTTGTTTGAATATCACATTACTAATATTGTTGTTTCTTTGCAATTTTACACATTATTGACTTCTGTATTACCTTTTAATCAATGTGCTATCCTATTATAAGAAATCCAAATGATAAACTGGAAAGGTATAATGTAGCCACATTCTCACTTACACTTCCGATGTGTTCATTTTGCTAGACCTTTCTGAAAATTAATAATCATATGTGTAGTCTGATTCATGGTGTGTTGTTTTATGAATGATTTAGGCTTTAACTACTTCAGGACGTAAATCTTTAGAGAAAGAGAAATGGTTGTTAACATCCACTCAACACAAACTATGTCATTTCGGGACTAACATATATCCCAATTTTATTTCAATAATTGGGGTCTTTAGCAGGGGGAGGAAACCCAAGGACCTGGAGACCCTACTCCTTGTCACATACACATGGGGAATAGAAACCAGGCCACTTGACTCAATGACAGACCTTATGATCTAAATAAATTTTAAGAAAAATATCTAAATGTTAAAGATGCATTATGTAAGAGCTAGATCTGCCTATTGTAAGTCTTTATTGTGGCTTCAAATGTTATATGAACTATTATATAAACATTTATTTACATGACAAGCCTATAATCAACTCTCTAGACCAATGGATTGCCATGATTTACATTGATTAGAAGAGCCGTGAGATTAAATAATTTAGTGATTAATAATAAGTCTTGATTATTGAACACCATTGCTGCAATAATAAACAGTCTATGCAACCTCTTCAAACAATCATAACTTCACTCAGAATAAAATAATTTTCACTATATTCATATTTCATCATCTGTTTTTAAACTGTTATAGCAAGAACTGCCAGTTCTTTATCTAAGTCTCACATAATGCATCTTTAATTGTATGTGTAACTTTCACGAAACATAGTTTCAAAAAGAATGTAACATTTTATTTTTTTCAGTTGATTCCAAGTCATCATACCAGCTGTTACGGACACATAAGACAGTTATTATAACAGATACTAGTATTAACTATAGTGTTGGAAGTCTTCTTGGAGGAAAATCTGAAAGCTCATTATCCTGTGGTTTTAACCACTGGAAAAAATTAATAACATCTGAAAAAGGAAGAATGTATAATGTATTTGAAGTATCTATTGATAATGTAAGTTTATAGAACACCTAATACCACTTCTATTAATTGGTTAGTTAATGTAGTTAAGAAATGAAATGAAATAGGGTTTAACATCCTACTTTCTGCGCTAACTGTGCTAATGAAGACTAGCATACAAGGGTGTAGTGTACTATGGAGGAATTTTTTGCCCAGACAGCAGCTCTATGGCCTACTTCTATTTTGAATTCCGAATGTTAAGAATTCTTTTATGTGCACTCTAATGTGTAAATGGAACCTCAGTTTTTTGTATCATCTGAACTACTAGACACTGTTCCTGGCCAGTTTTTTGTATCATCTGAACTACTAGACACTGTTCCTGGCCAAGCCCCCTGTCCTGCACCTCTGAACTTTCTCCACCAATGCCAAGATGGAATCCCGGATATCCGCGTTAGTGAGCCAGTGCCTTACTCAATGAGCCACTTTCATTTACTTGCAACAAGGTTTTCATCTACCAAGTACCTAAGACTTCTGAAATCAAAGGCCAAAGGGTTGATCATTTAGCTAAAAGTAGTAATGAGTGACATAAGACAAGTTATCATTACTCTTTTCAGACCATCTGATAACACTACTAGTTTGATTTTGGATGCTCACATGATTAAGAATGTATGTGTTGTATTTTGTTTTTGATATAATTTTTTATTTGTATTTCAGCCTGTAGTGGACAGTCTTGTAAGTGAAGGAAGTATAGTTGTATTACCGTATTCTGTTGCCAGTACTAAAGAGTTGCCTGCTTATAGTAAACGACTTGCATTATCTTTAGCAGGTGTTTTATGTAAGGTAAGATCAGATACTGTACATGGAAATGTTTAATTATATATGGATGAATATAAAACAATATTTCATTTGTTCTTTTACTACTAAATACTATTAGAAATATGTTATATAGGTGTAAAGAACATAAAGAATGTATTGAAAAACAGAATGTAGTTTAATGTCTCATTTATTGAAAAACTAAAGGTTCAAATGGATTTATTGCATATTGCAAAACATCCTTTCAATTTCTTATTGCTTTGCTTTGTATTCAAAATTGGATAATATATTGATATCATCATACTTGGTTTAAGCTCTTTGATTTTGGTAAAAAATTAAGCATTGATCTGAAGTGTTATTGTGATTAATATTGCAAAGATTTCTTTGGGTTGTTTACTGATTTTATTCCATTGAAATCGATGATTTTATTTGTGACCAAAATCAAATGTTCAGGATGGAGAACCTGACAAGGACAGATGTCCAGTCGTTTGGTTGGGATGAAAAAACGAGGTCCCGTGTTCACATTGATGTGCATGTAAAAGATCCCTTGACAGTTGGAATTCGATAAAAGAGTAAGCCGTAGTGACGCTATCCGGGCAAAATTTCCCTCATAGCACACTGTATGGCGTATGCCCATCTTCATTAGCCACGTTCGGAGCAGAACAGTAGGACGTTAAACCCCATTTCATTTCATTTTAACCAACTTGATATTCTTCAGTGTCCATATGTTATGTTTATTCTGGTGGGTATCGAAGATTCACCTGTCTCTGATGCATTCACTACCAGTCAGTTGAAGAAAGAAATCATGGATAAACTCCTAGTATGGAGAGGGGGAGTCATGAAAGAAATTGGAACTATTACATTGTAAGTATTTAAAGCTGTCTAATAGTAGATGTTGCTGTATACCCATTAAAATGGTTCTGATTACATGTAATACACATTTTGAGCACACCCTCCTTTAGAAAAAAACTGCATTACTTGAATGGAAAAGTCAAACAAAAATATGATTTTTTTCATGATAATATGTGAACTCCTCTTAGGAAAACTGGTATCATTCTGTCATTTTCAGATTAACATGCAGGTAAAAGTAATTTAAACTATTGTCGTATGTGCAGTTCTAGACTGGAAAATTTTGTCTGAACCATGCTGTGTTTCCTTTGAATTCCCAACATCAATGTTTCTTTAACAGATACGCTATTGTTTTCTTTTGGAGATCTCAGATTGTCGTTTCATTCACACGAATATGCAACACACCATGGGTTCCATGTCGGTTGTATTGTTGGTCGGGACTCGGGGATTTTGAAAATGACCAAAACTGGATCAGACCTGTAGGTCATTTTGCACGCCGAACAAGACGAAACTCTGTTCGTGTCGTGATGTAAATGTTGGGTATAATAAAATTAACAGTGTTCAGTTCAGTAGTCCATGAATGGAAACCACTGCCAATTAATTATCCTTTTGTATGTTGCTCTGATCACAATCAACGGAGGATCAACATCAAACAACTTAACATTTAATCAATTTAATTAGCTGTGTTTTGTTTTACATTTAGTACTGTGTGATCATTCTTAAAACCAAGTTTCATCGCTCATGCAGCCATATTTACTGTAAAAACTTTACTTTGATATCTTCACTTGATAACAGGAGTTAATCATGTGAATGATATCAGAAATGTTAGCATTCTTTACACTATTTCAAAATGTTGAAATTCCAAACCTCTCAGAATAACAAAATAAAAAGCGAAATGATGATACTGTTGTCAATGAATCCGACCTCCCTTCTTCAACATCAGCCCACGACGAAGAGAGTTCCGCTCCGAAAACCAAAGTTTGTCGTAAAATCTCAACTAAATGGTCACAAACATTTCCATGGCTAAGATATGATATTCCCACAGAGGTGGAAGTCGACATTGAAAAATCCCAGAAATTGTTCTTGTCATAGGTTTGGATTCGAACCCAGGACATTCTATTAAAGAGTCTAGTTCACTGTCACGGTTCTGGGCATTACATGATCTTGCATGAACGGAAAATTAACTTTATAACATCTATTAAACACCCCTCACCCAACTTTCATATTTTTATTTAATGATGAATATTCTGGGATCAAATCTGAGCTATGTTTTCAATTCTTTGTAATGCGTTGAATTAAATATTTTTTAAGGCGTGATTGGAGACTGGAACAAGTGAATTACACAGCACAGATTTTATATGCATCCGGTGTTCAAATTGCAGAAGAAATTGGAAGCTTTAGTCGAATTAGACTACAAAGTCATAGCCAAGTAAGAATATTTGAGATATTGGTAGATTTAAGACGTGACCATTACACATATAACATCTACTTCAGTGATTGGAGTGATTAGCAATTCTGTTATTGCACACCCTGATTTTGTTTTATTGGTGAGCTAATATCTCATTAGGAGAAACTGACATAACTTGTACAGTTCTCACTTGTAGTTTTAGTCTGCAATAAGACATTATACTTCAAGTAGTCAGGAACTAGACATGCAAGTCGAGTTGGTTTTAATCCAGAAGTAGACATTCAACCCAATTAATATGTTGTCATTCAACAACTAAAGTTATTGGTAGTCAGGAAGTTGTCATTCAACTGAATTTGTCAACAGGAATCCGACATTCAACTCAGATATTTCTAGTCGGTCAGGAATCTAATGTTTAACTCAAATATTTGTAGTCAGTCGGGAAGCTGACATTCAACTCAGATATTTCTTGTCAGTCAGGAATCTGACATTCAACTCAGATATTTGTAGTCAATCCTTAAGCTGACATTCATTCAACTTAGATATCTGTTGTCAGAAAGTAGGCCTTCAACTCAGATATTTATAGTCAGTCAGGAAGTTGACATTCAACTCAGATATTTGTAGTCAGTCAGGAAGCTGACATTCATTCAACTCAGATATCTGTTGTCAGAAAGTAGGCCTTCAACTCAGATATCTGTTGTCAAAGACATTCAACTAAGATATCTGTTGTCAAAGACATTCAACTAAGATATCTGTTGTCAAAGATATATGGTGTCCGAAAGTAAACATTCAACTCAGATATTTGTAGTCAGGTAGCAGACATTATACTGAATTTGTTTGTAGTCAAGCAGCAGACATGACATGTACCTCAAGTTACTTGTGATCAGAAGAACATGTAAAAAAAAAAAAAAATCTTTATTTTTTTCAGAAAAAGAAAAATCTGAATTCAAGTTGTTTGGGTGAATGGCTAGATTATGCTGTAGACGGTATACATGCTGATTTTAAATGGATTCCCAAGGAATTAGAAACACACTGCTTTCAAGCTTTTGATGAAATTCCGCGAAAGATATTCTCAGACCATTTATCTATTTTTCGAGGAATGAAAGAAGAGACCTTAAAGCTGTTTAAAACTCATGAATGTTTTCCATTGGTTGGGAAATTGCTAGAATTCTTAGAGAAACAGGTGTGTGTTTATTTAATTAAATCATATACATTTTATATTTTAAAATACAATATTGTTTGACAGTTCTACTTTAATTAAGATACATGCAATTGTTTTTCAACCAAGAAACATTTATCTGTGATTGGAAAATGAAATTGGTGCTGCAAATAAGATTATGGTAATTGGTTAAGGATTCTCATTTATTTGAAATATGATAATGTTTGATAATGCTGCTTTAATTAAACTTTTGTTTCAACCAAGAAACATTTATCCATGATTGGAAAATTAAATGGACTCTACAGATAAGATTATGGATGAGAGTGTAAACTATACAGATGGGAATTGGTAAAGGATTTATTTGTTCAGAAACATTTGAAGTTCATTTAATGTCTGTATGAAAAACTAATACATGCACAGCAGGTACATTGTAATCAATTATTCAAAATATTTTGAAACCAAATTTTTGATATTTCAGGGAGGTGCAATATTTGTTAAAGATGAAGAATTAAAACATCATTGTGTTACGGATATAGATGGATTTAAAAACTTGGTGATGAGTGTGTTAAACTGTAATCCACCAAGTAAAGCAGATGTACCATCTATCAGTGATTCTATTATACCAGTGTGGACAGAAACAGACTTAAAAGAGAAATTCTCAAGTAGCGTTCAGTCAGATGAGGTAATAATTCAGAATTTAAAAGAAATTTTTTTTATCTCTAGCAAAAAGACTATCTATGATCTTAAATTCAGATTTCTTTTAATTGTATTATTAGATATAATATGCATGTACAAATTATAGAAAAATATTACATTATGCATACAAATATATATACTTAATGTTTTGATGTTTGTGTCAAAAGTCAATAGGAGTTGAAGTTAAAAGATGTAGCATTAGCAGCTACACCACCTTTTTCTCCCCTAAATTTGTAAAAAATCCAAATAATCTTATTAGCTGTTGCTGTTCACAAATGATCCATTTTTCTAAAGCACATAGCAACCATAACATCATTGGGGAATTTAAAAAAAGGTTATTTTTGAACAAAGATATGAAGGAGTGGAAACTCAAAATTTGTAAAATTATGTTTTGTTTCCCAAAAGGGTCTGTGATGTCTCTTAACCAGAGCTGTTCACATGTTATATAGTTGGTTAAACTGGAGACAAGTAGTGTAGCCATGTTCCATTTATTTAATGTTAAAAATAGTGATGTTTTTATCACTTGATATTCTGGCATCATATGAAAATGCAATAGCTCTATTAGATTGCATATTACGCCTTTCTTATGATGTTTGGAATGAATCAAATGAAGACATCAGTGCTTAATAACATATATATAATATATTGCCTTTCTTAGATTTCAGATCTAATAGAATTTATAATAGAAATGAATCTATTGGTGCCAGTAAGATGTGAGATTGATGAGTTAGATATTAAAGTATGTGGTCCGATACCTAGAGTTTATATACCATATAGTAATATACCAAGCAAACCAGCAATTGATCTCGTAAGTTGTATAATTTTATTTTGATCTCTGTGTTCATTGCAAGTGTTTAATATTAGGATTCTTTTGTTGTTGTCGCAAATGTTGATCATAACAAACAAGTTATGCATGTTTAAATAGCTTTCTCAGACTGTAACAGATGAATTTATTGCAGTAACCAATACATAATTTACATAGTCTAGCACAAAAATTTCACAACCTCTTGAAGAAAAGAGAATATTGAAAATTCAGTGATATGAAGAAATTCACTGGAAAGAACATTTCAAAGATTTGTCTTCAATGTAAAATTCAAATTAATTTGTTTTATTTTGTAAATCTAATAAAACAAGAATGATAGTTCTATATGGATCATTAACTGAGCATGATGTCATTGCCACCATCTTGGAATTGTGACATAATATAAAAAGTCTGTAAATTTATGCACAATTGTCCAAGGGACAAGCATGCCAAGTTTCATGTCGCTTGTACTTGAATTGGCAGAGCCATATGTTTTTTTCGAAGAGCATCACCCCAAGAATAACAATCTCATGTTTTCGGTGTTTTTTGAAAAATGTGTATGATATTACCATGAATGATTTCATTGTTTTCTTTTAGTTGTCATTATATCCAGAAACCCTACCACCTAGAAGTTATCAACGAGAGAAAATCTACACATTTCTACCAGGTTTACCAGCTTCATTATTTCCAACATTTTTAAGGTAATTTATTTTAATATCTTTATATTAATGATTTTAAATAATTTATTTTAGTATCTTTATATTTAATATTAACTTTTTTGATTTTGTTTTGAATGAGAAATCATAAATAAGTGTGTTTGACAAATAAAACTGACCCAGTGAATATGTGCATCTATATATGTACAGTAGTTAGGGTTTAGAAAATCATTTCTTGTCCATTTAAATCAGGAAGATAAATTCTAGATTTAAAATTGTGGCAGTTCGGCGTGTTTTGTGATCAGAACTGCTTTAGTTGAATGAGATGACCGATTGAAAACCCATAAATATAGTTCTGTCAATTCCGATAACTGTGAGTAAAATCGTTACATGTTCAACTCAGCAAACATGTTGCAGATGTTGTGACTGTTTGGGAGTTTAGACATTTTCTTATTTATTTGATGCATGATTTGTTTTCCAAAATCCATTTATTTGATTGTCATTGTTGTTAGGATTGAGAGAATTTAATTCATATTGTAATTTATTATAGGAAATGTGGAGAAATATTTCGATTCACACTGCTGTGGAAGACTGGTGCTCTCATACAACATGGACCTGTTGATGTATTCATAGAACTAACTGAAAACAAACATGGATACTTTGAACGTAATTCTTTTTAAAATTTCTCAGAACATAAATACCATTTGTCAGTAACAATAACAAGATCAGCCATAAATTAAGAAACTATAAGTTGATGACATGTGATTGAAAGGGGACAGTAATATATTTATCACTTTTTCACAAACTGAATTTAATGGCTATTTTAATTTTTGCTCGAAACACACGGCTAAATGCCCTGCCTATTTTTTAACAGTATAACAACACTTTGTGATTAAGACTCAGATAATTGAAATCTTGATTGATGTGACATTTTTGAATTTAGAATCTCTTACACTGGAACAAAGTTAGTATGTCATTATGGATTATATTTCAGATGCACCAGTGATAGCTGTACAGGGAAGAATTGCATTATGGGATCAGCTTGTAGACAGTAATAAAGAAAATACCCACTATGATGGTAAATGTCTGTGGGCGGTATTAAATACAATAACAACAATACTTGATTCTGTTTGCGTTCAGTTACGAACATTTGCCATGGTTAGTTTTCTATTATGTTTACTTTCAACAATTTACTACAGGTCAAGAGACTGGGTTGACAGGACATGTAACAGAGTTCTTGTGACCCAAATGATTTTATCAAAGTTGTATGCAAGACATGGTTATCCAAGTCTGGGTTTATGTCGGTTTGAGCCAGAGTTTCAACCTAAAGAATACCATTAAAATGTATTAAAGATCTGGAAAGATATGACATTCTATTAGTCTCTTTAAATTTTAAGGAACAATGTTTGTTTTTTTTAGCATGTTTTTTTGTCAGAAAAAGTGACTATCATAACTGATCTTGAAACAAGAGACTATATACTTGGTTGTCAAGAATGAAATGTCTAGTGACGTATCAGTTTGAATCATTTTTTATTTCAGATAACTATACCTTGTTTAACATGTGTACCAGATGGTAACAGAAAGAAGACTTTGGGAAACTTTTCTTGTTATCATTTTAACTACTTTGTCTTCTTAGCTGGATTTGATCGAGGAATGGCTTGTAAGAAAGAAGTGAACGCTAAATTTGTCAGAAAGCCTGAGCTTACAGGAGAAGGTACATTTGTATGGTTGTTATTCACTTTATCAACCAAAAATTCTACCATCTCTCATTTTGGTTTTGGTTTAAAAAGATAAATTATTTCTGATCGAAAGATTCTATTACATACATTTTTAAATTTTTTTATTCTTTTTCTCCAGATATGGCATCTATTGTACCATATCATAACTACAGTTTTATGATGGAAGCTAATAATTTACTGAATAAAGATGATTCCTTGTTCCCATGTGGTGTGCCGACAGATCCATTTGGTGAAAAACAATGTTGGAAGTGAGTGCCGATTTTTATATGTGTTACTTGTTTTATTAGATATTTTCAGCAATTACTAAAACATGTTGTTCTCCAGTTCAATACAGATTGATGTGATTGTTCAAAACATAAGGCTGTGATACTTACATGAGCACCTGGAATTGGGTGGAGTTGGGGTGGTTATCAATTTGAATTAAATCATGTGAAATAGTCAGCTCTTCACATTGCAGAAGAACAGAACAGTAGGATGTTAAACCCCATTTCATTTCATTTCACATTGTAGAAGGGGGTTGGACATTTATTAGAGTTTTGAATGAATCTTTTTTTTTTTACCCCAAAAAGTATGATTTATAAAGGAATTGTATGTGTAGTATGCCCCTTCAAAGTGTCCCCTACGCTACCCCCTAAATTACTGCAATTTATAATTATCCCGAGATAATTAGATTTCAGTTTTGGTTGAGGTTCCCCCAAAAAGCAACTGGCTTGAAACTACGAATTGTAAAAAGGAAATGAATAATGATTTAACTTTGAAGTTTGATGTTAAGGAACTAAACCACTTTGATTTAGATAAAAGAAAAATGTATTGTATTGGGTTGATCTTATGTGCTATTTTGAAAAGGTAATCTATATGCAATTAAAATTTTGTTTCTAAAGAATAAGTCACAAAGTAAGCCCGTGCCAACAGTGAGACAGTAGAACATTAAATTGGCTATATCTCAACATTGGCTTTATCAGTATCTATAGACATAAAATCATCCCACAAAACAAATCAAGACATTAAATTAATTTTTTTTTGACCCATATGTACAGGTTTTCAATGTACACTTTTAAGTTCAGTTATTAATAAACTACTGTATGATTATAGATGTTTTAACTGTTGGAGAAAAGATGATTTGGTTTGTCATCACTGTGGTATGTGTCAACAATGTATAACCTTTTTAGCGGTATGTCACTCATCTTTTTTTTAAACATACATTATGCAAGAGCTAAATCTGCCTATTGCAGGTCTTTCTTTAGGCCTGAAATGTTATATAAACTATTAATTAGACATTAATTAACCTATCCAGACCATAATCAACTCTCGATTTCAACGCTAGCCTGCGATAATTGTTGGATTATGATCCGATTTGCTGCTTAACTTTCCTTCTCGATTTAACGATTAAATGGATAATCGAGACTATGATTTTTGTCGTACCGACTTTAGTAATGATGCCCGAGGCTATGCGGAACTTTCGATCACTTATTTCTCGGTTCATAGTGGATCAATTTGACTGAAATTTTCAGCAAATTGCCTTTACATTATCTAGTTTTTAACTATTATAGTGAGAACTGCCAACTCGTTATCTAATCTCCCATAATGTATCTTTAATATAATTTTCTTAAACTAATAACCTTCCTATTAATTGAAAATGGAATTTTCTGTTGTAGATTGAACAACAACAAATAGAGAATCTCCTACGAGTCTTTTTTTGATATCCAAAAATATGAACACAAGTCGATAAATTAAATAAAAAAATGAGGCTTTGCCGAGGTTTTTTTCTACTTTATTGACGAGTGTTGAATTTTTTTTTTTAATATCAAAAAAGATAAGTAGGAGATTTTATTTATCACCCAACCCTTTCTTACACGCACAAATAAATAAATATAATTTTTTGGTATAGATTTAAGTTTACTGAAACTGGTTTCATTACGGCGTTGTGATACATCATTTTTTGACAGCAAGTCACCCATTGCAAAGTCCTATATATTGACCTGGTGTTTCCATTAAGGTTATGGGGAGTATTGTAATTGTTGGTGGTAATTGAGAACTGCTCTCCAACAATATTACTGATCCAAAATTCTTTCCTTTTTAATATAGTAGAATATGAAAGTTATCACACAAGCGATATATCTACTGTAGAATGTGTTATTGGGTGATAATAAACAGAATTCATAGTCATCACCTAATTTTTATTCTCCATTTTTTTAAATCAAATATTTTCAGAAAATTGACCGCACTGTGAAACCAGGATATGTTGCCAGTAAACATTACAATGTGAAAGACTTTAACCAATCAACAGTCAAGAATACTGGTAGAAAGAAAGCTAAACTGATACAGGCAGAAGAAGGTGATTCAGATGAAGAAACTGTGAACATGATAGAGAAAGATATTGATGCCAATGCCCTCATGTCCGGATGTCTAATTTCTCTGTTAAGATCACAAGAACTGAGATTACAGCAGTGTATGAATGGAACATATTTTAATGAATTGTCTTTAGTAATTATCACAGGAAAACAGTTTATTCTCACTTTAGAAGTGTAAGTCAATGTTTAAGATTTTCTAATATTTTAATTCCACTTACAAGATACATTATTATGATAGTCGAACAACAGTGTGTTAAATGCTGCTGGGAATTTTCAAGTCTGATTCTCTCTTAGATGATACGAAAAGTATGAAGTACACCTGTGTACACATTGGTATGTAGTATGTACTAAATAGACTGATGGCAGAATTCTCCTCATTTTTATTGCACATTACCATAAAATGACTGAAATATTGTGTTGATGAGACATTAAACCTCATTCACTTTCATTCTGTGCAAGAAAAATAGAAGATTAACTAAATTTTCTTTCTGTATAGAGATATATTCATGTGAAGAAGAAACCAATGATTAATTGATCTTTACCGAAGTTTATTATTGTGAGAATGAGAGGAGATTGTTATAATGTTTTATATTGTGAGATGAGAGATTGTTATAAGATAATGGGTTTCCTCCCACTGCTAAAGACCCCTACGCGCAAGCGAATTATTGAAATAAAATTAAACCATGTGTTAGTTCCGAAATGACCTAGTTTGTGTCGAGTGGACGTTAAACCCCATTTCTCTCTCTCTCTCTCTATAAGATAATGCTTTATATTGTGAGAATGAGAAAATTTTATAAGATCATGTTTTATGTTGTGAGAATGAGAGATTGTTATAAGATATTGTTTTATGTTGTGAGAATGGAAGGAAATTGTTATATGTTTTATGTTGTGAGATGGGAGATTGTTATAAGATAATGTTTCATGTTGTGAAATGGGAGATTGTTATAAGATAATGTTTTATATTATGGGAATGAGAGGAGATTGTTGTAAGTTAATGTTTTATAGTATGGGAATGAGAGGAGATTGTTGTAAGTTAATGTTATATAGTATGGGAATGAGAGGAGATTGTTGTAGGTTAATGTTTTATTTTGTGGGAATGAGAGGAGATTGTTGTAAGTTAATGTTTTATACTGTAGTCAGAATGGAAAGACAATAGAGTACAATGCTTCATGTGGTATATTTATGGATCAAGAGGATGAAGAACATAAAGAATTAGATTATAAAGCACATACAGGAGATTTATTTACTCTTAGAGTTGTTAACAAGGTGAATAATCACAATAATTATGTTATTGATTTTTAGTTCCAATAGTAAAATGTCGCTTATGTATGTTATGAGTGCATAGTATATCAGGTGGCCCAGGAAAAAACAAGTACATTATTTAAACATGCATTATGCAAGAGCTAAATCTGCCTATTGCAGGTCTTTCTTTAGGCCTGAAATGTTATCTAAATTATTAATTAGACATTAATTAACTTATCCAGACCATAATCAACTCTTGATAACATTGCTAGCCTGCGATGTTTATTGGATTAGGTTCCGATTTGCTCTTCGACTTCCATTCATGATTTAATCATGAAATGGATAATTGAGACTATTTTTTTTATCGTACTGACTTTAGTAATGATGATTGAGGCTAGGCCGAAAATTCAATCGCTAAAATCTTGGTCCAGAGTGGATCAATTTGACTGATATTTTCAGCAAATTCCCTTTACATTATCTAGTTTTTAACTATTATTGTGAGAACTGCCAGCTCTTTAACTAATCTCCCATAATGTATCTTTAAAGGGGAATAATTAAAAAAGTATTGTACCTATGTCATTAACCTTTGACAAGTTGAACGATATGGATGGTTGACAAATTCACTCCAAATTATAAGTCCATCGCTCAAATAGTTAACAGTACAAATTTTGTTTTGCTGGACTGAGAAGTCACATCACCCTGACCTCAGATTACATAAACAAATGATCAATGTGTCCCCTGTTTTTTTTTTCTAGGCCACCCAATATGGTTGTGGACCCTCTAGAGGTCACAATTTTCATCCGATTTTGATGAAACTTGGAATGCATGTTTATATCCCAAAGATCTTGGTTCTTTTCGATATTCGCGCATATCTGATTGTACTTCTTGAATTATGGCCCCTGATTGTACGATAAGTTGTGCTTTTAGCTTGTGGTCCCTCTAGTGGTAACAATTTTTTTTCCGATTTTAAAATCTGTTTAGATATATCAGTTATCACCATTCCACCATAATGAAACTGCCTGACAAAATGACTGCTCTTTGTACGCAAATTGTAATACAAAGGTTATGGACCCTTTAGAGGTCACAATTTTTATCCAATTTTGATGAAACTTAAAACATATCTTTATATTCAAAAAATCTCAGTCCCTTTTGATATTTGCACATTTCAGACCATAACTTTCTGGATTATAGCCCCAGATTGTACAAAAAATCGTTTGTTTTTTATAGCTTGTTCTCTATACATCTCTTGCAAAATGTGGACGTTTCCTGCCTGGCAGCCGGTGGTTTTTTGTTTGATTCAAATTTGAGTGAGCTAAATCTGTTTTTATACACCTATTGAAAGGATATGTTGAAAAGATTACACATACCAACATGCAGGACATATTGTCTATCCTGCAGACTTTACTTCCTTTTCAAATTATTTGTTTCGATGTCGGAGATCACTTATATAAATATGAACACACAGATATATGTTTGATTTATGTTTCAAATTAATTTCTTCTTTGTGCAGCCATTAGCTCGATCAGTGGTGTATTTTTATCTACAACAAAAAAAGATTTATCATGAAGAGGTAGATGCCTGTCAGATAGCTGTTAGTCTAAGAACTGGTCTGAAAGCCTCATATATCATTCATTCCCCTGGTATAAAGGTAATCATAATGTTATACATCTTTATAATACAATGAACACCGTTGACCATTCGCGATATTTTGATGTCATAATGTAATACACAATGTTTCTAGTATATCAGTAGCTGTGGTGGCTCAGTGAGTAAGACCTTAGCCCGCTAACCTGAAGGTCCTGTGCGATTCCGGTGTTGGCCAAGAAAGGTCTTCTCGATTTTCCAGCATGGTTCCCCCTTGTCAGTGGTCAGGGCTCACGCTGCTGTCGTACGGCAATGTCGCAATTTGCGATAAAGATATGCAAGTGGCAATTAAAATTTGATTTGGGCAATAATTTTGGCGATGACATTTTGAGAATTGGCTGAAAAAATTTTGAAAATTCTTATCGTATTTATCCCGTCCTCATTAGCCCGGTTGGAACAAAAAAGTAGGACGTTAAACCCCATTGCATTTGGAGCCACAGTGGCTAAGTGCAGGCTCTCTAGCCTGGATGTCGCGGGTTGGCTCCCAGTGTTGGCTGAGAAAGTTCATCAAGATTTTCTGCAGTGGTTTCCCCTTGTCAGTGGTGCAGGACGGAGGGCCTGACAAGGACAGCTGTCTAGTCGTTCGGATGGTATGAAAAACCAAGGTTCTGTGTAAACATGGCAGTCCTTAGCGCCACTGTCCAGGCAAAATTTCCCTGATAGCACAGTGTATTCATTAACCCAGTCGCAGCAGAACAGTAGGACGTTAAACCCCATTTCATTTCAGTTCCATTGCATTTGCCTTTCTAGTATATTAAATATGGGTGTCTGTAGCAAGAAAACTAAAAGTGAAAGACTGTTTCTATCATAGAAATTTTTGTTCTTTATAAATTGTATCTTCCAACCCAAGTTTGCAAATCCAATTCCAGCTGCTGCATGTTGGCTTCACGGATTTCAGATCTTTCCTTAGGACTAACGTGAAAGGTTCTAAGAGTCTTCTATGCAAAATTAACCAGTTTTTTCACTGAAATAATCCGAGATTTTTCATTTAACCACTAATGGGCAATAAAGCCCACTTGAGCTCTTGTTTTATTATAAAATTATATTAAACCATGTATATAATTCTAGATGACCTGGCAGTATACAGATGCAGTAAATTTTAAAACTGGTATGAAAGTTGAAGTAAAAAATGAATCCGGTGAAATGGTAGCAGCAACTATAGATACTGTTAATAATGGTATGCTGAAAATATTACCTGATAATATGATGTCTAACAACGATATGGATCTACTAGGTAAAAAATACCATCGATTTGTTACCTTTTTATGTTTAAAAGCTTATAGCATGAGTAAATGTTTCATGATTTTAATAAAGTTATTTGTGCAATATAATATTTTGAAGAATTGTGTCAGTTCTTTCTTGTTATTTATTCCAGTTATGCCCGAAAGTATGTCTATTGGTCGTGTAAGAAGAGAGATTGGTCCACGAATAAATCCAAATAACGATGGTAAGTGAAAAGATCCATGATTGCATAAAAAATTTACATAAAAAATTCAACTTAGGACATGCTATTATTTTTGGCCTCATATTGTGAAAGGTATTATGTAAAAGACATGCTTAAACTTTCCTGAACACCTTATCACTAGGCTCCAGGGCTGCCGACAACCAGTATCGCAGCGCAATTTGCGATACATATTTTGTCCGTTGCTAACCAAAAATTAAAATCTGACGTTTTTGATTCGCAGTTACTGTGAATCATTAATGTGCCTGTCATTTTGGATATTGTCACAAGAATAATCCACATTTTGAAGACTAGAAGGCTTACTCAACACTTTCAACGTGTATAAAATGTTGAATAAAATTTTATAAACAAAACTGAATTCTCCGTGTGACATTTTCTTCTCGAACTACCCAGACACAATACTATATAACACAGGGACATAACTCTATGAATAGGGACTATTAAACCGGAAATAGGGAATCAAGTAGTCGCACTCACGTTGCGAGACATCAAGTAATTATATCATATTCATTTTGAAATAAGTAACTCCAGTGTATCGCACGTATTGTAAATAAAATATAAAAAAATAAATACATGTTAACGTATTGTAAAATGATAAACCAAAGTAAAAATTCCCGTAAAATATTATTGTTTATATCGCGTGTGTCTAGTTAATCGAGGTGCGCCCGATTGAACAAAAATAGTAATACACGATAAAAAGCAGACGAGATCGTTTTCTAACGAAGATTTCTAACGTAACAAAAAAATAACAATTAAAATGAGTGCGGCTTCGGAAGTCACTGTCAAGAATTGGCTTCAGACATAAGACCTAACTAAATGTCTACATCACATTTTAAACTGTCACAAGTACTTGTGGCAGTGCTAAAAAAATCTAAGAATAGTCAGAATGGAATCTAATCATATTTGTTATGAATTAAAGTAATATCTAGGTATTTACATTGAAACTGAAAAACTGCTAATCAATTTTTAAATTTGCTAATCAAATTTGGCAAAATTGGACTTTTTGATTAGCAGTGCTGCTAATCAACTGTGAAAAATTACCGACAGCCCTGCTAGGCTCATCTGTAAAAGGATAGATGTCCTGTCTCAGGCTCAAATAAGGTATAACCTTGAATTTTGGGTTACTTTTGACAGTTGTTACAGTATATTTGACATTTTGAATAGACTATGATGTTCTGTGTTCAGCTAGTACAACTCTGTCTATTATCTTTAATTAGATTGTAAACTGTAACCAAAGTGTTATAAACATTACTTACCTTCTTGAATAAGGCTAATCTGTATTTGCCAATAGACATAGATTCCACACAATAACAACTTTATGAAAGTTCATATTTGGTGACCCTATTTCACTAAATTATCCCTTCCTGTTTACTTTCTAATTAGACAGTGTTTTGAGGTCAATTTTTGTCCCCCGCTTATTGAAGAAAGCAGGGGACTATTAAAATGGTCAGTCCGTCTGTCTGACTGTCACGCTTTTTAGAACACAATAACTCTCTTTCTAATGGAGCTAGGTGTTTATTAGTTGAATGCTTTAATGGAGTTCGAAGATGAGCATTTTCTGCTTAGGGTAAGCAGAGATAAGCTATTTGATTGGTTGATGCTTTGTTGCACGATAACTTTAGTTTTAATTATTAGTAAGTGCAGGGGGACTGCACCACACATAATTTACACAAAACAAATCTACAGACAAGACACAATACGTAGAAATCACAAACAAATGTACATATCAAATTAAGTGAATAGATCCGAGGGCTAGCCATAAAAGTGATGAAACTTGGTGTATAGTTTTATTACATCAATACCTTGACTAAGTTCGATAATGAGCATTTTCTGCTCAGGGTAAGCAGAATGATAGGCACTTTGATTGGTCAAGACTTAAGAACATAACAACTCTGATTTTAATTGAGGTAGAATGTTTAAACTTGATGTAGATGTTTTTTAGGTGACTGAGTTCAATTATTAACATTTCCCACTAAAGCTAAGCATAGCTAAGCAAGCAGTTTCATTGGTTGATGCTTAGGGACAAGATAACTTTGATTCTAACTGAGTTTCAAAACCATGACTGAGTTTGATCGTGAACGTTTTATGCTTAGACTAAGTATCTAGGTATAGATAAACAGTTTGATTGCTCAATAATTTTGAAAAAGATAAATATGCAATTAATCAGTTTGTGTCATCTATTTATTTTTGGATTTTGGCAGGGAACATCAGCCTCACTGTTGGCTTGTTTTATTTTGGTTTTATAATGAGCACGGACAAATTGCTGCTAGTGTACATGTAATCATGTTTTATGCAACAAGGCATTGACTGAGTAATTATCAAATATGAATAATTGTAGCTGTTGTATTTTTACAGACAATGATGTTGCTCCTCCGTGGCTATTTAACCAAGTAAGTAACATCAAATAGTTACAATTGGAAATGTTTAAAAGTGATAAAAGATGAATCTCAATTATTAGTAGTTTTCCCTTTATTATAATATTATCTATATTTTTGTGCTTGGGATCATAAGGTCTGTCTTTGAGGCAAGTGGCATGGTTTTTATTCCCCTTTTGTATGTGGCAAGGAGTAGGGTTGCCTGCCCAGTGGCGGCGCCAGCCGTCGGTGATTGGAGGGGCAAAGCTCTGGGGCAAAGTCCAAGGTTAAGGGGGCAAAGGCACAAGCTTTAACTAGGGGTAGAGGGCCTCCCCCAGAAAATTTTGAAAAACAGGTTGCCGGAAATGCAGCCTGGCAGTATTTCAGGCACTGATCGATGAGGTAAAGTGTAAAACGAATGGACTTGCGAATCACGACGAAGCCCACTCAAGAGCGTCAAAGTAGGGAGTCCTCCCCCAGAAAATTTTGAAATATAGACTGCCAGAAATACTGTCTTACAGTATTCTGTCAGACACCAATCGTCGAGATAAATAGATCTGACCAGATACCATCCGTCGCCTGATCACTAGTTTATCCGACTAGAGAACAAAATGTCAAACGAACGGACTTGCGAACCTCAACGAATTCCCCTTGTGAGCGCCAAAGTAGCGAGTCCATTGGGGACCTCGCCAAGAAAATTTTGAAAAATAGACTGTCGGAAATGCTCTACAACATGCAAGTTTATGACTGAGTGGGGATGTGGGATTTATTCACCGTAGAAGGTATTGATTACCGAAACGTATCACAAATCCTTTTTTTTATTTTCTAAAATTATTGGGGGGGGGGGGCAAACAGAGGGCAGACCAGATCTTGCCCCCCCCCTGGCGCCGCCACTGTGCCTGCCCAACCTCATGGGTTTTCGCTAGGTCCTCTTGTTTCCTCTGACTGTTAAAGAGCCTTCTCGCAAGCGAGAAATTGAAATAAAATTGAGTGTTGAGTGGACCTTACCCCCCCCCTCTCTCTCTCTCTCTCTCTCTGTATTGAAGGATAAATATATTTGTTAATGAGATAAATACAGTTAAACCAAGTCAAATCAAAATATAATAGAAAGTCTTTAAAGAAACTATAATACCTATCCCATTTTCTCAGAATTAGAATCTTGTTTGATTTGAATTTAGCTACAGCTAGAAGGAAGATTAACAGAATTATTGAAAGGAAGAAAAGCTCAAGATTTGGTCCAAAAATGTACAAACTTCTTACATCCATCAGGTTGGCATTTATATTTGTTAATTTTTGTGTTCACATTTTATATATAGATATATCGTAGAGTCACCTTCATCTGTTATCCGTCCACAATTTCTTGAGAACACTCTACTGATCAGAATTCAATTTGCAGGTTTTTCATGGTATTGTAAGGAAGACCCCTATCAAAATGTTTTGGTTGCAAATCAACATAGCTAAGTGCGTAAAAGGGCTAACCAGTAGTTCCTTGGGATCTTTCATATGGTGCAGGAAAGAAGGCCTGGCCAGGTACATCATCTAGGCATGTAGATGGGACAAAAAACTGAGGTCATATGTACACATTGATTTTAAAGAACCTTTGGCAGTTGGAACTTGAAGGATAATAGGATGAAATTTCCCTCATAGCACACTGGATGGTGTATGCACATTTTATTAGCCTAGTTGGTGCTGAATATTACCTCATTCCATTTCATTTATTAAGGCAATTCTTTTCTCTTAAAATGATCTTATTTTCCAGTACTCCATGCTCAAATGACATGTTTAGAGCCTGAGATAGAAGATGTAATATTTCGACAAGGTGGTATAGATTTTTCTGGAACTGCTCTTCTGTTGTTTCCACAAAATCTTAAAGAAAAAGATATATTTTATCCTTCTAATTTACTACTCACCCAACAATTAAAATGTCAGCCATTGTGTTATCAAAGAGGTTAGTTGTTTTAGATAACATGCTTAGATTATTCCATATTATTCCATATCTGTCGTACAGATGATATAAAATATATTTTTATGACACATAAACATTCAATTTTGTTCACGATCTAATTTGAATTGATTAAAATTAATAGAAATCTCCAATGATTGACTAATGCTCATTATGTTTCTGCTTGTATTTCTCCTTTAATAATTTTTCAAAATATGTTATCATGAAGTCTGTAGGCTATCTGAATACAGAAAAAATTGATCCATTTTTAAAAGAACTATCCCTAGCATATTTTGGTCAGTAATACCTTTTAATTTATATGAAAGACTGATAGATATGATCATAATAGTATACAGGGACTATGCAATTATTTATTTTAATAAATTGTTACCTGAAGATTTTTTAATTAGTAACTGTATTTGTATATTTTTCTGATAAATAAGATATTTTACCCATTTCAGGTGATATGAACAGTGTGATGACATTTCGACATGTTCAAGCTATGAGTAAAACTATTACACCATATAGAACAGTTCATATAATGAACACAGAAGGTTTTATCTATGAAAGTAGTGCAGGAGGAATTGATTCTTTCTTTAGTTCTAATTTCTATGAAACTATGATACTCTGGGCATGGCATTTAATAGCCATGCAAAGACAAGAGGTAAGTAAATATGATTTGCTGTGTCATACTTTTGCTATAGTTTCAGACTATGAATTAAATTATTGTATTTAAACTTTCGTGTAATTTATCTGTCTACAGTGGAGTAACTGGCCACCCTGACCAAATCTTTATTCCTTTTCCCAAGACCTTATTTCAAAAACCATATCATTGTGGCATAAGATGGTACCAGTACATTTTTTTTATGCCCTTGCGTTAATGTACATGTAGTTTAATATTGTTCTGCAATCATATCTATATAAAGTATTTACAGCTGATTAAGTTTATTCCTGTTCCTTTATTTACAGCCTGTTGAACTAGAGTTATCTGCAGTTTTAAAGAAGATAGAACTATCATCTTTATCAAAAAGAAAGGTTAATTGAATTGGCCTTTAATGTAAACAATTAAATATAATTCTTATATTTTAGTATGATTGACGATTGTGTATATCGTTATCATCCATAATGTAATTGGTAGATTGGTTTATTTGATTTATAATGAACCTTGTTGTGAATAATCATCTAGTCATGAAAATAGATAGTATTGTGCAATTTTGTCTGACGGATTGACTCGATATTTAAAACATTTTGTCGCCTGTTCAATTCAGTTAACCTAAGCATTCATGATAGCTTTTATAGGTGGCTTGGATTGGATTACTTGGTGGCTTTGTGTTTTGTAGCGGGTTCTTTGGGATACTTAGATATTGTTCAAGGCATTGGGTTAGGAGCCATGGTGGTTCAGTAAGTAGGGCACCAGCTCACTAACCGGTTTCATCCTATTTTGATTCCTATTGATCAAGGACAGAAAGCCTGGCAAGGAACAGTGTAAACATTGGATTTCGATGATCAGTAGACAGAAACTCCACTGACCATGCAAAATTTCATTCATAGCACACAGCATAGCTGATGCCGGTCTTCATTAACCTGGTGAAAGTATGTTAAACATTTTTTGATTTTCCTGTTACCTTTATATGTTATCAATGATTTTTTTAATTTTCAGTTGACAAATGCTATTTATAGATTGATTCAACGAATGTCCTATCACCTTTACTTTGGTCTTGGACCAACGTTTGATCCAGTTACATTTAATAAAGATAATTCTGATCTTAATTCCTCTGCAAAGGTAATATAAAGAATTATATTTTATGCTTACTTTCATTGAAAATTTTTGTCCAGTATTTTTTAATTATTATAGTTTTTAAATGCTATAAATGTGTATATATCAAGGACATAATACATAATACATATTAAAATGTATATGTATGCATAAGCAATGATGTAGATTTCAAAAATGAGATCATTGATTTCATATATATGTGAAAGCAAAAGAAAAAGCACATGGCCTTGTTTGATTTTTCTAGTGTACTCTAATTATGACACTTGTCAAGTTATTAAAATTTCATTGCTTATATCCTCAGAATATTTGTTATTTCTTACATGAAAGACATAGATTAGAATCACAAACCTTAAAAGAATTAAATATGATAAAAACATATTTTGTTTGTTCTCTTTAAAATTCGAGTTTAAATTGGAATTTATTTTTCAGGAATTAGAATCAATGCTTCTTGACGAGTTTGATAAATCTGGGTTAAAAAAGGTTGAGATCATGTTTAGTGAAGATCAAGTGTATATGTGTGAAACTCACGCAGCTTGTTGGCAAATTAACAACAACTTGACAGAAATTCCCTTAAACTTATTCACCAATAATACAATGTATATTAAATCACTGCATTTACAAACAAATCAAATCGAGTCTGTCCCTGATGAACTCTTTACTAATTTACCATGTATAATGGACCTTGATATATCCAGTAACAAGCTTACACAAATTCCAGATAGTATTGCCAATTGTACTAAACTTTTAACATTGGTAATATATAACAACAACTTAACGACATTGCCCAACACACTAGCTTCTTGTAAATGTCTGGAGAGACTGGACATAAGCAAAAATTTAATGAAGGAATTTCCACCAGTTATTACAAAATTGAGCAAACTGACCCGTTTGTATGCTCAGAATATGCAGCTGACTGATTTACCAGAAGATATTGGTAATCTTACTAAACTAGATAAACTAGGATTAAATGGTAATTGTTTCACCTCACTACCCAAAAGTTTCAGCAATTTAAAGAATTTGACCGAGTTATTTATGAATGGAGTACCATGGTATAAAGCTAAAACAAATGCTATCATATCTAAAGAACATTTTGAAGAACATTTACATACAGCTGGGTTGCAGTCATGGTTAAACCATCATGATCAGGTAAGGTTCTTAATAACACAGGGGGGTTGGATGGGCGAATGGTTAGCATGTGCGTGCTGTATCATAAGGTCTGTCATTGAGTCCACTGCCATTGTTTCGATGGTTGTACGAGACCTGGAGTAGGGTAGCCTGTCCAACCTTGTGGGTTTTCTCCAGGTTCTCTGGTTTCCTGCCACTGCTAAAGACCCCTACGCACAAGCGAATTATTGAAATATAATTGAACCATGTGTTGGTTCTGAAATGACCTAGTTTGTGTCGAGTGGATCTTAACCAGGGTTCTTAATCCATTTTAAAACGAACCGGCCAAAGGCCAGAATTGTGTTATTGGAAGTCTTTATGGATCAATAAGCTCCCATTCCCTTTAAATTAACCAGATTCCCATCAAAATAGTTCTTGAAAATTGCTTACTTAGAATCATATTTTGAATAGGTCAACATTTATGATTACCACAAACAAATAGGTCACTGCTGCTAGATAATTTGCATATTTACGGTAATTAACGTACTGGCTTCAAGTTCATGTCTCTATAATTACAATTTCTATTTACAGGATAAGATGTCTATATTTAAATATTTTGATGAAGATACCAATGGTACATTAGATCAGAAAGAATTAGGAAAACTTAATGCAACCATGTTTAATGTATTTCCTAGGCTTGGTTATAAAGGGACTGAACCACCAGGTTAGTGAAATTTATTCAAATTCTTTGCATTAGTGAAGGCAGTAAAATTAAATTATTGAAGGTTGATAAGATAAAAACATTAATTTCTCTATCCATGTAGCATGCAGAGTCTACTACTGCCGTTTTTAATCAAGTTGGGCTAGTCTATTACTGGATAAAATTGATCAGTCGTCCCACTGTTGATATTGCTTTGAATCATTCCCTTTACTTGTAGAATGTAATTGATATTGACTAGGTTTCAAACTTTAACCTCCTTCAATTAATGTTGCCTTTTTATTTTGTTACAGATGATGACATGCCAAGTGGATTTCCAACAGAACTGTTAGATCTTCCTAAACTATCATATTTAGGATTACAATTTCAAGGATTTATTTCTATACCAGAACAAATAGAGAACTTAATTAGCCTGACAACACTTAATGTTAGTCATAATCCTAATCTATTATCTATACCAGCTCAGTTAGGAAACTTACCTTTAAAACGTAAGTTCTTATAGATATCATATAATCCATGTAATTTGATAAATATCTGTTTAAGGACATTTTGCCGGTTTCATGAATCGTATGTAATGTTACAAGCTCGCTCGTAAGTTTGATAGAGTGTATTTAAGTCTTATTTGTCCTGTTTGGAAACGAACACTGGCTGTAATGTATGTATATTATCTGAAAAATACTTGAAACTAATTCTTCCTTGTTATGTAGTTGGCTGAGAAATAAACTCAATATTGTAGTCCACATGCTATTACAAACCTTTATACTTTGTTGTAGAGGTTAATTATATTGTATTTGGGGGCTGCAGTGGCTCAATGAGTAAGGTACTGGCTCACTAACCAGGAGGTCCAGGTTTCAATCCTAGTGTTTGCAGAGAAAGTCCCCTGGGGTTTTCAAGCATGGTTTCCCCTTGTCAGTGGTGCATGAAAGTCGTCTTGACAAGGACAGGGACAAATCGTTATTCAGATGGGACAAAAAATCGATGTCCTGTGTACACATTGGTGTGCATGTAAAAGAACCTGTGACAGTTGGAATTTGAAATAAGAGTAGGCTGTTACGCCACTGTCTGGTCAAAATTTCCCTCATAGCACTCTGTATGGCATATGCCAGTCTTTATTATCCCAGTTGGTACAAAAACCCCATTTCCATTTCATTTTATTTGTACATGTATTATAAATAAGCTATGTTAAATAATGTTAATCATTTGAAACCATTTCTAGGACTTGAAATGGATGGATGTCCCTCGTTGAAAACTCCGCCCAAAGAAATCCGAGCCAAGGGATTTGCTACCACATTTGCATATTTACGGCGTCTGTTGAGTGGATCTACAGAATGTATGAGAACTAAGTTAATGTTAGTAGGTCTAGGTGGAGCAGGAAAAACCAGGTAAAATATTACATGTAGTTATAGATGATATTTATCTTTCTTCATAATCTTTTAGTTCGATCACTGACTACCGGTATATTCATTACTGTTTTCATATTTTGCAGTCTTGTAAAAGCTTTGTTAAGTGATGATGGTAGAACTAAACTGACGGTTGGTGAAGATATTACAGATGGTAAATAAACACTTAATTTGGTATTTTCATCTTTCTGTTACACTCTTTGAAATACAAAAACTTTATTTCTAGCCTAAGTTAGAACATCAATGCCATATATTCATTTTTAATTAGTCTTCTGCAGTCTGATTAGTAGATACTTCGGAGAGCAATAATTTTACTTTTAGTCAACAAATTTTGATAAAACTTGCAATATACCTTCACTATCACAGTGTATCACCTAAGTAAGAACATCAATGCCATTCATGTATATTAAATTGGCCCACTGCAGTCTGATTTGTTGATTGTTTAAAGAACAATAACTTTTTTTCTGGTGAAAGGAATTTTTTAAAACTTTAAATATACCTTGATTATCACCATCACTAAGTATGATCATCAACCCTATCTATTTATATTTAATTAACCTACTGCCATCTGATTTGATCCTTTGAAACGTAATAATGCAATCAAATAAACTTAAACTATACATACCATTAGCCATGCACATTTTATTGGTGTATTAGAATTCATTTTGTCAATTCTATCGGTAGTTAACTTTACTGACAGCTTATATGCTTTTATTTTGACACAGACATTGTGTTAAGTGAATAAAATTGTCTATTTTGAACTGTATTTTATCAGACCAGATACATGTATCTAATTTCATTGTTATTATGAAATGTACATTAACCGTATTACAGGAATTGATATCTGTCCATGGAAGGTAAAGACAGAGGAAGGGGAGCTAACGTTTAGTGTTTGGGATTTTGCTGGGCAGACAGTCTACTATAATACTCATCAGGTAGGTCTGAATTAACAACTAATAAATATTGTTATTCCATTAGAAATTTAAGACAAATTAGACAAATTTCTTTGAAAATACCGGAATCCAAGACCTAAATGTGAAATAAAACGTTTGTTACCCATATTCTAACTGCACAAACACCATGAAGGGAATCTTTATTTTTGTGGAATGGTTGACATTAAACTGCTACAGAAATGTACAGAAATACACAAGGTTAATCTGATTTAAACCAAGGATTTATTCTGTAACATTTATCCTCTAATGGTATTCGTATATCCTTATTTTTCAGTTTTTTCTATCTGATAGAGCTGTGTATTTATTATTGTGGAATATCAGATTAGGTCATGAACATGCTGGTTTAGATTTCTGGTTAAGTTCTATATCTGTTCATGCACCCAAAGCTCCAATATTTATTGTTGGTACTCATGCTGATCAGGTAAGAGGGTAGATTATAAATGATATATTATTAGTCATGGGTATTTCTGAATCCAAAAAAAATACCTTGAAGCTTAATGCTCCTGTAGGCCAATAAACATATTTTTGTTTTTCCTTATTTAGATTTAGAACAAATAGAAGCTGACAATTTGTCATTGAATATTTTAAAATAAAAACCTTAGGTTGGATACTATCAGGACCTCAATGTTCATGTACAGCAATGACGTATCATTAAATGGCAGTTAGATGGTCTGAAAATCTATGTCATTTAAGATTGTATTAATTAGTAAATGAAAATTATAGCCATACAATTAAAAAATGATTATAAATGTACAGTATATTATTGGATTCTATTTATATACAGGTAGCAAAGATTGAGTTACCAACTAAAGCTATGTTAGAACGATATCCACAAATAGCAGGATTTCATTATATATCATCACATACAGGACAGGTATTAATACTTTCTTTTATCAATACGACATAATTGCAATATATATTTTGAACTTTATTTTATTCTATTTAAGACAGATTATTATTACACAATATAAGTCAATAAGTAGAATCCAGTGAAATGATCAATGGTCTAGCAAATTCAAAGTCTCATCATTAGAGAGATGAGCCGATACGGGTGATATGGCTAATTATAAGCCAATATTGATATGCACCAACAACCTATTATCGTAAGATATCAATGTGTTAATCGATGATTGGCCCATCTCTATTTATTATCTTGAACAGTTTGCTTTAAGAACCGGTCATACATGAAGATTATTAATAATATTCTACTTCTGTTTATAGGGTGTAAATGAATTGAAGACAAATTTAGTTGAAGAAACAATAACCCAACAATATATGGGTGAAAAAATACCTGGTGTATGGTTAGGATTGGAAAAATCTTTACAGGAGTAAGTACTATTTAATTTATGAAATCTAATACCTTTTTCATTAAAGTTTTTTTTAAAAATTTGCATCCAACACGATACCTTAAAATCAAATAGTTTTTGAAATAAAGATTTCATATACTGGTAGATGAGAAAATTCTTTTCATGTTGTTATTACATTTCTCTGAAATATATTTGATTTTTATTTTGTTTGAATTTTTTATAATTTCAACAGAATTCAAGAAAAATGTGTAATAGAATACAGCGAACTAGAGAAAAGAGCAAATACATCAGGAATATTTGACAAATCTGAGGTGAACAGTTAAATATTAACAACTATAAGTTTGAAAAATCGCATCTGTAAATGCAACCAGTTCATACTGACTGTGTACACTTTATTTGAATACTTTTGGAAGCGAATGTCAACAGATATTTTTCATATTTTTTACTGAATATAAATAGAAGAAAGGAATTTGTTTTGCATAGGATAATATTTATATGTATTTTATATTGTATTTAATCCAGGTTTCTCAAGCTCTTCAGTTTTTACATGAACTTGGTTCTCTACAGTATTTCCAAAACGAATTTCTTAAAAAACATGTTGTTATAAGTCCGCAATGGATTGTAGATGTAATGGCTTGTGTTGTCTCTGTTAAAGATTCTGCAATTAAGGTATTTATGCATTAATACACTAGTCACCAGTGTTGAGAGTTAGATTTATCAAACAAAACACTGCGAAAATATGTGCTTAGAAATACAATAACAGTTTGAGTGTGTTTCTGAATTTATCTTGGAATTTATTAGTTGTTTGTTGGGATTGTATGGTTTTCCGAAGGTTTTCTTGTATCAAATAAACCTAGAAATGGATCTTTACAAAATTTAATAATTTTTTTAGGATGGCCGTCTTCATCATGATGACATCAGTAAAGTCTGGTCCAAATATCCTGAAAATCTTCATTGGTGGTTATTGAGGTTAACCGAAGAATTTGATCTGACTTTTAGACTTGCTGATGAACCAGTCAACATTGTTCCTTGTCTTCTGCCAGAAAAACAACCAGAGGTAGGCAGAGTTATTTTCAGATCCTTTGAAAGACTTTAAACAACCAACAAAGATCTTACATCATAGTTAGAAATTAGATGTTTGAATGTATATATTTTATTTGTTCAATTTTCATTTTATAATTATAGATAATTTGGCCAGAAATTGATAAGAATTCATCAATGAAGGAGACTAAGATGGTGTATAAGTTTGATTATTTACCAGCTGGTTTATTTAATCGAGGACAGGTACGTCTATATCTTTGAAGGTATAAGACTTTTTTTTACCAAATGTTTTAATTTCTAGATGTTTTGTATCTTATTCTTGATGTTAAACAAATGTGTGTTTGTTTGCAAGTAGATCAAGAGTTTTGGAGTTGAATAAATGGTTGTATTTTTAGAATAGGACAGTACTAATAGTGATGATAGCATTTGACTGGCACTAACATTGAAATTAATCACATTGTCATAAATAACATATGGGTTATTTGTTCATAAATTGAATGCTTTATTCTCACATTTCATGTTACACATTTTAAATGAAAAAAAATGACCTTTTTTTTTTAGGTTCGTCTTCACCAGTTTTCAGATAGTGCCTTAATATGGAAGAGGGGATCCTTTCTTAAGAAAAATGAACATATATGTTTACTTCAGCAAACCAAGTAATTTCAGATTATTTTTGGCTTTTCTAGTTGGTGCATGTTAATCATAGTGAAGTACTTGTGAACAAAATTATCCAGTTAATTATCTGTACATAATTAACTCTTTATTTTTATAAGACTACATTTTAATGTGGTCGTATGTGCTATAACATCTAATTATTGGTTTGTCCACCCATCCATTTGTCCATAATTTCTTGGGGGATTGGATGGCCGAATGGTTAGTACCTGCACGCTGTATCATAAGATCTGTCATTGGGTCAGCTGGCGTGGTTTCGATTACCCGGTTGTAAGTGACAAGGAGTAGAGACGTCTGTCCAACCTTATGTTAGTCCTGAAATGACCTAGTTTGTGTCAAGTTACAAAATTTTATTACAAAGGGGTATAACTATGAAATTTAATGTCACTAATCCCTAAAACTCAATAGGGTTCTTCCTCTCAAATAGCTGATCTTTCCAAGACTTAATCTTCATTCATTTACAAGGCCATTATTTCCTCTTCTTAACACAAACCATTTTTGCCCTTAGTTTTTAACTTATCCTAACCTTTATGGAGTTTGCAGACGACTCTGCTGCTGATCTGCATATCAGTTGCAATTCACAAAGCTTTGTTTGATTTTTTTGTTTGTAATTTTAATTTGACAAAAATTATATGATTATGTTTTCTGTCTACTATAAATTTTTCTCAGAGAATCAAAATTAGTTGTGAGAGCTCAGGGTGCCAGGCCTGATAATGTCTTATTTTTGGTACATGAAGTGTTTGAAGGATTGATAGCTGAATCATTTCATGGTGTAACTTATGATTTCTTCATACCTTGTCCAGATTGTCAAAAGCAGGTTAGTCTCAAATTTCCAAATTATCCACAAATGGTATATAAATGCCTTTCTCAATACAGCCTCTTCTTCAAATAAATTTTGAAAAAAAAATGTTGGGGGTTGTCTTGAAGTTTTGAGGCACATTCTTTGCCTATAAAGTATAGAACCTGTGAACAAAGCAAACAGACTGAATATAGCTGAAATATTTACAGTAAAAACTTGTTTGTGAATATATCAAATAAATTGCTTTTTAGATGTTAAAAGATCCACACATGTTTGCTGCTTCTACCATAAGACGAGCCAGTGAACTTAAAGCACCATTTCTACAGTGCCTTAAATATTTTCATACCATATCAATCATTGATCTACAATGTATGTTTATTTTATATTTGTTGCAATATTTATTTTATATGTGTTACAATATTTATTTTATATGTGTTACAATATTTATTTTATATGTGTTACAATATTTATTTTATATTTGATTTGTTAAAATATTTATTTTATATTTGATTTGTTACAATATTTATTTTATATTTGTTACAATATTTATCTAATGAACCGAGCAAGAAAAATGGAATGTAAGGTTTATCCCGACATTGCTTAGCTGTATGTATAAAACTGACTATTAGAGACAGGAAGGCAGTTTTCTTAGATGTTCATTTTAAGCAGTTGCCCCCCAAAATATATATACATATATGATTTCTTTGTAATTGACATCTCATTTAATTACAGCTTATATGCCTCCTGATTCAAATCTGGACTATGATTTACATCTGGTTCAGGCTGTTCGAGGATTAAAAGAACTTAAAAAAGAATTAGCCACAGGTATGTTTATTAGTGTAGGTTATTGTATCATTTGATGGGTCACTTCTCATACTTTGAATCAACCTGAATCTAATTCAAACCCAGAATTGATTGTGGTGCACTATACCATACATATAATTCAACATTAGCAATGGGAAAGAGAGGGTGTCGTACAGTTTTGTCTCTTCTGCAATTCTGTATTATTTCTTTCTTCTTTCAGATATATTTATGTCATATTGTGCTCAAGATGTTAAGAAGATTGCCGGTGATTGTGTATCAACTAAAACTATTGTTACAGATATATGTAAAGCTGGATATAAATGGTAAAGATATAATTTGTTACTTACTGATTCATATTAGGAACAGACAAAAAACCAGTGCTCCATTCATGTCTGCAAATGACAGTTCCCCAAAAAATTGTTTTATACTTGTGCATTACCAATAGAAATCTTTTAGTGATCGTAAACCATTTAGATTAAATAAATAAACATGAAGCTACTGAACAGTAAAAATTCTCTATTCTTCAGTCATTGTTTTTTTTAAGGCCTGTCGCTCACCTGAATGTCGACTGAGGGAAGTTTTTTTTCCCTCCCCTCAAAATTGAAAATTGCTCTCCTTTACAAAGTCATTGGGGGTTTATTATCATTTATGAAACCAGAATTGACCCCATTACATGCAGTTGTTGATCTTCAGAATCATTTCCCATACACACAACTAATCACTGTCCTTAATATCCGATCACTCTCCTTAATTTCTAAATCACTTTTCTTATCGAAACTGGGAGAGCTTTTTTAGGGGGGCGATTTTTTCAATTTGTTGATTGAGGGAGCTTTTTTCGACTCTCCTCTGAAATACAAACAACAACGACTGATTCTTCTCAGTAAAATTGCCTGAATAATAAAAGTTATCATTCCCTCTGACCCTCTTTGAGGTTAAGTGCACAGTATAAAAATATAATATTTATTTATAGTTGGTATAAAGAAGATGGTTCGGCATATACATCTGATGAAATGGCTCGAGCTTTAATTGATTCATCTGTATTTGTTGCTCTTATATCAAATGATTATGTGAAAGATGAGACTTGCTGTAATCTGTTCAAATATGCTCGATTGACTCTACACAAGCCTATAATCATTATAGCTATAGGTGATGGACTAGAATGGAAACAGAGCAGATTAGGAATTTTATTGGTAGATGAGGTAAGATAAGTAGGGGTTATATTTGGCAGAATAAATGCCTGTGTTTGCTCAAAAATATCAGAGACAATTTGCATTTGAACAAGCACACACTTTAAATGTCCTGCATGCATCCTGTTACATCTGGGTGGACTTTAATATACATTGGGTCATTTAAAGCTTTTGGTTGAGCAATGTTGAGTACAGTTAGTATAGAGTTAGTGTGAACTCTCAGGTGAGTTATTCAACAAATATACCATATGCTGTGCATTTACACACAGATCTTTAACACACAGATCTTTAACACACAGATCTTTAACACTTCTTTACAACTGAGTTACTCATATGTTTACTTTTGGCTTTACCAAGACCTACTTTTTGAACTGGTCAACAGTAAAAAAGTATATAAATTATAAACCCATGCATGTATTGAAAATTGCAGGTTTTTGTGGACATGAGGAAAATGGAGAGATATAAACACAAATTGCCAGAACTGTTGAAAACTATCAACAATCGTATAAATAGAACAGTACAAACAATAACATCTACACCATGTTTTGTTAGCTATTGTTGGCAGAACTCACAGGAAGCCATTAATAAAGGTTCAAGGTTAGATTTCTTCTACATGAAATAAAAGTTAGAGTTGCCAGGCAATGAAACATGCCACCTTTGTAAAGCAGCAATGAAAAGTTGTGAGAATTGTAGTGTTTTTTGGTGAAATGGCAAAGCATACTGTCAGCTGTATAAAACACACAGGTCACAATTCTATGGAATACAATTACTGCTTATTACTTTTGTGGTGGTGGTGGGGGAGGGGCAGGGCGAATTATTAAAGTGTGCACACTGGTCTGGCATTGAGTCATGGTTTCGATTCCCCACTTTTACATGACAAGGAGAAGTGTCGCATATCCAACTTCGTGGGTTTTATTGAATAAAATTGAACGAGATATTAGTCCCAAAATGACCTAGTTTGTGTTATGTGTTGTTAAAACCCATTTCTCTCTCGCTCTCTCTCTTATTACTGAGTGAAGTTTCGACTAGGCTTCTGTAGTCTTCTTGGATCATTTTTGCTTGTTTAATACAATTATGACTGGTTTTGCTAATTTTAGGGTTATTCAAGGTGCAATTGGAGCTGCTGATCCACGAGATATTAAAGTTTATCTGGAGAAAAATAATATTAAATGTTGGATTGATGTCGAGAGAGCTGGAAATGTAAATTATTTTATTTTTACACTATATGAATTATACATCAACATGTTATTTAACATTTGTTCTTCTCACTAACAATTTTAACAATATTACAAGTAAACAGCTTTTAGGATTTACATTTACCCATTAGTAAAACTTAATTTGAGTAAATATGCATTTAATATCTTCTTGATTTAAAGTATAATTCTTTGTTATTGTAATTTGGCTGTGCTTGTTTATTGTTATTTTTTGTTTTTGTGTAATCCTATTGTATTTTATTTATATAGAATGGTCTATTTGACGATATTGCTGAGGGTTTGATTAATGCTGATGTAATGGTAGCCTGTGTATCTGATGAATATTCTAAATCATCTAATTGTCAATTTGAGTTTCGATATGCTGTTAATACATTAAAACTACCCATAGTATTAGCTATAGTAGGTACTGGTAACAAATGGAGGGCATCAGAGGTAAACATTTTATAATATGTTTAATTATATGCCATTATCACATAGTAACTGTTTGGCAGCATGATAGGGTCCATTGAAGGGGGTGGTCTAGTGGTTTAATGTGTGCACGTGAAATCACAAGGTCTGTCATTGACTCAAGTGGTGTGGTTTCAGTTCCCCGCTTGAACGTGACAAGGAGTTGGAAGGTTGCCTGTCCAACCTCATGGTATCCTCCCACTGCTCAAGACCCCTACGCACCAGCGAATTATTTAAATTAAATTGAATTTGTTAGTCCAAAAATGACCAAGTTTGTGTTGACTTTAAAACCCATTTCTCTCTATATATAAATTGAAGGAGAAGGGTCCTCTAATTTGAAGATTTTATGAAATATTTGTCATGGACAATGCTCAATGCATCAGAAATTACAAAAAATGATTTCCAGTATCTCTTAATGATTCAAACTTTATGGTCATTAGAATCTCTTAGCCTTCAACATTCGAAGGGTGACGGCACTACACACAAAACTTAAAAATTGAACCTGCAGAAAAGACAAACTACACAGACATTGCAAGCAACAAAAAACAAATATCAAATCAAGTGAAGGGATCAAGGGCGCAACCATAAGCATCCACTGTGCTGTACAGTAAGAGGTTCTACTGACGATAACTCGCCAAACCATTACAATTACTGACATTTTTTCCATAATCTTGATGTTAACTTCAGCATACATAAACATAAATATGAATTGGGATGCCCTGGAAAGTAATAACTATTCACTGCTCACAATTTGATTTGCATTGCCTATTGATTTTTTTTTTATTCAATCAAATCTACTAGAAATGGTTGAAAGTCTCCAGCTTGTAACATCTTTGTTGTGGATTGTCATTACTACAAATCACCCTACCCTCATCTTTTGGAATGGTAGCTTTTTATTTAAATATGTACTTTCTAACAGATAGGTATTTTATCATTGGATTGCCCCATGATTAGTTTTCAAGAGAAAAGTGAAACAGCTTTACCTAAACTATTAGAACAAGTTAAGAATTATTTACCTGAGAAAGAAGAGAAGAAAAAAACAGACAATAAACAACCAGAAAATAAAGAAAAAGATTTATCATTTCAGGTAAATCTTTGTTTACAGACTTCACTTGTTTTATTTTCTGGAATTTGTTTGTACAGACAAATCTGTAAAATTTTGTAATGGATTGTGAATTTAACTCAATTGTAAAATTTCTAAAAAGTTCCAATTGTTCAGGTGACTTGAAGAAATGAAAGACACCTTTGAAGGAAACCAAATTGAACACTGTTTCTGTATTTGTTCTTTATAGGAACTGTTTGAATTAGCTCAGAGAAAGTTTTTACGTCAGATAATGCAGTATGCTGAAAAACAGGACATATTACCTTATCCTCGATTATTTGTAACAGATTTTATCAAACAAAAGCATGAAACAGAAGGTACGTTTTAAGTTGATTATGTGAATCCTGTGATGTCACAATGGTGTTTTAGCTTCATAATATCACTGAAAACCCTAGTGATATTACTTCAGATATTTTTTGCAAAGAAATATGTGACAGGTCGTTGTATCTTTTTCCTTATCCCACAATCAGTAACGGAAAACCTGTAACGATAGAGGTGATACAGCACTGTGCTGGTCCTGGCGAGACCTATTTTGTACTCAGGTCCCCGACGACTATATAAAGGGAACATCCGACACAATCTCACTTAAGCCTGATGAGTTCGAACTAAACGAAACTAGTCGCCTTATGAGAGAAATCTGGAACGGCTACTCGCCACTCACAGATTTCTAATTTTATTTTGTGAATACAATCACCAGCAAAATGCTAGATTGATCTAGTTCCTGTTTCATGTTTGAATCCTAATATGATTGCAGGTCATTTGCATAGGTATCAAACAGCAGTATACAATTTGTTAACAAATTTAGATCTTCAAAAGTTTATTAGACATACCTGTATGTAGTACGAAAAAAAAAAACCCAAGTAAACAACTGCTTTATTTATGGGCACAATATACCAGACTAAAAGATAAATATAAACTTACAGAAACATACTGGTTCAAATCGATCTAATGTAACATAAGTTATGGCCATCTAAAGTTCACATTGTTTTTTTTTTCTTTTAATCCTGTAAATCACTACTTATAAACAATATTTAACCTTATTTTTTGTTAAATTTAATAAGGCAAATAATTATTGGCCTTCTAGTGCATTTCAGCTTATAAATATGGTTGTTAAACCACAGGAGTCTGACCTTCTATCCGTATATATATGCATACACCATGTCCAACCAGACAATATATAATAAAAAAGATATATTGTCTGGTTGGACATGGTGTAATCATATATATACGGATAGAAGGTCAGATTTCTGTGGTTAAACAGACAGAGGTAGAAAGAGTACCTGTATTAATATGTGTATAGAAAGCGTGATGTGATCATTTGTCTGTTATATTTGTAGATGGCGAAGAAACAGTAGAAAAAGATAAACCAAAAGTCAAAGAAACTCAGGGTTTAAAGAAGAGACAGAGTGGTGTTACTGTAATAGAAGATGATACAGACTTTCATAGACAGAAATATTCTGTTAATATTCTATGTGAAAGTGATGAGGTATTCACGTTTAAAATGGCTAAAACTTTTTGATTAGTTTTGTTGGATGACTGTCTATCTGTAGATAAAGTCAGTGTTGATATATACCTGATTTTTTTATTCAACTAGTGAGCCAAATTTGAAATCAAATTAGTAAACAAACTAACTTTCGCATAATTTTGGGATAGGCCTAAAAATAAAATTGTTGATTTCATTGAATTATATATGTTAATTTGTTTATTGGGATTATTGCCTGTAGATACAGTCAGTGTTTAGATATAATAGATTTTGTCTTTCACTTTCGATATAGTTAGACAAAATTTAAGCTCAAGCTAGTCGACTTCTGATTAATATTTCGAAACAGAAATTTATACTGATTACTGCTTGACCAATAACTAAAATTTAAAATGCATTCTCTGCTATGGTTTGACATCTTAATTATATTTTATTATATATTTTCAGGGTTGGCATAGTTGTTGTAACCCACTACCTTTACCAGATGACTTTGGCACTACAAGTTTAGAGAAGTTTTCACCGTATATTGCTCGTATTACAGCTATATCTAAATATAATAAACATATGTTATTAAACTGTTTAGAAACTGAGGAAGGACAAAAATTCTTGAAATGGTTGGAAGAGGTACAGTAAATATTCTGTTTGTTGAAAGCTACTGCAAAATATTAATACATGCGATAATTCACTTATTATGAAATAGCAGAAGAGATATTCGTTAACATATTTCAATAGCAAAAAATCTATCAATACATTCTGATCATACAGGTGAACTTCAGATAATATCAATCTGATTATGTCTTCCAATTAGCAAACATGCTCAAAATTTGGGCAAAGTTTGTATTTTTCTTTTATATTAAATGTTCATGTTTCAGAGTCCCCAGATTGCTGCAGTATCTGATTTTGAACAGATTTACTATGAGTTAAGACAAGAAGTTATGCAGGCAGATGTTGACAGAAAAATGGGAAGTTTGTCAAGGTCAGTAAAATTTTCTCTGGAATAAATTTAGATTTAAATACTTGAGCTTTATTTATCAAGTTTCTTGTTAGTGTAATGACAAAGTGTAAGGTTGTTTGTTATTTGCAGAACATTAGAACTTTGAGGGCTAATGTTCTTAGTATAGAAGTATTAAATGATGTTAATTTTTAAAATAAGTTAGATAGTTAAAGTCAATTTCTTTTTTTATGTACAGATGTCATTTACCTAATGGTAAAACTATATGGTTATGTGAAGAACATCAGAAGACGATGAGAGTTACAGTTCTTAGTAACGAAGTATTAACTAGTGTTAATATGGTAAATGAAGGATTAGTGACCGACTATATGTTAAATGCTTTACGAGATCTGGACGTTTCAAATATTTCAGCTAAATTCAAAGAAAGAAAGAGAATAGGTAAAACTTAATTTTTTTTTAGTGATAGAATGCTATGCCACAATGATAGATCTGAATATTTTCATTTATCCCACTTTTGTGGTTTACCTTTCTACCTGGTTTGGTTCAGTAGCTCTACTTAGGTTCCCCCCTCTGCTTATCGAAGACTTAGAGGATTAGCTCCTTTAAAATTAATGCCTCAGTAACTTAGCCCATCAACTGAGGGCTTTCCGATTTTCTCTCAACTTCCTCTTTCTTTCACATTTTTTATGTAAAATCTAGCTTCAGGTAAAAAGGTAACTGATGAAAATAAAGATCAAACTGTCATTAAAGAACCAGAAAAGGCAGAGAAATCAGCTTCTACATCTAAAACTGCTTTAAATAAACCTAAAGCAGTATCTTCTACTGGAGACAATAAAACAGAAGGACCCACTGCTAGTAATCAGGAAGTACAAAACACATCGAAGAGGCCATTGACACGACAAGCCAGTAAAGCTTGTTCTCTCATGTGATCTACGTCACATACAATGGTAGTGAACTTGCAGATTAAATATTGTTAAATATTTGTTTATTTTGTTATTTAAATATTAAATTGTATACCGGTAAATGTTAAAATACATATTTGGAGAAGCTAAACCTCTTTGATTTAGATAAAAAAAATATAAAGTATTGAATTGGGTTGATCTGTTGTATTATTTCGATTAGTGCTGGGACAAGCTCTGTATAATTAAATTTCTGTTTCGAAATTTTAAGCAAAAGTCGACTTCTTTAATGATTATAGTCAAATTTTTGGCTTACTGTGTTCACAATGGAACAGAAAATCGGTAATATCTCAACACAGGCTTTATCTATATTATAGATGTAAGATTTTTGATGATGACAGATTGTAATGCACGAATAACAAATCAACATTTAAAATCCAATGAAATTGACAATTTTATTTTTGTTATAAATTGAAGGGGCCTACTAGCTATTTTAATATGTTGCTACTTTTAAATAGTTATTTATTAATGGTTTACCTCATTATTAGTTACATAAATTAGCTGTGACAAGAAGTTATTTATAATGTTATGTGTATAATAGAACTATTTTATAACCTTGAATGTAGATCATTCATTATCTTGACAATCTATTGTAAAATATAATTAGAAAATACTATGTTGATGTAAATTGCATATGAGGATCTCATTCTATTATAGTATAATTTTGGATATTTATTTTTACATGATTTGTCTTATTTATGAATACTGGTATATATATGTATTATTTAATTAATTTATTTATACAATTATCTTTATATTTCCATCCCAAAGTAGTGGATTTTTAAAAAATTACTTCAACATTCTGTACTCAATACATCCGTCCATGTTTTTTCTTTATTTTTGACTTTAAACTATTTACATCTTTATATTTTACATCTTTACACTGATTTTTATATGAAATATTTAATTTACACTAATATGCTAATCAGTTAGTATAACCAACAGAATAATTCATCATTTTGATATACATATAAAACAATATAGTTTCATACTATTTTGTTATTGTTTTGGTCATTTGATATACATATAAAACAATATAGTTTCATACTATTTTGTTATTGTTTTGGTCACTGTGGGGTTGGATGACTGAATGGTTAGCGTGTATGTGCTGTATCATAAAGTCTGTCATTGAGTCAACTGGCGTGGTTTGGATTCCCCGGTTGTACGTTACAAGGAGTAGGGTCGCCTGTCCAAACTCGTGGGTTTTCTCCGGGTCCTCCAGTTTCCTCCCACTGCTAAAGACCCCTACGTGCAAGCGAATTATTGAAATAAAATTAAACCATATGTTAGTCCCGAAATGACCTAGTTTGTGTTGAGTGGACGTTAAACTCCATTTCTCTCTCAAAATTCACTTGGATATATTATTTGATCTTACATTTGTGGAACCACTGACGCAAACTACGCAGTGATTGATAAAAAAATTGTATTGACAGAGAAACATGACATTTGTCTGTAAATTAATAATATTAATATGGTAGTATATCGTACTGTAAGGAAGTATCAGTGTATAAAACAATGTGGAGTTGCCAGTTGTTTGTCTTTTATCATTATAACCTTTATATTACTATATTATTATATCACTTTTTGATATATTTATACCTTTAAATAAAGCTTTTGCATACTGCATCACATGCTCTATGATTTCTTTACTTGTTATTGACCCATAATTTGTTCATCAGAGCTTAAATAACTTTGACAAATATTGACATGTGACCATGTTATGGTGATGTTGACAATAGTTATCCATTAAATGAAAAAAAATAATATTCAGCCTAAATGTATTTTTGATGATCTGTATTTTTGTACACATGTGAGGTTATATTTGAGTTAATTTGAAAAAGGGTGGTATAACCCGAAATGTAATGATGAATAAACTACCTCTCTATTAAGTTATTATTGACATAGGTTTAGATTTATTTATGTTTACATGCACATGTATAGACAGTTTTAGACCAACTAATAAACTGTGATAAAAATATAATCAAGTTATTAACCCCATTTAATAGTTTGTTAGTCCCTTGTCGGTGAAACTGGATGAGACTCTAGGTTTTCTCTCCTTGTTTTAACTTTGAGATATTAGATTGAACTATGGATAGCAGGCTGGTCACAAGAAAGTCGTCAATTACACACGGAGGATATAACAACTTTACTTTACAGTAAAATGTATGCACAAGAGGTAAAAATCAAGCCAGTATCAGAATGTGTGCGTCCACCTCTTGCAGCCAGATGCCATTCATATAAGTCTCTGAATGGCCACGTGTGGGATCATTCTCCACTCTATTTGCAATACTGCTTGCTGTTAAAATCAAGCCAGTATCAGAACGTGTGCGTCCACCTCTTGCAGCCAGATGCCATTCAGACAAATCTCTGAATGGCCACTTGTGGGATCATTCTCCACTCTCATTGCAATACTGCTTGCTGTTGACATTGCCTCAACATTTTCCACCTACATACATGTATGTACGATTAATCAATTAAAAATGCCAAAGTTCTTTCAGGTGCAAGTCCCATGTTTTTCGAACCACTAGACACTTTTTCTTGTCAGGCCATCTGTCCTTCTGCTCGACTGTCATGGTGAAACGAATTGAAATTAATCTTGACTATATTTATAAGATGGCTATGTGCAAGTGTACAGTTTATTGCTCTCCAATCATGTTGTTAATCAACTATATCTTCCAAACTATATAACAAAATAATGCATGCTTGATCATTGTCTATGAAAGATGAATCAAAATATCAAAATAATGTAGGATTTGATAATTTTATATGAAGGATGAATCACATACCTGCAGTTATGTGTACATGTTAAAAGACCAGCTCTATATGATTATTTTGACTGGTTTCTTAACCTAAACCTGAACTGACTTTTGAAAACTGGCAAAATTCCCTCATATCACACTGTAAACCCCATTTCATTTCATTTGACTATAAGACCTGAGATTTGAAACAATTGCTGAAAAACTACAATATTGTACCGGTATAATGGGTTAAATTTTAATAAAGAGCTAACAAGAACAAACATTAACTATAATAATCTGTAGCTACAGGTCCAGAGTTTAAATAGCCTACTATCTTATGTATATCTGCTCCCTTAAATGATGTACAGATAGTCTTTACTTGATCACTAGTTAAAGATTCACTACATTTCCATTTATGCTGATCAATAGCATGATATTCAGTCCTAACAGGTTTTTGGTTTAAAACATCAACAGAACCATTACAGTTAGCTTCCTTTTTTCTCAAACCTTTTTTCTTCTTCTTCAATAACTTGTTTTTAGTTTGTTCAACTACTTCAATTTCTTCCTCTTGAACCTTTTTCTTGGACTTCTTTTTCTTTCGTTTTGGAACAGAATCCTCATTTTCAACTTCTTCTTCAACTTCTCTGACTCTTTTCTTTGATTTCTTCTTCTTCTTAGTTTTAACCACGCCACTTTCAACTTCTACTGCATTAATTTCTGCATGAACTTCTTCATCCATTTCAGTCTCTACTTCTGTGACCTTTTTCTTCTTTTTGGATTTTTTATTAGACTTCTTGGTTTCAGTTTCACTGTCTTCAGAACTAACTTCCAAATTATGTTTTTTCTTTTTCTTCTTAGACTTAAGGGATTTCTCTCTTATATTAGTATAAGTATTGTCTTCAAAACACTGATAATCAAGATTAAAACTAACACGCTTTGACTTATTCATGGAAGAGTTCGTACGTGTATGGATATCATCATCACTTTTGGCTTCATCATCACTTTTTATTGTCAGCTCAGATGAGGGTGGTGATGGATCACTTTTCTGTAACGTTTGTTTCCGCTGCTTCATTTTTAGTGCAAAATATTCTTGAATACTGCATGAGTTGGTGAAAGTTTGAACACCGTGATTGTTTTCGATATCCTCATTTTTTGTGACAGTTACTTCTTGTACTACTTCATGTATAACTTCTTCTTCCACAGTTTTCCTGTCTTTTTTCTTATGTTTTCTTTCACCAAATATACAGGCTAGATCTTCTTTAGATCGAGAAGACAGGTCTTTACCTTTAGTAAACTTCATATAATGAACTCTACTTCTCGATTTCTTGGATTTATTTTCAAGACTGGCAACCGAGTGCTGATCAGGTTCGTCTTCTTGATTACCTGTAGAAGTATCATGATTTTGGTTGAGGCACTGCAGAAGATCATTAAAATCATCTTGATGTTCTATCCAATTATCGACATACTTATTGGAACAGCCCACACCTTTATTGTCGGCTTTAAATTTAATTCCAACGTGGTCTGTTCTACCATCTTCGTTGGCTCCAAGACCCTTTCCTTTATTCCAACCCATCTTTTCCAACAATTTCTGTCCGAATTTATTGTCATCTTTACTCCAATCTGTACCCCGTGGATTGACCGAATATTTTTGTTTACGGCGTGGTTCTGCCAACATCGCCATTTTGAACTGTCACGTGACCACTGCATCCGGTTTAAGTTGTTTCGTATCTAGCTAAAAGACATTTCGTCCGCACCCGCTTTTTTTTTATTGGCATTTTATAAAAACATACACACCTTCACTACAATAAAAACGTTTCTCGGTTACTATATTATTATCATCATCAGTTTATATTTAATTGCGACACAAAAACGGCTCGAGACGTGGACCGACCATTTGGAAAATGTTCTAAAATCTGAAATGGCACAATCAACATGTGCTTGTGTCACACACAACAGATTGCACGTTTTTAGTCCACTTTGCCATTGGGTGTGTCTCTGAAAAATCGCAACAAAAGGTCCCAAAGAGTTGTCAATGCTATTACTGGTCTGTTTATAAAATCTGAAAAGGCACAATCAACATAAATACGTAAAAAGTATATTTATGTATATATCAAGCAAGCTTCAAAGAGCTAGAATGAATGTATTTTGCTGGGTCTGTTCGGGGTTCTTTCTTTACTTATATATATCTTTGTCGGAAATGTCTAAAATACCAATTGGCACAAATTGCACCCTTTAGTTCACTCGCCGTGGGTATTATTCTGAAAAAAGGGACCAAATATAATGTACCCTCCCTCTTTTAAATTTCCTGTATCCGCCTTATAATAGAAAATAATGTTGTCAAGAAATACAAATAGATGCTATAAAGATAAATTAAGACTGTTATATTAAAGATACATTATGGATGATTAGATAAAGAGATGGCAGTTCTCACTATAATAGTTAAAAACTACATAGTGTAAAGGTAATTTTCTGAAAATTTCAGTCAAATTGATCCACTATGAGCCGAGAAAGAAGCGGGTGAAATGTTTGCATAGTCTCGGTCATCATTACTAAAATCATTAATATAAACAGCATAGTCTCGATTATCCACTTTTTTGGGGATTTAATTATCAATGGCCGTTAGCGGCGTATAGGAATCTAATCCAGCCAACATCGAAGGCTAGCCTTGACATCGAGAGTTTATTATGGTCTGGATTGATAATTGATAATTGTCTAATTGATAATTTAGATAACATTTCAGGCCTAAAGAAAGACTTGTAATAAGCAGATTTTGCTCTTGCATAATGCATGTTTAATCGAGGTATTTAAGAGGTCAAAGAAAGACGATGAAGTAAATAAATTAAATAAAATGTTTAGATTGATACCCGAAAAATAGTATGGTTCTAAACACGTAACTCTTAATGCCAAAAAATCCTTTATTCAGATATTGCAATCAATCCACTTCTACTTTGTTCGAAAGATTTCCTATCTAAAAGAAAAAGGGGCGAACGTGTATATTTTCTAGGCCCCTGGGTCTTTTGTTTACAAAATTAGACACAAAATGAAAGTAGAGTTTATCTTCCAATCAGAAGGCTCAGATATCCCGAGTCCGAACACGGGATCTCTCAGATAAACATTATGGCGGCCCTTGCAATGTGGTAAACAAAATATGATTAGAAAAGTTTTAAAATAATTCATCACACGATACTTATATCGGTAAAAACAATGCTAAATAAGATCGTATGCATATCTTCAACCATTGAATTTGTTGGATTTAAAAACTGTAAATAGTTTGCACGAGGAATTTGAGTGAACTTTTCAAATTATTGTTTTTAGTTTGATTTTTGAAGAGGATAAGATAATACAAAAGTCTGAAGACCTGTTTTGACATGCTTCATGTCTGTAACTTAAGATAGTATCGATATTTTAATGATGCTCAGATAAATTGCAATGAAGGATAATTTATACGAATTAGTAATTATGACTATGGGTCGTTTTCTGAAGGGACTTTGATTTCTAGGAAATCAAGGAGTAGGTCTTAATTTATGTAGAATAAAGAAGTTTAAAACTTTTTTCTAGTTTGAAGATAGACTACTGTCAAACACTAAAATGACAACCGAGAGCAACCAAATGGATGGTGACATCTTTAATCAAGCCAATGAGGACAATGATTTTAAAAACCAACAAATAGAAGACTCTCCTATTCGCTCAGCTTACAGACATGTAAGATTTAATTTATGTTGATAAAATAGTAACAGTGACATGATAAAATAATGTTTAAATCAAAAAATTGTAATGATAATGTTTCATAAATGTACTTATAATTTTTTTAGTAATAATACAATTGGAATTTCATAATAATTTGATCAACATTACCTGCAGTTACGTGTATTGTATTTTTATAAAATGAAATATTAATTTATATTTAGGATGTGTCAGTTGGAATGTTTTCTCCCATGAATGCAAGTAACATGACGGATGCAAGTGGAAGTTACCAACCAGAGTTGACTAACCTTCGTTTACAACTTCGACAAACCAAGATAGAATTACAGAGTGAACAAGGTTAATATTAATACGGTATAGAGTTTAGTAGGAAGAAGGTACTGGTACCGTATTCTAGAAATTCTGTTTAACCGATGCAAAAATTATCAAGACTTCTCAGTACTGAGAATTTATGTAGGTTTTGGTTAGTGCTTGTATTATTCATCGATGCATGAATGCATCACTGTCCTGTCGACGATGTTACTATCAGCCAACTTGTTAGACATTGATACATAGTTAGAACAGATAATAAAGATTATAAATTTCACGTAAGGTCCAGCTTCTTGACTTGGACAGTTGTTATTTTTGCTGATGCAGAAGAAACATCGATATGTAAAATTTTACTTGATATGAGCACTAGTTATGGGAAGAGATATATGTTTTTGTTGTTCTATTCTGTAGATCAAGTTTCTCAATTAAGACGTAGATTAAACACAGCTGAGAAAGAAAGACTGGAAGCAACAAGTAAATCAAATACAGAGGTACAGATTTTAATTTTAATTTAAACCAAGATGATGTTATTAAAGCTAAATTCTACGGAATGTCATAGGTGTAATTATGTTATAATATTAGGATTTTTGGATCTATGAATGGTTGACAATATTTCTGCATGAAGTTTAAGATTTGACACTTGAAAATTATTACATCAAAATTGAATTATTGCATTTAAACGTATAAGTCAACCATTAATTAAAAATCTTTATCAACAAATAATGGCATAATATATCTGTAATAATGGATATTACACCATGTACATGTATATGTAGGTTGCAAACCTAGAAAGTCAACAAGCTAGATTGAGAACACAAATAGAGAAAGGTGAAGCCAATCGTCATAATTTGGAATATGAATTAACACGTGTTAAAAGAGACTGGTCTCAACATAAACAAGCGCAATTAGAGAAAGAAAATGTGTTAATGGCAACTAATGATGAATTAAAAGGTAAATTAATGTATTATATTTTTCATTTCTTTTCAAAAGCTACATCTGGTGTTTAGTAACATTTTTGCATGTGTCAGGTATTCTACATTGTATATGGTTGTCCGGATATATTAGCATCAGTATTACCCTATTCAATTCATACAAGGTTCTGAACATTCAGATATAATAATGTTGCTATTACTCGACTATCTGTTCTTTCATTATATTTTATCACCCAATAACACATTGTACAGTAGATGTCACTTGTGTGATAACGTTACATGAATTTGATTTATCAATTATTTGTTTTTTGGTGCATGTAAGAGAGGGTTGAGTGGTAAATAAAATCTTCTATTCGTCTTTTTTGTTATCAAAAAATATCAACAAAGGTCGATAAAGTAAATAAATCTTGGTAAAGCGTTGTTCTTTTTTAGATTATCAACTTGTGTTGATATTTTATGATATTAAAAAAGACTTGTAGGAGATTCTCTATCAAACAAATCACTTCTACGTGACATATGTGGAGGTAATTATACTGAGGAGCAAATGTATTGATATTTTGACACATCCTAAAAATACAACAATTGTAACCTAAATAAAATGAAATTGTTTCCACTTATAAAATACTGTTCATTGAATTCCTTCTGAATCCAACTTTTGCTTGCTTGTTTGAAATCAACAAGCAATATTTTATCCTTGATATCAGGGCGTTTGGATGGCCGAATGGTTAGCACGCGCGCGCTGTATCATAAGGCCTGTCATTGAGTCAACTGGCATGGTTTCGAATCCCCGGTTGTACGTGACAAGGAGTAGGGTTGGCTCTCCAATCTCGTGGGTTTTCTCCGGGTCCTCCGGTTTCCTCCCATTGCTAAAGACCCCTACGTCAAGCAAATTATTGAAATAAAATTAAAACCATATGTTAGTCCCGAAATGACCTAGTTTGTGTCGAGTGGACGTCAAACCCCATTTCTCTCTCTCTCTTTATCCCTGATATCAATAATTTAATGTCATTTTAATTCATTCTCAGATTATGAAGAAACATCAAATTAAACACATTGATTTTCTTTTCATTTTGTCTAAAAATGATTATTTTTAGTAAGAGTAAAGGAATTGAGTGATGAAATTAAGAGTATGCAGAAAAAGATGCATTCCTTGAAAACCTCAACAGAAGATTCTGATAAAAGACTCAGCAGAGATTTAGAAGAAAAAGTAAGTATTCACTAACTTTTTATAAAAACAGAGACATTTTAGATGCAGTGAAATAGAATAGAATTTATCCTCCTGTGGACTTACCTAGCTCGTCTAATGAAAATATAGCGTCCCTGTATTACTTTTATCAGCTGGATGAAGTTAGATTTTCTTGTTCTTTTTTTTTTTTACAGAATCACCTGTTAGCCCGCTACCATGCTGAACAGGAAGTGCTTCGGACAGAACGAGATAAACTTAGTGCTCTAGCTCTTCAACAAGAAAGGTTTCTAATAGTAGAAATTATTTCAAATTGTCATTACTACTACTGGAAATTGTGTCATTTCGATAAGCAATATTGATCTAAGTTTTTTTTTACATATTAACTCATCTTAACCCGCCCCCCCTTAACCTCTTCCGATATAGGAAACAATGAGTATTATGCTTCATGCAAAAATTTATATTTCTTCAGTTTTTATTTTACAAAACAATTTATTTCATTCAATTTTCTATTACACAAGGCGACTGAAATCATTACAACAGAAAATGAAGTTCCCTTATAGCCAGCAAATATGCAGGAAACCCGGTCAATTGTTATGAACATTCTAATCTATATTCCAGTATATTGCAGTACAAAGAAAGTGGATCAAGGCAGCTTTGTTTTTATTAAACTTTGTTTTATTTACTTTTTCAGTGTGATTGGAGAATTAACAGATAATATGAAAGATCAAGAAAGTTTGTACATATATGTTAATTATAATTTTTTTTTTTATGTTCACAATTTATACTACAATGATAATTTATTTGTCATTCAATTCATAAGTCACTATTTGCAGCACATTAATGGTCTGCCATGTTTTTGTTTTTATTAGTTATCCATGTTCAACTAAGTATTATTTAATTATTTGTTGCATTTTAGCTGAGATGAAAAATCATACAGAAAATCTGAGAAGAACATTATCTGAATTAGATTATTCTAAAGAAAGAGAAACCAGACTGAAAACAGATTTAGAGGTATAGATTTATATTACTTATTATAATAGTAACACATAACAGAAATTTAGTCTGTGTCACAAGTTTTACCATTTTATTGCTTTTGTTGATTTAATGTTTACTAGAACTTAAATTAATTTATTGCTTTTGTTGATTTAATGTTTACTAGAACTTAAATTAATTAATCAAGAAAATGCTGGTTGCTTTGGAAAAATTGATATTTTAAATACATTAAGTTATGATAATTATTTTGGTTCAATTCCAGTTTGAAAATACTTGATTAAAGTTGTTTGTTTCCAAAACTGTTTTAATCAAGTGCATTTCGTGTCAAATTCATTCATATATAAATAGATCTGGGCTTTATTTTCAGCTATCGCTTCAGAGAATAAAAACATTAGAAGATAATATAGAATTAGAAAGAGCAGCCCATTTAGAGACAAAATTTAACTCTGAAATAGTTCAGGTAATTTGTGTAAATTTTTTATATAATACTCTTTCATTATTTTGTTTAAGTGTTAATAGAAACCCAGTGCAGCAATAAGATGCTTATTATGTTAATAAAATCGTCACAAATAAAAACTGATTGTAATGTATATTTTAGTTACGTGCCAGAGATTTAGAAGGTGGAGTTGAAATAGAAAAATCAACTAATTTAGAGGCCACAAAATCCATTGAAAGATTAACTCGACAGATTAGGTATGACAATATTTACTGTTCTTACTTCAATTACGGAATCTATATTATATTTATAATGGAAATCTGTTGAATTCTTTTTTTTTGTTGCATCAGTAGTTAAATACATTTATAAAATGTTTTATTCAGGGAATTAGAACAGTCATATGAAGGGGAACGAAAGATGAAAAGAGATGCAGTGCATAAATTAGACAGGTGAATATATATGTAATAATGATAAATATTAAATCAATCATTTCCCACTGGAAATATTATACCCAGTGCAGTATATATGATATGAATATATGATATGTATTAATGATAAATATAAAATCAATTATTCCCCTCTGGAAATATACCCACTGAATTCTGATTGATGTTAAATGGATTCTGTTTAAATTGTGTAAACATTACATCTAATTATTATGTTTACATCTCGGAAGAATGTATGTACAAATGGATCTTTATTTTTATTTATACAAGTCACCACTTATTCATATAGAGCGGTATCGGTGGTTGTGTAGTTACGACACTGGACTTAAACTAGAATATCTGAGGTTAGAATCCTCGTGTTGTCTGAAAAGGACCTTTGGGATTATTCAAGCCTGTTTCACACTTGTTGGGGATGGAATCTACAAGGATGACAAGGAGAGTGTCTAGTCATTCAGATTGTATGAAAAACGCAGTTCCATGTACAAATTGGCAGCGCCTGTAAATTTTATTCTTAGTTAGAATTCAAAGAAGAGTAGGCAAAAATGTCATTAGCCATTCAAAATTATCCACCCTGCATTGCGCACATTAAAACCATACAAAAATGATATCACATTAGTCTCAAAAGTAGTCAAAAGTAGTGAGATATTGTACTGGTGGGACTTTAAACCCCATTCCATTCCATTCACAGGGTTCCCGCGGTCCTTGAAAATCCTTGAATATCCTTAAATTTAAAATTTCATTTTCAAGGTCTTGAATATCCTTGAATTTTGCGGAAATAGGAAAATATCTTTGAATTTCAGTTGAGATCCTTAATTTTGTTTCAAATGTCATCAATTCCTTTTAAATATGAGATTATAACGATAGTTGGTAATGTTTTGGTTATTATTAAGATGAAAAATTGTAACTTTAGGCTAAAAAATGTCCTTGAAAATCCTTGAATTTGACGTATATTTATCCTTGAAAAAATGTTTGACGAAGCCGCGGGAACCCTGCATTCAGGATAACCAACCTAATATTTGCTTTATCTATAGTTGGGATATTCAGCATGGAAATGGATTGAGAAACTGACATAGCCTATAAACAAATATAGAACCTTCATTTTTTCACAGGACAGAGAAAGATTATGTGAATATTAGACGTCAGTTAACTAGTGAAGTAGATGATAAAAAGCATGTTATAAATAAACTGTCTAAAGAATTAGAAGCCCACCAGAGAAACTTAAATGAACTTAAAGAAGAGCTTAATAAAGTAATTAACAATTTAAATATGAAATTGGTTGTCACCAACATTTCTGAATTTTTACTGAATAGATGTTAATTTTCTCTTGATTAGGGCAATATTAAATTCTTATATTTCATGAGAGAATCCAGATATTTGATTTTAACTCCCATACAGAAAAATAGAACTTTTAAAGCTTTCATTTATCATATTTTTTTTGTTTCTTGAGAAAAAGTTAATGAATTCTATGGAACAGCAGATAGTAGTGACATGTACCATTTGACAGTAAAAAAACATAGCATGAGTATTTTTAAAAAATTAATGGGTAATATAAATATTTATAAAACAGGCTAAGAAGAGACAAGTACACGTAGAAGATACTTATGGTGGCAGTTTAAAAGAAGTAGAAGAACTTGTTCAGAATTTTGCGCTGAATGATAAACCGAAAAGACCTATTCTCAGTATGTATATATATTTAGATCTATTATTGTTTTTGTATTGAATGTAGATTTTTTTCTCACAAACATTTATATTTTGCTATTAATATTTAGAAACCAAAAAAGATGACGGCAAGTTGAAGAAAACCGGACCAAATCCAACTCAGATACTAGAAAACTTAAAAAGATTGTTAACTGAATACAAGAAAAAAACTGAAAACACTGCAGAGGAGGTAAATGTAAAGAGGATATTTATAATTTGCAGTTTAATTGTAAAAATAGAGCTTTGTTTACTATTGATTTGTGTGACCTAATGGAAAAAGGTACTGAATATAATCCCTGAGAATATAAAGTGTGAAATATAATCAATTCAACACTATTTATGGATAAAAATTATGTTTTATAAACTAAAGTAATTGTTACAATTACTAAATGCCATTCAAAGTGAAATATATTCATTTTGCAGCTTAGTAAATGTAAGAAGATATCGGAGAAACAATTAAAAGAACTAGAAAACACAAAAGAGATGGTAATGGTCAAGGATAAATCTTTAGAGGTAAATACATGCACAACTATTAATATTTGAATGATAAATATAATCAATACAAGTTAGTTCATTATGATGTTTTGAGAATTACTTTATTAAGATTACTTAAAATATTTTCATTTCTGAAACTGGAAATCAAATTGAGAACAAACCACATTATTTCAAAGACTAGTGGTCTGTTTCATACAGACAACGGCTGAGTGGATGATAAAGAAAACATTTTTTTTTTATTGTGTATTGTATAGATTTTCTTGACTTTCCTGAATTTTAAAGATACATTATGTAAGATTTAGATAAAGAACTAGCCATTCTTGCTATAATAGTTTGAAAGTAGATGATGTAAAATGAATAATTTGAAAATTTTATTCAAATTACTCTATTGCAAGCGAAGATATTAGCCTTTGAAGGTTTGACTGACGTGTGCAATAATTTCAACCACTGGTTGATCGAAACTAAGTGTCGGTCCTCCATATTTGATTAAATCAAAGTATCGCTGAACCATTCTAATCTATTTAATATCGGAGAAATCTGATGCCATCGAGAGTTGATTAAGGCCTGGATCAGTTAATTAATGTCTAATTAATACTTTAGAAAACATTTCAGGCCTAAAGAAAGACCTGCAATAGGCAGATTTAGCTCTTGCATAATGCATGTTTAATGGAACATTTAGATTTTGAAGATATGATCCATATAAAATAAACAGTAAAAATACAATACCATCGATACATAACTATTTTCAACAGGACACCCAGAAAAAATATACAAGAACAGCTAAAGAATTAAATCGTGTACGTAGTGATTATGGTGAATTAGAAGGGTTATTAGCTAGAATGCAGGTTGATTTACAAACAACATCAAGTTATTCTGATAGAGATAGAACTAGAATACAAGAACTTTCAGGAGAGGTAAATAAGTTATATCAATTAAGAGGACCTTGCAAAATTCCCAATATAAGCCATCAGTTTGAATGAATTTTCTTTTTGACATTCATCCTAGCTAAAATATTTGTGTACATCAAGTGTAAATTTAAAATAGAAGTAAATGGAATTTTAATGCTAATGACTGTAAATAATTAATATTATTATTGTTTTCTTTGTACAGATAATGAAGCTTGTTAGTAAACAAAAGGAAGAAGAAGAGGTATATTTTTTTTTTCTATGATTTTTATGAAATAAATGTTTGTAATTATATACAGTGACCATTTTCAGTATTTTCTGTTCCTTATGTAAGAGAGGAGTATAATATAGATTAATTTATCTGTTATTATGTTTTATATTTATTAGGATCGAATCAATTTTCTACATGGATTATATCAACAGTTATTATCAGGTCCCATGAAACGACCTGTTAAAGATAAAGGTTTTAAACAATTAACATTCTGTGATTTATCTGATATGGTATACCAACAAGTTACTACATTAGTTTCAGCTTTACAAGAAGCAGATGAAAAGGTAATTATGTTTTTTTGTGTTTTTCAGACAAACTGTATTCCAAGAAATAGATTTATTGAATATTTTCACTTATTAGGAATAATATTACATATACATGGTCCATGGCTTACATTTCTTGTGGGTTATCTATCTCATTGATATAATGAAGCATGTTGATTTTTAACTTTTTTTGAAATCCCCTCCAGAAATATATGTATATCCATCTTGTAAGAATCAAATATTAACATATCTTTCTGAAATTATATATTGGTTGTCTATCCTATTGAAAGAAGAGCCCTATTTATTTTACAACGATTTTTGATAACTTATTTCCCTTTAAGAAACCTTGTTGCCAACTTGAACATAAAGACTTCAATTATGATCTATCTATTTGAAATTTAGGAATAGAGCAGTGTATGGCAACTCTCCCTTAACAGGGTAGTAGTGGGTGTATAGGCCGATAGTTATGTGTAGCTGCTGGATCAAACAATGATGCTGGTGGAGAGATTTTTAAATATCTGTTGGAAATTTACATATGTGCTTAGACATATTAACAGCTGGTGGGCATATGTTTCATTGCCTTGTAACCTACATTTTACAAAAGTTGTATTAGGACCTACTATACCCAATTGCTCAATTTAACAAATATAATTTGCTAATTTCTTTATTTTACTTTAGAGGTGAAAAGGAATACATTTCTTTTAATACCATATTGATAATTGTCTTAATTGTGGCTTTACTACTAGCCAGAATGATGGCAAAGTTTTTCTAAGCAAACCATATTTTCCTACATTGCACTATGTATTCAAGCCATTCAGTTTATATATAAACTTTATACCTTAGATGCAAACTTGATTCATGTCTACATTCAGTTAAAGACAATGGAGGAAACTGTTTTAAGAAAGGAGGTATCCCTACAGGAAATACAGAATTCAAGTGAAGTTCAGATTCAAAAGTTAACATCATTAACGAAAGAAAGAGAATTGTCTTGGCAGAAACAGAAAGATGAAATAGAAGCTCATTATTCTAAACTTCTAAGTGATCTACAATCTCGCTCAAAGGTAATATACAAATCTACTGATTATTTATTTATTTTTATGCACCAAAATTTTACAGTTGTCATTCAGTCTGTCACAGATTTGTCTAAGTTTTATGTTTTTACTTTCATCAGGGCTACATGAAAAATAATTATCAGAGAGAGAAATATATTGATTCTGTGGCCTGTGCATTTATTTATAATGGAAATATGTTCATTTGATATTAGGCATGCAAAAGTTTAATCAATTTTAAATTGGATACTTGAAAATTAAAAAAGCAACTGCAACCGGTTAACCACAGGAACACCTGATGATACAGGTCTCAATTAATAGTTTCAAAGCTATTTCTCCATTTGTGCATCTTTTACATTCCATTTCTTCACCTTGTGTACTTCGTTGAGGTCATGTTGTTGAAAAGCAATTGAGTCAAGTTAGTTTTTAAAATTCACGGAATACATTATAAGATAATATATTATTACACAAATATTTGAAAGTATACCTTTGCATGTTCAGATACAAAATTATTTATGTCAGCTTTTTCCATAGAATTTACTACCAATGTTCCTAGGGATCAAATAGTTTGTAACCAGTATGTTATTGTCTTCAACTTGGACCACCCTAGAAGAGTGATAATATACCGAGATGGAATGAAAACGTACCACTTTTATGAATTGTTCTTCATATTTGATGAATACAGTTTAATCTTGAAATTCTCGAAAATTAAGAATTAGACAATAATTATTTACCGGTATTGAAAATGATTAGGCCTATTCACTCTCTTCCAGCACTCTCTAACATTTCTCTGAAACACTATAGGCTAACAATCATATCAACCTTAAAATTGGCTCAGGCCACTAAAACCTTGAAAATGGAAACCTGCTTATTATCTAAGACAGCTGGGGTCAAAGGAGGAGCTAGGATGGAGGGCAGAGTATTTTGTTTAATATGACAACAACTAGTGATGATGAAGATTGATTTTTTTTCCATAATTTCAATCTTCTTTTCTGTGTAATGTTTTCACTTATAAAACAGACATAATTTCCTATGCTTGTAAAGATTGTAGGCCTACAGTTATTTCCCAATTCAACTTTTTATTATGATATTTTAAAATTTTGCGTGCAGTATCAAAGTTATTCCGAGTGATACAAGGAAAATTCACTTTGACCAGTGCTACCTCACTCTCTGGGGTTTTGTAAAGTTGTACTAAATTGGAGGAAAATGGTAACATTTCTGTTGAAGGGTGCTTTTATTTTGCAGCTAAAAATAGTAGTTGCTGAAATAGTTAATTGTCACAAAAATGGGCAAAAATGAAAAACAATTCACAAAAAGATTGAACTAGGCAAAACTTATATTGTAGGCCTAACTTAAAATGAGAATGATAAAATAGGCCTACCTTGAAAGGGAAAAAAGGGGTTTGTAAAGTCTTACTGAGCTGGAGGAAAATGGTTATATTTCTGTTGAAGGGTGCTTTTATTTTTCAGCTAAAAATAGTATTTGCTGGAATAGTTTGTCACAAGACAAAAATATAAATATAATTATAAACAAAAACAAAAAGATTGAACCTGACAAAAACTGATTTCAAATGAGAATGATACAGTAGACCTACCTTGAAAGAAATAAAAGGAACTTCCATGAGCCATACCCCTTTGGCATCATTCATCTCCCTTGCATTTTTTTCATGTTTAATGTAAAACACACAACAGTCATCCCTTCCTGACAGATAGTGATAGGCTAATGAAGCAATGTTAGGCAGACGTGGATTTTTTTAAAGAGAGATAACTCTAGTAGCTTCCTGGATACAGACCACCATTTTACCCACAAATGTAACTCCTGCTATTTAATCTTTTTCTCCCATTTCCACTTTTGCATAATGAATTAGTATAGAAATTAAGAAATAGGTTTGAATTTACATTTCTGACATGTTATGGTGAATATTCATGATTTTGACATTAGAGTTAAGAGGTTGGTTAGGATGAAATCTATTGCGGATAGTTACATGGTGAACCTCTTACGTGCTGTGGTAGAAATCATTTAACCCAACAAAAATTGGAAAATAGAGCCTGTCAGAGTGACATTTGAATCAGTAGGGAAACCGGTGGCCGTCTTGAAATGAAAGCTTGGTTTAATGGAAATATAATTACAATAGTCTGTCTGTTCTTGAGATGGTTTAGATTCAGTTTCATTGAATATTTAGGAATCCAGTCAATGGGTGTCCAACCACTTCATGATTGGTCTGCAACTTTTCTAATAATACTCTAGTTCTTGATTTTAGTTTGGTCTTCAGTTCTGTGTCAGTTGAATCTAAATTATGAATAGAAATATTTTGATTCACTGCAGCTTTGCAAATTTAGTGGATCTTGGCTGATCAAGACAGCCTGCAACACAAATGGGGATCTTCATTTTAGCATATTATCCTTTGTTTATTCAATAATTTTCTTTTTATTCTGATTTTTTCTTTTATCCAGAAGAATCAGACAATAGCTGATCAGGCATGGGAGAAAGTTCGCGCCACAGGAAATGTACAGCAAGGTTTACAATCTGAATGTTATGATTTAACTACAAAACTTCAAGATGTACATCATCAAAACTCAGCACTTTTAGCTGCATGTGCTTTACTCAGTGGAGTTCTCTTTCCCTTGCTTAGTCGCTCAAATGAGTTATCATCACAGCGACATATTTTTGAAGAACAAATGACAAGTTGGGATCTTTGCACAGAAAGAGCATTATATTTAGTAAACACTCTCAGTGCTGAACTCAAGGATAGAAATAAAACACCAAAAAAGAGCAAAACTCAACCTGTCAAGAGAAGTCCATTATTAGTGTTCCGTGTAGGCGTAATAGCTGTAATGGCTGCAAATCGATTAAAGTATTTTGGACTGAGCAGCACGCATGCTTTTGTGACATATGATGCTGTATATTCAGGGAATGGTCTGTTAATGTGTACAGGAGGTGTTCAACCTGAACGATATTTATTTTCTGGTGAGTTTGTGCAGTGTATTTTGAATCCACCAAGAATTTGAATTTATTTTATATGGTTTAATTAAAATTCTGAATTATGATTTGTATATACACAGTTCACACTAGTTGTACAGAAAATCACATTTTTAGTTTGTGGACCCTATAAAGGTCACAATTTTTATCTGATTTAAAACAAACCATTTGATTATATCACTGTTACATCCTAAGGATGTTTGAGTTCGAATTTTGTGAAAATCGGAACGAAACTGGTGGACAAAATGGCCGCCGCTCGTTCGCAAATAGTGTCAAAATATTGTGTATCAGGGTTGTGGTCTAGAGATCACAATTTTGATCTGATTTCGATGAAACTTGAAATACAGGTTTATAACCCAAAGATCTTGGTTCCTTTCGATATTCGTGCATATCGGACCGTAACTTCCTCAATTATGCCCCTTGATTGTACGAAAAGTCACATTTTTAGCTTGTTGTTCCTCTAGAGGTCACAGTTTTTATCCGATTTAAAAAAACGATTGATGGTTGACTTGAAATTTGGTGAAAATTGGACCGAAACTGCTGGACAAAATGGCCACCGCTCGTTCTCAAATATATGTAGTATAAAAATATGGTATATCAAGGTTGTGGACCCTCTAGAGGCCACGATTTTGATGGAACTTGAAACATATCAAAGATTTTGGTTCCTTTCGCTATTCGCGCATATCAGATCGAAACTTCCTGGATTATGACCCCTAATTGTACAAAAAATTGTGTTTTTAGCTATTGGACCCTCTAGGGGTCATAATTTTTATGTGATTTTAAAAACCGTTTCAATATATCACTGTTGCACCATAATGATGGTTGAGTTTGAATTTCATAAACATCGGACCGAAACTGCCCGACAAAATTGTGTAAAGTGTATGCAAATTGTGTAAAAGTAGGCCTATGTAATACAAAGGTTGTGGACCCTCTAGAGGTCACAATTTTTATCCGATTTAGATGAAACTTAAAATATAGGTTTATATCCCAAAGATCTCAGTCCCTTTTGATATTTGCACATTTCAGACCTTAACTTTCTTGATTATTGCCCCAGATTGTACAAAAAATCTTGTTTGTTTTTAGCTTGTTCTTTATCCATCTCTTGCAAAATGTGCGTGATCCTGCCTGGCAACCTCTGACTATTTTTGTTTTATAATGCATGTTCAATGAATTTGTTTTGATTATTATTATTCCTGTTTCTTTTCTTAAGATATGAATGCAGACGAGTCTCAAAATGTGGCAGATACATCGATTAGGCCTGGAGAAAGCAAACTAGTAGAATGGTTATCCAGTCCTGATTTATTAGATATTGTTTTAACTTCCATGACTGAACTACAGCAAGTTGCAGGTCAAATAGAAAATAAAAGTAAATCTTTTAAATTTGAATATTTGAATATATAAACAACATGATAAAAAGTAAATCAAATATTTTTTATTTTTAAATTATGGACAAATGAAAGCCAAATGTATTATAAGATTAGATAATTTTTCACCTTTAAAATCACCAATAAAATTTAGTTTTTATATGCTTATACATATGTATCTATGCTTCAGATAATCCTGTTGAAACAAGAGCTTTGATTGGTGCAGCTCGTAGTTCCTTTACCAAATTATTAGAAAGATTATCCAGTCAGTTTCCATCAGTTAGTTTAAAATCTATGTGTGCTTCTAGAGAACGTCATTCAACAATACGATGTTTGAATCGTAGTTTGTCCAAGATATTAGCCAGTAAACCTTTAGCAGAGAAGAGTAATCTAGCTTCATCACAGGTATGTCCTGGAAGTCGGTTTAAGAATCTCTAATGAACCTTGTAAAATGAAAAGATGACAGTATTGATCAGATAATAGCTGTGTTTTATGGATATAGAACCAATGATCAATGTATTTATTTTCAGGAATTGTAATTGTAAGTGCATGAGGACTGCACTACACACAAACAAAACCTATCAAATAAATCTGCAGACAAGACACAATAAAAAAACAAATAAAGTGAATTGATATATGAGTGAGCTAGAAACTTGTAAATTGTATTCTTTTTATAAATTTTTTTAGGATTTATTGATGGCATTACAGAACCATGTTCTGGATTTAACCAGTAGATTACATAAGGTAGAAGCTGAAAGAAAACAGTTGATACAAGATTTAAATCAACTTAAATCACAGACAGGATTAACAGACATCAATAAAATGGAACCATGTTCAAAATCATCAGATGTAAGTATATTACTGTATACATAGTTCAGTAAGTTATTTTTTTTAGTTAATCCAGATTAAATAATCCCTAGAGACTAGACAAGAGAGTAGCAGATAAATAAGATTTACACAAGGAACAATTCAGGGGTTCTTATCTTTTATCAACACAATCAAAAGTTACAATTGATTCAAAGGCTTGATTCATTATTTAGCACTATGGAATCCCTTGCATCTATAATGGAAATATTAGTCCAAAAGGGGTTCAATTATGTTCAGTATTACGAGGTTGTGATATATTTAAATTTCATTGATCTGTGCTTCTCAAACATAGCAAGTTACCACCATCTTTTATTGGTAAAGGAGAAATCTGATGGGCCTATTTTAAATCCGAACAAATCCATGCTTGGAGATTATCTAGTGTTGGTATTTTGTTTTTTTCTTAATTAGCGGTTAAATAATCTATCTGAGTACATATTTAGCGTCTAAAATGCCATGAGAAATTTGATATTTTAGCATAAATGCAAATGACATATTGAGCATCAAAATCCCTTTGATAAATGAAAAGAGTAATCAGTATAAAATGTAAACTTTAATATTTCTCAGAGTTTGAAATTTGTTTCAATGGAGAAGTTTGAGAGAGTATGTGAAGAATTGAATAGTGCTTTACACAGAGAACAACAAGCACAGCATTTATTACAAGAACAGAGTCGACAGTTAACAGAATTATCAACACGTCTCGAACTATATGCTACAGATGGTGTAGAAAGACAGCAAACTCTATCAGAAACTGTTCAAGTAAGTGTAGCTATTTAAAATTATTTTATGATTCAATTGCAACTCTTTTCGTGGTCCATCAAACTTTTCTTGTGAATATTCTAAACACTACAGTTCTTTCCTTTCACCGAGTTCTAGTGTAGATACACAATAGGTCACAATTATCGGTTATGTAGCCCTGTTGAGGGAATTTGGCGATCAATTTCTAAACAGCTAAATAATTGGTGCTGAAACGGCCAGCCAAGGTACATATAAATAGGATATTTCTTTACAAATCAATCTGATTAAAATACAGATCTATATTTTGTTTCGTTTTTTTTATACTTTCGATTTTCTCTACTACATGAAGATCTGACCAGTTCTAGTGTGGGGTTGTGTCAGGGGTCATACAAGCAGCTTTTGACCCTATGATGTCAGACATTTGATTAACCAATCAGCGTTGATGTTTTTAGTAGGATACCCACAGTTCTGTGCATCGACGCCAAGAACTCACTGCAACAGACCGTTTCATTGACTTATCCCTCACATCAACTAGAATTTGGGTTATATAGCAACTCTTCCAGATCTTAGTGTAGTAAAGATAAGTAAAACAAAATTTTGAACTATAAAAAACAAAATAAGATCTGTGATTTAATCAGATTGTTTACAAATTGGCATTTGATTTGTACACATAAACCTACTCATATCTGCAGACACTGTTATCACCTTTTGGGACTGCTTGTGGCTCTTAGAATGTCTAATACTATTTTGAAATGTGTTAGAAAGGTTATAATCCGGTACTCCATAGTATTGATATAATTGTCACGGTAAGATTTATTGTAAATATGGTCGTATATACGTGAGTTGCCCATAATACTGTGTTGATGGTTAAGTGGGATTTCACTGTACTACATGTATATTGAAATTAGTAAGGATATAGAAATATATATACACTCCATAGTAAAGATGTATTTGTCTTGTAGGATTTATCCGAATTAAAGAGTGAATTAAAAAGAAAGGAACAGACTATAAGACAGTTAAATAAACAAGTGATGCAATATGAGTTTGATAAGAAATCATTCCAGGGTAATCTTACTGATGCAGAAAGTGCACTTCGTACGGCAGCTAAGTAAGTTTTAATGCAAATTTATTTTTAAGCCATAAATTATTACTGTCCTTTTATGAGAATAATGGGCAACAAATGATGCTCAGAAACCAAATATAAAAGTATATTCACCAACAACACAGCTCAACCTTGCTCACTGTGTTGGACAGCACAGTTCTAGTCAACACATCAGTTGATTTTCATTTGATTGCAATTTTGTCATGAATGAGAATGTCCAGAACTCACAATCAATTTAATCAATACATCAAAGACAATATGAGACAATACATCAGCCCTGAAAATTTTTTCTTTGGTTGTATTGTATTGGAAACAATGCAGAAATTGCTGGAGATGGACAATTGTTGTTGGGAATTTGCTGTCTAAGTAATTGCCCAAATTTTTAGACCTACTAATATATTATATTTATTTTATTTAACAGAGATAAAGAAGTATTAGCCAACTATATTAAATCTATAGAAGAGGCATTTGAAGAGGTAACTTATTTCAATTTTAAAAATCAGAAATTCATTAAAAAAAAAACAACAACCCTTCTTCAACTTTATGTAGGCACTGCAGTAGATAAAATGAAAGTAATTCATCACAATGAAGAATCTTGCACAAACTTATGAACTACTCGGAAAATTAAAGAGTAAATCAAGTGGAATAACGTTTTTATTATTTTCTGTATTATTATATTTTATGGTTTTCAGGGAAAGCGGCAATTAAGGAAACCAGGTCCACATGAGTTCACGTTATCTAAACTTCTTCTAAATTCTGATTTAATACCAAATGATATCAGTAAGGCTGGTCCAGAACTTATTGCTTGTCAGGTAAACCTAAGTCTTTTTAGTGTGTATTGTCATCACCTCAATCTGTGAAAGCTGTACACACTACAATTTTTGTCAATTTTGCATGGATTTTTCATTTGGTCTAAAGAAAGATACCTAACGAAATTAAAAAATGATCAATCACAAATTATATACTAAGCAGCAAAAGAAACGTCAGGTTGGTATGTTACTCTGAATAGAGGCATTGCATAAAACTTGCCAAATGTTTTTATGGTATATTTGTGACCACATCTCCAACTTTACCTGAGCAATAAGGCTCCTTCCCAAACACAGAATTGAACCCAGGAAATGTTCTCAAAAACGCAGCCTATCAACTGCAGATGGCAAGACCAGAATATGGCATTGATGTGGCCATATTATTCTGACCAATGTGTCTTGGAATGAGACTCATGGGGAGGTCCAAGCATAATGGTTTGGGGTGGAATCGGCCTGAACCAGAGAGTGGATCCTGTGGTGTTCCAAAATCTTGGTCCAGGGAGTGGAGGCGGCATCACAGCAGTGCGCTACTTCAATCAAGCTCTCAGACCCCACGTCATACCACATTTCGCACGTCATCGAAACAACGTTTTCCAGCATAACAACGCCCGTGCCCACACCACCAGAGTTATTTGGGACTTTCTACACAGCAGAACGGTGTCAATGTTATGCACTTGCCAGCCCTTAGTCCGGACTTAAACACGATTGAACATCTTTGGGATGAAGTTCAGGGGAGACTTAATAACGTCATACCGAGACCAAATACAGCCGATGGATTGCGCCAGGCTTTTCTGAGAGTGTGGTTCCAGGTGCAAATGGCATTCATCAATCGTCTGGTCCACTCCATGTTCAGATGCTGCGCTGTTGTTATTGACACTCACGGTGGACACACCAGATACTAATGTATAGACTGTACAGACTCTAAACCTTCTCGTGATGTCTTGGAATTGTGATGAATAAATCGCTAATGTGTCAACATACTGTTCACAAAAAATTGCTTTGATCCATTTTCTAAGTCGTTTTCTAGAATGATTTGATTAAAGTGACTCTCTGATTTTGAAATCGTACTGACGTTTTTTTTTGCTGTTTAGTATATCTCGATTTAATTTGCTTCAAGTTTAGTGGGAGTGATAAAACTTTACATATAGTTTCATTACATTAATATCTTGACTAAGATTGATGATGAGCATATCTTCTTTGGCTAAGCAGAGATAAACAGTTTTATTTTGAGGCCTTCTCCTGATGTCAGACTTTTTGAATCACACTAGAATGTTCAAATATCATCCCCACTTTTGTCTGATATTTTATTACAATAGTGATTTCCCTTTTTCAGAATCTAGTGGCAGCATTTATAGATATGTACCATTCCTCAGTTTCTAAAATTAAATCTTTAGAAGAAGAAGTAGGAGCACATAGACAACATGTTGAAATCATGAAACGGGAATTAAGTGATACAATACATAGAGAATATTCTAATCAGGTAACATTAAATATTAATGCACTTGTTAGTTCTCAAGGCTGATGATGATGTTCATTGTTTTAATCCTACAACATCATGACAGGGTCCAACCAAGTTTTTAAAATACATGTATAATGTAGGAGCAATGGTGGCTAGGCAGGTAAGACGTTGGCTTGCTAACCTGGAGGTCGATTGGTTGATCCCTGCATTGGCAGAGAAAGTTCATCCAGACTTTCCGACATAGTTCCCTTTTGGCAGTGGAGTAGAACAGAGGACAACGTATGGTCATTCAGATGGTATGAAAAACCGAGGTCCCGTGTACACATTGGCATGCAAGCAAAAGATCCCTTGATAGTTGGAATTTGATATAAGCGTAAGCCGTAGTGCCTCTGTCAAGGCAAAATTTCACTCATAGCCCAGTTGGAGCAGAACAGTAGGATGTCAAACCCCATTTCATTTTGTATAATGGATCCAAGGCTTGCTGGAAAGATGCATTTTGCTTTGTGGTGGTGGGGGTGGGCTCAATTGGGGGTCTAGAACATTCCAAATTGATTGGGAGTCTAGAAAATTCCAAATTGTTTATATTGCAATCAGCTGACACAGAATTGAGTCCTGTCACAATTCTTCTAGTCACAATAAAAGATAAGGTGCAAGTAGAGTGGTGACTTTTCCAAGCACTTGAAACTCATTTAAGATAGTATCGATAAGAGAATTCACTTCAGTAACGCTCAATTAAATCAATTTGTTTTTTCAGCCCATTAATGCAGCAAGTCCTGACGGATATGATTTAATACATTCTATTTCACAACAAGAATTCACTCCACTCAAGTAAGTTGTTTAAATACTAAGTTTTGTTTATGGATTGGGTTAAGAGCATCAATAATATGCAGGTATGGAATTCTTACCAAAAAGATTGGGAATTTGAGAAGCCATTATAGCTTTCTATAGATTATCTTTTTCTGAACTGAGCTATTGGGTAACTTTAATACATCCACTTGTTCGACACCTGTCCTAAATTCTTAAGTCAGTTCTTTATGGATTTCAAATTATTATGGGTTCTTTAGGATGTAAAGAAGTATTTTCTTTTCTTTTCTTTTTTTTTGGACAGTAATGTTTGATGGAGTTCTCTCTCCATACATAGTTTGACTTTTGTTGACAATGATTTTAGAGTTAGCATTGACAACTTTGCTGCTGGTGGGAATATTTGGGACTGTATATGTTTCAAAAGTGCTATGGAGGACTTTATCAAGTTGTAAAATTTTTCAATCAAAATTGATTATTTTTTGACATACAAAACCAAAATGTTGCAAACAACATAAGGATTATCCCTTGCAACACAAACTTGGCTTTGATGAGCTCAGGAAGCCCTGGGCCACAATGTAATTTTTATATTGATTAATATTATTAATTGTATCATTACAGGGAAGATTCTGAAGTATCATATTGTATAAGTAAACCAATGACTCCTGTATTTAAGAAAAATACTACAACACCAAACAGAAAAAACATGTAAGTTGGTAATTTTGTGTTTTAATGAAATGAAATGGGGTTCAACGTCCTACTGTTCTGCTCCAACTGGGCTAATGAAGATGACCATGCACCATACAGTGTGCCATGAGGGAAATTTTGCCCGGGCAGCGACACTACGGCCTACTCTTATATCAAATTCCAACTGGCAAGGGATCGCTCTTGTTGATGCCAATGTGTACACGGGACCTCGTTTTTCCGTCCCATCCAAACGACTATACGTTGTCCCTTGCCAGGCCCTTGGTCTTGTACCACTGACAATAACAAACCACGTCGGAAAATCATAATGAACTGTTTCGGGCCAATACAGGGATTGAAGACAAGACTTGCAGGTTAGCCAGTCAACGTCTTACACACTGAGCCACTGTGGCTCCCTTTGTGTTTAATTTGTTCACTCCATGTCAGCATGTATCTTCTAATAGAGTCTATTATAAATATTACAGTTTTCAATAAATTTAATTTCAGATGTCCAAGTAAAAAGCAATATGGAACACCTAAATCACATGCTACCCGTGGCTCCCTTTGTGTTTAAATTGTTTAATTTGTTCACTCCATGTCAGCATGTATCTTCTAATAGAGTCTATTATAAATATTACAGTTTTCAATAAATTTAATTTCAGATGTCCAAGTAAAAAGCAATATGGAACACCTAAATCACATGCTACCCGTCCTCGATCTTCTACCTCTGGTCCTCGATCTTCTACCTCTGGTAAACGGTAGAATCAGAAGTTGAATAAGATCAAGCCTACACGCCGTTAGTCTTCCAGTCTTCTTGAAAATAAAACCATTCTGATTAACATACAGTTTAAAATTTCCTTTTACGGGTCTTCACTCAGATGACCCCTGACACGACCACCCACTGCAACCTGTCAGATCTCCGAAAGTATAAAAAACGAAACAACATATAGATCTGTAATTTAATCAGATTGCCATCTATATCACTGTATATTGAATACCTATGTTCAAAATTTTATTTTCTGATTTGTTTTGTGGGATTTTACTCCTTTGTTAAGATTTATTTTAAAATAAACAATCTTGTATATTCAATTTTATTTTACTATTATTTCTGATATTGTGGTATTGTATACTAACTTGTAACTGTGATATTTTTTGTTTATTTAATTTGTAATAATACAGATGACTATTTTAGATTTTGACTAAAAGAATGTGCAACTTGAAACGACCCAGCCTCTTTGAAATGAAAATATTGTGCATTTGCTTTCATTTTATCTGTTGATTTTGTTTTGTCCAATGCAAATCTGTCTTCATTCAATGTTGAGATATAATCAATTGTGTGTTCAAAAATTTTGAATCAAAAATTTAACTGTATAGAGCTTCTTCCATCAATAATCAAAATAACATTACATTTAGACCGAAATCAACAGGGTTAACTCCATTAAATTTAACAAAACTAAGGGCTACGATTTTGTGTCCCATTGTCGATACAGTAGCCAAATTTAATAGAATAGAGCTTGCCCCTAGCACTAATCAAAATTTGACATGAAATCAATGGGTATATATAATCCTTTGAATTCTTCACAGAAATTTAATTAATATGCAATATTATTCACAGCATTTATTGTATCAATGTAAAGAAAATATTTAAGATATATTTCATATTATTTTGATAATAAAACGTGCCCGTCCATGGTGATATGTGCCCACATTTATACATGCTAAATGAGCTTTGTATGATCAAGCTGACATTTGTAGTTTCAACAATCTGTTAATCTAGAATACCTTATTTAAAACCAGTGCTGTCAAATCAAAATTTATTGATGAATGTTATAATACCTGGACATTATGTAAATAATTTTTATTTATATATATATATATATACATGTATATTGAATTCACAACTATATGCATTTATATAGTTTTATGTATTGATTAATAATAAACATATAAAAAAATTAAATGATGACATATTTATTTTAAATCTTAGAGAGATGTTTTAAACTATTAACAAAGATCCCTATCAAAAGTTGCTTAAACATATTATGCAGGAGCTAAATATGCCTATTGCAGGTCTTTCTTTAGGCCTGAAATGTTATATAGACTATTAGACATTTATTAACATGAAAAGACCATAATCAACTCTTGATGCCATCTCATGTGTCCGATTTTCATTGGATTTGAATCCGATCTGCTGTTCAACACTCAATGATGATTAAAGTGCAAAAATGAATAATCGAGACTGTTAATTATTGTGACAGTGATTTTAAAATAAAAGTTTTTCTTGGCTTAAGAGTGAAGCAATTGAACTGATGGACTGAAATTTTCAGCATATCCCCTTTACATTATCTGGTTTTTCATTATTATAGTGAAAACTGCCAGCTCTTTATCTAATGTATCTTTAATTATCTCTGTTTATATTTGCATGAATCACATCCAAAAACACCTGTACAGAAGTACTAGATTTCTTTTTCTGTTGAGTTTTCCCTTTTATTATGTGAATCCCATATTACCTGGCCATGTCAAGTCATTGGACTGTTTTCATTATCGTCCTAAAATGCCATATGCTGACATAAATTAGTGGGCATGGCTCATGTAATTTAAATTACGACCCCTGAATCCACAGTTCCTTGATGAACTGCTTTGGAAATTCAAGATTTAGAGTAAGCAAAAGCTAGGTATCTTGGGTCAAAAATTCTGGTACTTGGCACGATGAGAATTCTAGTTTCAGATGCAGGTGTATGAATTTGGAGATCTAATGCATTTACTAAAGCTCCTATCACATCAATGCTAAAGTGACCCTGAGTTGTATTAACACCAAAGCAGTAGGAGTTTTTCTTACAAAATGAATGTTGTCTTTCAACTCATTCAAAAAGCTTCTTCCTGTATGTAGCTATCTTCAATAAATAAATAAATCAGTTTTTCACAGGCTTTCATTTCACCAAGCAGTTTTGTAGATTTTCTTGTAAAATTACTTTATCTAAATTTCTTCCTGCAATAAAGAAAGGAAATTATTCCAAATATATCTGCTCCATGTAAGTAAAATGTTATTAAAGGTACAGAACTTAAAATATGAAATAAAATGATATTCAGCCGTACCTATAAATACAAATCTGTTTATTTGGTTTCTATCACCATGTGCCGTTGTTGTAGCTTGAAAATCGTAAGTTTGGTGGACGGCTTGAATGACAAAACATTGATCTTCACTGTCAAAGGACAATATTCCCTACAAACAATAGCATATGTATCAATATACATGTATATAACTGTTGCTTACCATAATTTAACTAAAGTTATTAAAATTCAACCCGCCAACTATTCATTTTTTTAAAAATTTGGGTCTATAAAAATTATGTGTAAATGGATTGTAACATCAACTTCAAAAGGAAAGGTTCCACTACTTAGTGTTTTAGAGAGAAATGTGGTTTAAAGTCCACTCATCACAAACTGGGTCATTTCAGGACTAACTGGTACAATTTGATTTCAATAATTTGCTTGCACGTAGGGGTCTTTAGTAGTTCCCTACTTCTTGTCACATACCAGCTTGGGATCGAAACACTTGACTCACTGTCTAAAGCACATGCAATAGACCTCCCGCAGGAGTGGTGTTCTCAATTTTATAATATACAAGAATTCCACTCGACATGTTCACTGAGTCACAGGGATGACAACAAATAAACTGGTAATAAAATAAATTGAACTTGTCAATTCCATGCATATCACTTGTCACAATTACCTTAAGACGAAGTATCTCTGTCACTTGATCCTTGCAATTTTTAATATTCTTCTCCCATAATAAATTTTGTAGAAAATTTTCAAATTGTTTTTTACACATGGAGCCTTCTGTATCTATTGTGACTGTCCTAATGGTCTAAAAAAATATAAAAAAATAACATAGATAGGCCATGGTGCATTTAATAAAGATTTATTTAAATTTCTTACTGCATTATGGAATATGATCTTATAAAAAGATATGATTTGTTTGATTTGGGTAAACAATAAAAGTTTTAATTTGTTTTGTAAGATAAAAATCTTTCTTCTTAAAAGCTTTTGCATCGGTGGATAATACAGATGTTGAGGACAATTTTAAATCAAAATTGAAGCTGAGCATTGTAAAGACCCCCTTGTAATGATTGTATAGAGGTTGCTCCATCTATAATAACAATATTACATCATATTAATCCAATTATGCACTTGATTCATTTTGCTCCTTGAAATTCAAATGCTATGTTACTTCAAATTAATTTTCAAAATGCTGCTTGTAAGTCATACAAATTTATCGTTTCACTTAATTCAATATTTTAAGGTTATTTCATGAGATCACCAGATACATGCCTTAATGAAAGCAACAGTTATGTAAAGATATAAAATTAAAAAATACCTGATCAATTTGATGTTTTACTTCTTCATTAAAACCTCTATCTTTAAATAATTTCTCTAACCTTAAATAATGATTTTAAATATGATCAAAAGAAACCTGTAATGGTGACACCTTCCAAAAGGTTGAGGTTCTTCCATAGACTGTGTGAATGTGTATGCAAAAATTCTTAAAAATAATGGGTAGGGGGAAATATTTTAAAAATTACGTTAGTAAATAGATAATAATGAGGAAGGGAAATTTTTGGAATTAAATACCCACAAATGTCACCTGTTTTGAGTTTTTAGGCCGCTTGTCTGGTAAACCTGGTAAATATTTTTAAAAATTTGACAGTATGCTGAGCATATCTATTTATCAATATTTTTAAATAGTATTATTCATACTTCCATATGCAGCATAAGTTTAGAGAAGAGAGCCCTTGCAGGACATGAATCACACATCTGTACTGTAGGCATATAAATTAGACTTCTAATAACAGCAAATAATTTATTTACTTGTAAGTTTGACATCTGTTCAGATATATTTGGTCAGAATTAATGGTGATTAAAGGAAATCTGGTGACAAACTGTAAAAACTTACTTATCTGAACCTAAACCACTGTAGGCCTGTAGATCTAAAATATCATCTATATTTGTTCTGAAAAAATTATAATTACACTAATAATGAGTTTATTTACATTAGGAATATGTTTATTAGTATCACTGTAGAATTTAAACTGAGATAAGGACTTAATACAAGACCAAGATTTACTTGAAATTTTGTAATATTGATACCAAAATTTGGTACTGCCAGAACTGTAATATACTATTCAAAAAAAGTAGGGGATATTTGATTTTGGGGGCATAATACTAAAATATGCAAATGACTACGAAAAAAGTCACTATAGAACCTAATAGAAGAAACATTTCCAGTTACATGTGACGCCCAAACGCACCAATAGCTACCGCATGGAATGCAGGTGATGCTTGGGATCATCATGGGGGTCCAACCCAAGATTTGCACGACTCTGACTTTGAATGTTACAGTCATTGTGGCATTGAATTCCAGGGTGGAAACATCAGTTTAATTGTTTTAGTGACCAGAAAACAAATTTTGATATGCGTCGGCTTACCCAAAATGAAAGGTTACGTGCCCTTGGCATGCTACAGATCGGCACAACACAGGCGGTTGTGGCGCGGACAATGAATGTTTCTCAGTCTGTCATAAGCAGGCTATGGTCCAGATACCGTGATACACAATCTGTACAGGACAGACCACGCTCAGGTCGACCAAGGGCGACAACTCAAGCCCAGGATCGATTTATCCGTACCTTGGCCTTGAGAAATCGTGTCATCACAGCAAATCAGATCAGCGCTCGTCTTCAAACAGACACTGGTGTGAGAGTGAGTGGCGTCGTCGAAACGAGCACTTCCAAGACGTTAACGTCATCAGACATGATCGATTTGGGGGTGGTTCTGTTATGGTGTGGGGAGGCATCACTGTTGCTGGAAGAACGGCTTTACATGTTGTTGCAGGGCGTGTTACAGGCCAGTACTACCGGGACAACATCTTGGCAGTCCATGTTGTGCCGTTCGCACGACGTCATGGCCGCCGTTTCATCTTCCAGGATGACAACGCAAGATGTCACAGGGCCAGGATCGTTACAGGTTACCTCCAACAACAGAACATCACCACATTACCTTGGCCAGCACTGAGTCCCGACCTCTCCCCCATCGAGCATGTCTGGGACATGCTTGGACAGAGGTTACGTCAACGTCAACAACGTCCTGCCAATGTCCAAGAACTTGCTGCTGCGTTGCAACAGGAATGGGACAATCTGGACCAAAATGACCTTAGACGTCTCATTAGGAGTATGCCACGTCGGATCAATGCTTGTTTGGCAAACAGAGGAGGATTTACCCGTTACTGACTTGGTTGTGATGCTGTGGTAACTTTGCTGTTTGACCCCGGGTATCATTTTACCCTTATAATGGTCAGTCTGTGCCTTACTTAGTCTAACGATCATTTGGAATAAATCGATGAATGTGAACTTCATTTCATTTTGTCATTTGTTTCTTCGTCAGTTTCATTAGGTGACTTTAATAACACTTAAAAATCAAATATCCCCTACTTTTTTTGAATAATATATATTTTTAAAATTACCTAGCTCTGGTAGTTTCTATCATTTTAGCAAAACCATTACAAGTTCTGAAAATAAATAAATTTAATTAGAATATAGATTTGTTTATTTAGAATTAGATTAAGTTGAGAATAGAATGGTCTATTACAATATGTACAATGAGGTTAAAAATGAGAATATTTTTACTTTTCAGATAATTCTTAATATTTTAAATTAACACAAAAATATAGTTACCTAATATTTTCTCTTAAAGATTTGAGTTCCTGCTCTTGTATTAAATCTGTTTTATTAACTATAATTACGTCAGCTAAACCTATTTGTCTGAAAATCAATATAAAATATGATACCTTTATATGGAAAACAAGTTACTTAGAAGTTTATTTCTGGTGACATGGGTTCATTCGTCTCAAACGATAAAGACAAGAGAACCCTTGTCGAAATTTAGCCAGATATAAACTTCAAGGCAACTTCTGTCGCTTAAACAATTTGATATATAATTTCACTCGACACAGAGATAATGTCTGTGACCTACCAAAGCAAATTCATAGCATGATCTGATAGGGTTCTTCAGCCTTTCGAACTAAATCATAAATTTCTACGAATTTGAAAAAGTCATCGATCAAGAATTCCGCCTGGTAGAGGTTCACTAGAAATCATGGTTTGACAGAAATGGGAAATAACTGATGGAGATGAAATTAAAAAAAATAAACAAAAATCAAACTACCTAGCTGCTTCTATAAGACTTCCATCTGGTTTCTTTTCATCGAGGTTCTGTAGACAAAAACACAGAAACACAATTATCTTTCAAAAATTCAAAAATGATGGAACTTGAAAGTCAATTTGTAAGTTTTATAACATTCCTAACCAACTTGCTTTCCAAAAACTTAAATTAAAAAGTTTATGAATATTGCAGAGGATTTTATATACATTATAGTTTTTAGACGTATTTCATCTATTATGGTGTATTTATTTATTTACCTTTTGACAGTATTTAGAATCTACCACTGTAATAACACCTAGAAAACATTAAATTATAAGACTGAAAATGTCTATAATATTTTATTTTCCATGTAAATAATATGAATAGCTGTCAGTTCATACCTTCATAGATTTCTGCTGTATTCAAAACTTTATCTTATTTGTAAAGATAGTTTGTCAGTCAATGAAACACAAAGTAGACAAACAACCAAATCATCCATGAAATAAAATGAAATGAAATGGGGTTTAACATCCTACTGTTCTGCTCCGAACTGGGCTACTAAGTAATGATGGGCATATGCCATACAGTGTGCTATGAGGGAAATTTTGCACGGGCAGTGGCACTACGGCCTACTCTTATATCAAATTCCAACTGTCAAGGGATCTTTTACGTGCACACCGATGTGTACATGGGACCTCGGTTTTTCATCCCATCCGAACGACTAGACAGCTGTCCTTGTCAGGCCCTCTGTCCTGCATCACTAACAAGGCCAACTCATCCAAGCCAGATACCAATCTTGTTAATTACTATTTGAATGTTTAACAAGTGAGTGATACATTTGATCTAAAAATCATTTTCCAATACCACAAATTCAACTCTATTGAATAAATCCATATTTTGTGATGAAATATTTTGAATCCAGAATCCTAGAGAATTACTTACCATCCAGATATATATCACTACACAGTTCTTCGTCTAACCAAAACATACTGGCTATTGGACCTATTTACCATGACAAAATATATACATATTATCAGTAAAAGAGTTCAACCAATTTGATATAAATTAAGACAGAAAAATATCTTGTCATGGTCAAATGGACTAAAATGTGTTGCATATGCATCCACTTCAAAAGGTTACCAGTCTTAATAATTTAATATAGAGAATAATTCTGCAACAGATGTTTCCTGCCATATTCATTACATCTTGAACTACCAAAATAATACACATTTATAGTTTCTTGGACCAGAAAATGGACAAACAAACTGTAAATTCAAGAACACTGAGATCCGGCAGGGTGTAATTGGACATAGGGCAAATATTTTGACTATTAATATTACAAGTATGGACAGATAAAAGGAAAGATGTCAATGTGGTTCAATATTTGTGTTGTTTTCAGAAAATATTTCTTTAAAAATCATAATTATGGCATGTATATTGACTGACAGTTTCAATTCTCTAACTGGTCAATCTAATACCTTCTCCAAATGTTTGTGTTCAAATAATGAGAGAAATGGGATTTAACACCCACTTAACACAAACTAGGTCATTTCTAACATAATTATGGGACAATTTAATTTCAATACTTTGCTTGCGCATACAGGTCTTTAGCAGTGAGAGTAAACCGGAATACCCAAAGAAAGCCCATGTACAAGGGTGGGATTGAAACTACACCACTTGACTCAATGTTGGACCTCATGATCTAAAGCAAACGTGTTGTATCATTTGGACACCCATTCCATTCAGGGCTGTCGGTAATTTTTCACAGATGATTAGCAGCACTGCTAATCAAAAAGTCCAATTTTGCCAAATTTGATTAGCAAATTTAAAAATTGATTAGCAGTTTTTCAGTTTTAAATCAACATCAAACACCTAAATAACAAAATTATTTTAATTTTAATTGATAGCAAATGATTAGATTTCATTCTTAAGATTTTTTAGAATTTTAGCACTTCTACAGCTAGCTGTGAACATTTCTGAATGAATGTAGACTTTTGTTAGGCCTTATGTCTGAAGCCAATTCTTGGCAGTGGCTTCTTATTTCTTCGTTAGAAAACAATTTCGTCTGCTTTTTATCGTGTGTTATTATTTTTGTTCAATCGGAAGCACGCGGTATTTTACGAATAATTTCGATTAACTAGACGCACGCGATATAAACAATAATAGTTTACGGGAATTCTTACTTTGATTTCTCACTTTACAATACGTTTACACGTATTTATTTTTTATATTTTATTTACAATACGTGGGGGATACACTGAATTTATTTTTTTTCAAATTGAATACTGACATAATTACTCGAAATTGACATGTCTCGCAACGTGAGTGGTACTACTTGATTCCCTATTTCCGGTTTAATAGTCCCGATTCATAGAGTTATGTCCCTGTATTATATAGTATCATGAATTGAGTCTGGGTAGTTCGAGAAGAAAATGTCACACGGAGAATTCCGTTTTGTTTATAAAATTTATTTGATATTTTATACACGTTGAACGTGTTGAGAAATGTGGATAAATCTTTGTGTCAATATCCAAAATGACAGGCATATTAATGATTCGCTGTTACTGCGAATCAAAAACGTTAGATTTTAATTTTTGATTAGCAACGGACAAAATATGTATCGCAAATTGCGCTGCGATACTGGTTGTCGGCAGCCCTGATTCCATTCGCCCGTGTTAAAATAAGAAATACCAGTAGGATGTATTGGATGATCATACCTGGATCAGCCAATCCTGTTGTTTCTAATAAAATGTAGTCAAATTTTCCTCTTTTGGTCATTAAATCTTCTATAGCTTTTACACCATTATCTCTAAAATACATAAATATATTTCTATTAAAGCAAACATTTAAACTTACTTGATTACTCATTATATGCTTCAAGTTGATTTATCAATTTCTGATATCAACAATCTATTCCCATAAAATAAGATAGTATGAATTTCATACTATGAATGCTATTAGAAGAACGTACTTTACTGAACAACACAAACACCCATTTCTCAATTCTAGCCATTCTTCAAATAGTTCACCCTTTTCTCCAATTGACATGGATTTTTCTATAGAATCACCTGTAAAAAAAAAAAAACATTCAATGAAGAACCTGTCAATTCAAGAATTTTTGAAGATTTATTATCTACTATTTTTTTTATATCTTTTTAAATGCACTAACAACGTACCTATGCACATTACCTCATTTTTTTAAAATCCAATTAGAAGAACTACTCTTAAGACAATTTTTATTGTTGACCTAAGCATAATTATTCCTTGTATCAAAATTTAAATATTTGGTTGTTATCATCTTTTTGTATTTGTTGAATAAACTATTATTTACCTTCACCAAATTCATTAAGTATAACAGCTATCTTTTTACCATGCTGTTCTGTTAAAACATAATTTAATAATGTTGTTTTACCAGCGCCTGAAATGCATTACAATTAGAAATGAGATGGGGTTTAGCATCCTACTTTTCTGCTCAGATGTCCTTCGAGTCAATAGAAAAATTCAATACCAGTATTGTATAATATTGTAGATATTGCATGAAGAAGCATAAAATGAAGTTAGTTTGTTATTTATTGCCTACCCAAATATCCTGTTATAATTGTAATAGGTACTTTCTTCACATCAACTTCTACGAGATCAGGTACGTCTTCATCATCAGATAAATCGCCCATTGTCTTTAAAAATATGTTCCCTCAAGATCAATTACATCTAGTACATACTGAAAATTAAGTTTGAACTAAAAGTATGATATATATTATGACATAGAAAAAAAAATTATACAAATAAAATAAGAAAAACTTCTTAAATATCAACCGCAACTTTGTTAGATGGTGGAGCATTGTAGATAAAGATATACAATACACACACTCTGCACTTATTTGTATGATGGTATTTCTAGCGTTTACCCAAACCACCCAAATACTATTATTTCAACTCATAATACAATAGTTTACATCAATTTTTGATAATTTACTGTTTTTTTATGCCTAATGGTCATTCTTAATTTAAAATAGTAGCTTTTTTTTGTGTCCAAATGTGATGTAAATGAAACGAGATTTAACGTCCTACTGGTTCTGCTCCGACTAGGCTAATATTAAGACGGGCATACGCCATGCAGTGTGCTATGAGGGAAATTTTGCCTGGACAATGGTGCTACGGTCTACTCTTATATTGAATTCCAACTGCCAAGGGTTACGTGCATGCCAATGTACACAGAACCTCGGTTTTTTGTCCCATCTGACTAACTAGACAGAGCGAGCCCACGACATGAGAAGCCTATGTCCCTTTGTTAAGACTTCCAACCTTGTTTGGCTTGGTGGAAATCACATTTTGAGGGACATTTTAATTTGACACAAATTTAAAATAAAAAATGACAATTTGGCATAAAGAACGGCATATTATTACTAGGTTGAAAAAATGGTAGATTTGGGTAAATGGTGCTACACATGAAAGCATGTGATGATAGGGTCACATTATTGAGTGGTTTCTAGCTTATTTCTAAATGCAGGGAACGCTTCCAGGGTCATTTTCATTTTTTACCTTATATCAGAATTTACAAAAAAATATTTTTTTTGAGAACCGGAATGGAAATTTTGATCTGGGTTTTAGTCACACTATTCAATGCCTAAACCATTTATGAAATTAATTAAATAAAGATGAAAATTTCAAATGAATGAGATAATGATAAGGTGCCATTATAGTCTACTGGAATAAATATTGACCATTTTTCATTCAACATAAACTATTTACTGTCTGATTCATCGTAAATTTTAAACGGATTTCTTCGATTATGAACAAACTACTTAACGTTGGTTATTATAAACTTACCTGTGTGTTTGTAATGAACTCCCGTTCGATAAAATCCATTGCACAACTAATTATCACAACGATGAAAACAAGTTCTCTCTTGAAAAATTGAAATATCACAAACTTTTCCCAGAGAAAAATACCAATATGGAAGATGGTTACGTCACTCTGCGGAAGATATCATTTCGTATTAGGGGTGACAGCATAGGAAATTAAAGTACAATTACGACAAGAATCCATGACCACTCGGACCAAAGATCACTCGGTTCAAGACCAGTCGGACCAAGTGATAGACAACTCAGCCCAAATAAATAGACTACTCGGACTATACAAAAAGACTATTCGGACCCAACAGAAAGACGACTCGGACCAATAATAAAATGTTGTTTTAATAAATTGATAATTGCGTTTGTTTTAATATAATTACTCGAACCAATAATAAAGTGTTATTTTAATAAATTGATAATTGTGTTTATTTTAATATGACTACTCGAACCAATAATAAAGTGTTATTTGAATAAATTGATAATTGTGTGTGTTTTAATATGACTACTCGAACTAATAATAACGTGTTGTTTGAATAAATTGATAATTGTATTCCAAATCGCAAAATATCGAGAACCACACTTGTAGTCACGTTTAAAAAGGGGCATATAAACGTCCGGTCTTCGTATTATTATGTGCTGTTTATATTAACGCATCAAGGGCGGATAACTTGAAAACGTGTCCCCCCCCCCCCATATATAGTAACCCAGGGGTTAGTGGGGTAGAACGGAATGAAACCACTGGGGATACCGCGAATGTGGAAAAAGTAAAATTAGGCTATCAGACAAGAACAGTATACCCGTATATGTAGAAAGTCTGGACATACCGAGTCTCATTGCAAGAGTAAAGAAAAATTAGATTGATATTTTTTTTTGGCACCATTATTAATTAATTTTAAAACTAATCGTTGATTTATTTACGTACACAAAATTGAACCAAACAACTCTGGACATACCGAGTCTCATTGCAAGAGTAAAGAAAAATTAGATTGATATTTTTTTTTGGCACCATTATTAATTAATTTTAAAACTAATCGTTGATTTATTTACGTACACAAAATTGAACCAAACAACTCTAAATATAAGAATTCCATATAAGAATTATTTGCTTCTTTGTATTGTGATTTAATAATAAATAAATAGCATATTGTCTAGCCTTATAATATAATTTAATTGGTCCGACTGGTCTTGTTTTGGTCCGACTGGTCTTAGTCCGAGTAGTCTTTGGCCCGAGTGGTCTGGATACCTGCGACAATTGGCATTGAGTTTGAGCGTTCGCACACATAACTACCCGCATTCCTGTATTTAGTTACCGTCTTTTACATTCTAGTAAAATCTCTGCAAATTTTATAGCTTTACTTTTTGAAATATTTTGTTCTAATTATTTGATTAGCGACTCGGATGGGATTATTTACTTTTGAACACACATGCCGCACAAACACAACTATACATTCGTTTTACGGGCTTTATCACACTTCGGTCAAAACTGTCGAATCGAGAATTAATGTTCCACTTCTTACGGGGTCATACGGGCTTAGTAGCATTATATACCCACCCAATAGACACGCTGAGGGCTGCCGCAACACGCTTAAAGATGTTACTGAAGCGGTTATTATTCGATCGAAAGAATGCGTATAAAATTAAAAATACACTCAGAGAATTCGGAGGTAAGCTTCATGATCCTTGCTAAATTATTTATAACATAAAGAAGATAGGATATTTATAGTTTATACATGACTTTATTTTTACGAGTATCCGTGCAATCAGTGATATTTTAATTGTGAAGAAAATTTGATAGACTGGCGATCAATGGTTTCCATATAAATCTCCTATGTAATTGCCTTCAATTGATATTTTTCGTCGCCCAAACCCATATACGATCAAAATGATCGCGCTGTCAAACTATCTTTCAATGTTAACCAACCCCCGCAACAGGTATATTGGATTCGACCAATACGTCACGAAGACATTGTTGACATCGACTCTGTCGAAATTACAAGTAAATTTTCAAATTTTTCAAGAGAGAAATTGTTCTCATCGTTGTGATAATTAGTTGTGCAATGGATTTTATCGAACGGGAGTTCAATACAAACACACAGGTAAGTTTATAATAACCAAAGTTAAGTAGTTTGTTCATAATCGAAGAAATCCGTTTAAAATTTACGATGAATCAGACAGTAGTGTATTTTTACCTTGCTCGAATTATTCCTTTAAAATAAAAGAGAAGAGTTATCTCCCTTCTAGATTGGATTAACCAGCAATGTATGCAGTGCGATTGATCAAAGGGAGCTTAATCCATTTAAAACTGACCTTTCCATTTTAATGCAGTCAACGTTTTTATTCAGTTCAATGGCATATTTTACACCTTTCCGTAGATTACTGGAAAAGTCACTGTGAATGCTCTAATTTAAATCTGGTGCTTGGAATAACTGCAAAGTGAGCAGACTCCACTGCTCATTATAATGCCTTCTTTAGATTTCCATTAAGAATATAAAAATTTATGTGTTATTTGTGTATCTTGTAAATACAGTCCAGTAATTTACAATGATACAAATATAGACAGGGGTTTGTCAGCCGTTTAGGAAGGAGGGCTCGGCGAGGATCAGGCCCTGGTCTTTCAGTCGTCTTGTATGAAAACCTAATGTCCTAAGTAAATGGTTGCTGTCCTGGCGAAATTTCTCTCATAGCAAACTACATTGCATATGCCAGTCGTCAAAAGCCTGTTCGATACAGAAAGTTATGACGTTAAACTAAACCTTAATTCATTTAATTTCATTTGTCTGGGCTTCTATAATTGGCCCAACAGCAGCACTATACTTTATTGTGTTCACATTTCACAAGATTTCATAAATTTGAACATAAATGGGGAGATAAATCTGTGTCTTCTGATAAAAAAACCCTGAATTTCAATAAGATTCTTCCTTATAACTATACCTCTAGAATGTTCACAATAGTGAGGGATGAAGACGATAACAATATACATCTACATTAAATGTGGGTTTATTGATCATAAAAGAATTTATATAAAAATGTCTCTGTACATGTATATATAAACTTTTATATAAAGATTTTTATTTTACACATATATGGTTTATATCTAGAATGCACTTCTAATTCATACATACAAACTGAGAGATAGTATTATCATTATTGAAAGGGGGGGGGGGTGCTCAACCGATTGATTTAGAAATATTTTTATTTGACTTTCTTTCACTAGACAGTTACATCGTGCAAGTTCAAATACGATTGTAGACAAACTTGGTGGTTTCTAATGAACGATCACATATCTAACCCAAGTAGGCCAGTGGGTTAATTTTCATTAATTTACGGTAATGATATTATTTAAAGTTAATTACACTTATTTTCTTCTTGAGAATTATAATGTCTCTTTAATACTCTTTCCGCTCTTGAATAGCCTACATACAGATATAGAGTGCCTCACTATAAATAAATATCTCCAAATATTTCAACAATTTTACCACTATATGTATGTATATATAACAAGCCATCTCATATTTATAGTCCCTAAATAAACAGTCGTGTTGTATTTAACATGGTATAACCATTTAAACATCAATATATTTTTTACAGCTTCAGTAGTTGACAGGTGTGTTGAAAATTTCATGTGCGATGGCTATTTATAGCCTCAAAGTATATAGTGCGGGATATTCTCGTGCTCCGTGTTGAGTCAGAAATCGGTTCAGGACTCATCACTGAAGCGTGCACATACGCTGTGGTGAGTTAAACTTTAAATAGAACAAATTTTAGCTGTGTGGGGCACTCTACTACATTCTCTCTTCAATAATCTATGGTGATTAGTCTGACATGTACATGCATAGAATTTACACTGTACAGTTATCGATGACAGAATAGCAAATAACATTTCCCCTGTTCATATCACATCACTATTAACAAATTTAGCAGATTTATTGTGTTCTCAAAATTTTTTTAAAGATGTGTCTCTTGTTTTGTTTTGCAAATATTTTCAGAAATCCGTTACACGTCCTTTCCTTTCCCAGTCTCCATATCTAGTGGGTTCTGGTCCACGAGGTCCACCTATTTCACCAGTAATGGGATTTTTATCATCAGGAAATTTTTCTAATGGTTCAGTTTCTTCAACTTGTCTCGTATTATCCATCTCAAGATCATCAAATTTTCCCATTGGTGTTTTCCTCATTTTATCACGCTTATGATCATGTTCATCATCAGAGTGGTGACGAATGAATACTGTAGAAATTCTGAACTGTGATAACTGTCCTGAAAAGGAAAAGAAAAATATTTAGCTTGTTGTCAATCCTTTTTCCAGGGAAGGACTATCAGTGTGAGAACTAACTAGTAAGTTAAATAATGATTTGTGAAATGTTGTTGAAACATCACCATGTAATAAACCACAGTAATTTTTATTCCATAAAAAGTGTGTTATTTGATTATGTCCCAATTACTAAATGCCATTCAAAGAATATAGCTAGTAAGTGATAGAGAGAGAGAGAGAAATATGAGGTTTAACAACCACTCAACACAAACTAGGTCATTTTGGGACTGACATACTTTCAATTTTATTTCAATAATCCGCTTGCTCATACAGGTCTTTAGCAGTGGGAGGACCCGGTGAAAACCCACAAGGTGGGACAGGGCGACCCTACAATTAGTTACTGTACCAGGTACCATATCTTCAAACATCAAATTAATCTAACCTGCTACAGGACCAACAAATTTATTACTGTGGTCAATGTACAATTGTTAAATTATTATATCGCAGGGGTGGATCCAGGATTTTCAGAAAGGGGGGGGGGGGGCGTGCTGCCCCCACATGGGAGTGTGAAGCCCGGCCCTCGGTGGGTGGACTGACGGGCAATCAACCAAGTCACAAACCCGATGGGGATCACTACCATTTTTAAGTATTTTTGTTCTCCGTTCCCGCAAATTGTTCGCCACCGCGCCTGTATCGTCCTTTATTATTGCAATCAAGGATGTACAGCAAACCAGCAACTGTATTGATCATGAATGGCATTACCTGACCAGCTAACTGCAAGAAAATAGCCACAAAATTTGAGGTAATTTGATGTGTATGTTTTCCTGGAAGCAGTTAGTGCCAGCTTGCAACAGAGTTCAGAACAGGGGTACCTTTTTTTAAGTGAATTTTGAAAAAGGGTTGGAGTTTATATTCAGCTAATTAGAAAATCTGTTTCTTTAATGACTTTATCCTATGGCAGCTTTACAATTGCAAGCCGTCAAACATATTCTGCTCTAGTTTTGTATATATTGAAAGTCAGAAAGAAGACAAATTGTTATTAAGACTAAGCCCTGTAGTTCAAGAAATTGACCTGTTTACATTACCGGTACTCTACAATAACCGGTAACCGTGCCTGGCTGGCCAAATGTGGAACTCATGACAGAAAAGTTAATTTCGGTCCCTAAACAAATTACCCAGAAGAAGACAATTATGACGATTGATACAATGTATCTTACATGAAACTTATTATTACATAACATTTACATAAGTCAGTCTCTCAGGGCTGGAGTAAATAAAATCATAAAAAATAGAAATTATTCCTTCAACACAAATTCTTCTTGAATCGTAAGTCAAAAAATATAAATAATGCATACGCCTTGACTTTTATTAATTGGTTGCAGATTTAAAGAAAAAAATCGTATAAAATTTCAGTGATTATTACCCGAAAAACTAAGAGAATTTCTCAAAACTCTTACAACAGAAGCCATGTTCATAGGGGTCAAGGACGAATCTTGACCTCAGGCAGGGTTTTCTCAAATCCGGACGTTTCAGACAAAAAAACACGAAACGAAGTAATCGAATACAAATACTATTGATATCCAATTTAATAATATTTTTTGATCGAAAATGCGTGCCGCTTACTTTTGAAAATTCTTGGCGTAGTACAGCACTGATCTAAAATTATAAAGTCTTTTAATTTTGTACAGAAAATCACATACCAATACTCCGGATCTTATGATGTGGCAACTGCATGCCCACTGAAAACAGTTGGGAAAATTCGGGTAATGATAAAAAAACAAAAAAAAAACTGATTAATAGTCTTTGTTTACTGTTCTTAAGTAATAAAATTTTTACCTCTAGAAGTATACCTTTAGGGGAGCTACGGTGGCCGAGAAACTTCATCGGGATTTTCCGACGTGGTTTCCCCATGTCAGTGGTGCAGGATGGAGGGCCTGACAAATGACAGCTGTCTAGTCGTTCGGATGGGACGAAAAACCGAGGTCCCGTGTATACATTGGTGAACACGTAAAAGATCCCTTGGTAGTTGGAATTCAGTGTCAGAGCAGGTCTTATAGCGCCGCCGTCCGGGCAAAATTCCGCTCATAGCACACTGTATGGTGCATGCCCGTCTTTAGTAGTTTAACTATAAAAATATATTGATGAAGATAGTAGGCCATATTTTGAAAAAGAAAACAACTATAGGCCTACGTTTATTGCACTGAAAATATGACCGGTGCTCTGGAAAGAATAAACTATGGCCCACACAGTGCCAAGGCCAAATTTGAAAACAACAATGCCTTTATGGCACTCCGAAGAAACGTTTCGGTAGATAAATAGATAAAATGTGACTCCGTATAAAAACATCTATAGATTCATAATCAGGTAATAAAAAGTTTACCCATTATGACATCACAATTAAAACGACGGGATAATGAAACTGGTGACGTTATTTCTATTGTTCTATCACAACTTTCGCCAGTTTCAGAATTCGAAAGACGTATTTTGCTATTTCTGTGATAAAATTGTTATTTTTTAAAGGTTTTTACATCTTTGCTACAACGATGAATTCAAGGTAAGTGAATAAATCTTTGTTAAACAACGTATTAAACCATTCTAACAGTAAGTGCAGGAGAACCACACTAGACACAAAACAAACCGATAAGACAAACCTGCGGACAAGACAAAAAACACATGCAGACATTGCAAGAAATTAACAACAAAATCAATTCAATTCATGTGTATGGATCCGGGGGTCAGTAAGGGCCCTAAAAAAATATTTTCATAAAGAAAAAGAATAATACGCTTTCTATAATATTAAAAGCAAATTAAGTCGCCCAATTGTTAGACAAGCAAGGGAATGCAGATTTACAACGTTAAGAATTTAACATTTTGTTCATAAATTTTTCTTGTCATATGTTAACATTCCGTATATTTTGGTCTTTTAAAATATATTGTTATTTAATAAGCCTTTGGG